CATTTTACATAATTTTAAAATAAATTTATCAAAATATGGCAACAGTGAAAAAAATTAATTATCACAATAGTGATAAAAATACTCATAAAAATAGTAAAAATACTTACAAAAATAATATTTTTTTATTATAAAATGACCAACACAAGTTGTAAAATATACCCATTAAAGTAGTAAAATTTGTCAGTACAATACTTTCTTTTTTTTTTTGGTACCATAGATAAATCTCTCTAATATTGACTCAAAGTCAACATTTAAATAAAAATTTTAATTTAATACAAAACTTTCAAATGGATAAATTCAAATTAAAAAGAGAACAAACTTAAATTTAATTGAGGATGAAGTATAATGATCTAATTTTTACAAGAACGTGGAATCTGACTGTTAAAGATCTGAATAAAAATTTAATTCTTTTTTGATTCTTTTTAAAATTTGAGCCTCCTTTAATTTAATATAAATTTGAATGAAGAGCCGATGCTTATTTTTTTGCTTGTTTGTACTCAAGTTTAAATTTGTATTAGGATTTGACTCAGTGCTGAAAAGATTTGGGCCAAACCNACCTTACAAACCTATGCCACGATAGTCATTCCCCAAGACTATACGTAGCTCGGCCTCAGATCATTCGACCCTCTCATAGGACGTCCACAACTTTGACTTTACTCTCATGCAAACAGTCTGTCTCTCTCTAGGTAATCATGTTAGATACTTTAATGTTGGGATAACATTGTTTTTGCTAGGCATACTTTTGAAGTTCAGNCAAGTCTTCGTTCCTCTAGTTTCATGTTTTTCGTCCTCAAGAAGCTACCATATAACATGCCCAAGCTGCTATCCAAGGCACAAGAGTACATGAATGCTGAAGACATCACCAAGGCTCATCGAGGTGAGTCATTCGGAGGAGGAAAGAAGAGGAAGTACACCCGTGAGGACAAGTGGGAAGCAGAGGACAAAAGGAATAGGATAAAGAGAATCTCTTGTCAAGGACTGCCCTTGGTCCTCTGCCTCTTAGAGAGCGGCAANGGCCGTCTTCAACCCACGGGATTATATTAGATTAACATCGAACCACTACTAGAAGCAGGGCACCTATGTGGAGCTACAGTCCTCGTAGCAAAACTGCATTGGAGTCTCAACTCCTACAACAATGTAAGGGCTAGCTCTAGTATACTTAGAAGTCCTAGTCTGAAAAAGAGTGGGGGCATCATAGGGTCTCATCTCCCAGGAGGCAACTTAGCCATTGGACCTTGACTAAGAAACACTTGTACCATCAAACCTCGCCCTCTTGAGATGAGGGAAAGACACCCCCCTAAAAGTGCAGATAATCGCCACTATCGCTTTATCAACAAGGCCCCTATAATTAGAGACAAGGTCAATTAGTGACCAAAGCATTAAAGAAGCGCCGCTCATAGCAAGAATCAAGGCGTTCCCTAAATACAGTAGGCCCCAAGGCCTCTTGGCATCGCCCAGGGCACCTGCCTAGCCTCCTGGCGTCGCCCAAGTCACCTTGNTCGCTCATAGCAAGACTCAAGGCGTTCCCTAAATACAGTAGGCCCCAAGGCCTCTTGGCATCGCCCAAGGCACCTGCCTAGCCTCCTGGCGTCGCCCAAGTCACCTTGCCAATTTGTTGGCATCGCCCAAGGAGCCTGTTCAACCTCGGACATCTCCCAATACGCCTGCCCAGCCTCCTGAAGTCGCCCTACCAACCNTGCCCCCTCCACCAGGATGCCCCTTATGATACTGCCTAAACGAGGGGTCTCGCCCTTTCCACCTAGGGAGCCTCTCATGATGTAGCCTAAACGATAGGTCTCGCCCCCTCTCACCAGACGTCCAGCCTCAGGTGCCCAGCACCAGACGTCTAGCCTCAGGTGCCCAGCACCAAACGTCCAGCCTCAAGCGCCCAGTTCTTCAATGTTCTCCTTATCTCCATCTTAATGGAATGAGCCTCTATCACGACAGTCATCTCTTAAGTTATACATAGCTCGGTCTATGACTCTGCTCTCGCGTAAGTAGTCACCTTGTAAGCCTCTGTTACGGCAGCCATCTCCTGAGTTATACATAACTCGGTCTATGACTCTGCTCTTGCTCAAGTAGTTACCTTGTAAGTCTCTACTACAACAGCCATCTCCTGAGTTATACGTAGCAAGACCTCAGACTCTGCTCTGGCGCCAGGAGTCACCTTACAAACCTATGCCACGATAGTCATTCTCCAAGACTATACGTAGCTCGGCCTCAGATCATTCGACCCTCTCATAGGACGTCCACAACTTTGACTTTACTCTCATGCAAACAGTCTGTCTCTCTCTAGGTAATCATGTTAGATACTTTAATGTTGGGATAACATTGTTTTTGCTAGGCATACTTTTGAAGTTCAAGCCGTCTTCAACCCGCGGGATTATATTAGATTAACATCGAACCACAACTAGAAGCAGGGCACCTATGTGGAGCTACAGTCCTCGTAGCAAAACTGCATTGGAGTCTCAACTCCTACAACAATGTAAGGGCTAGCTCTGGTATACACAGAAGTCCTAGTCTGAAAAAGAATGGAGGCATCATAGGGTCTCATCTCCCAGGAGGCAACTTAGCCATTGGACCTTGACTGAGAAGCACTTGTACCATCAAACCTCGCCCTCTTGAGATGAGGGAAAGACACCCCCCTAAAAGTGCAGATAATCGCCACTATCGCTTTATCAACAAGGCCCCTATAATTAGAGACAAGGTCAATTAGTGACCAAAGCATTAAAGAAGCGCCGCTCATAGCAAGAATCAAGGCGTTCCCTAAATACAGTAGGCCCCAAGGCCTCTTGGCATCGCCCAGGGCACCTGCCTAGCCTCCTGGCGTCGCCCAAGTCACCTTGCCAATTTGTTGGCATCGCCCAAGGAGCCTGTCCAACCTCGGACATCTCCCAATACGCCTGCCCAGCCTCCTGAAGTCGCCCTACCAACCTCTCGGTGTCGCCCAAGGCTCCTGACAGCCTCTAGGTGGCGCCCACAAACAGCCTTCATCGTCGCCCAAAGCCAAAAAAAAAAAGGTGAGGAGGGCCACCACCCAAGAAAAAAAAAAACAAGAGGCGGCACCCAAAGCAAAGGGAAAAAAAGAAGAAGCAAGAGGCGGTGCCTAAAGGGCCAGCGCCCAAGAAGAAAGGGAAAAAAAAAAAAAGATAGGTCATGGCATGCGGCGCTCAAAAGGGGGAAAAAAAGAGAGATGGGTCATGGGAGGTGGCACCCAATAAGAAAAGAAAAAAATAATAATAATAAAGAGAAGGGAGGGCTAGCGCCCAAGGAAAAAACCAAGAAAAAAAAAGCAGCAAGTCGGCGCCTAAAAAAAAAAATTCAGCAAAGTCCTCGAAGATGAAAAAGCACCGTAAGAGCAAGAAAAACTCCTACGCAAGTGAAGAAGAATTACGTGCCCTCAACCCCTTCCTCTCACAAAAAGTCAGAGGCTTGGGGGTATGGGGGACAAATAATGAGCTTGAAATTAACTGAACTAGGTCCAATTAATTAAGAAAGACTCAGTCACCTCGGAGCCCAAGTCAAGCGAAGCCAAAGTTAATGAGGAGTCCAAGGAGGCCACCCTCAAGGGGGCCCACCCCAAGGGGATCCTTCCATCCTTTGTCCCTTGCTCATTTTCTTGGGCAATCTCGTGGAGTCTTTCGCCCTCTTGATTTTGTCACTCCAATTCAAGTCCAGCACCCACCAACTCAAGTTCAAACCCAGGATCCTCCTCCGACTGAATAAGAGCACGAGGGAGAGAAAATCGGGATACATACGGAGATCTAATCGTGTCTTGATTGAACTTACCAAATTAGTAGAAACCCCTCCCTCACGTCACTGCCTTATCGTCATACTAAACCTATATATGTAAACTCTCTTCACAATGAGAGGCACATTGACATGACCTTGTGACCCATGCACCCATCACTTCTTTCTCTCTCTCCAAAAAGTATTGTAATACTCCCTGAAGTTACTCTCTCAATGACATTATTCATCAATAAAGATCTTCGGTTATCGCTGTCGTTCCCAAGAGTGGAGTAGGTCACCCGAACCGAACCATTATAAATCTTAGTGTTGATTCCCTTATTTATTGTTTTGCTATTGATTGCTTATTTACTACTCATTAATTGTGTCTTTTTATATACTCGACTGCTAATTTTATGCAATACTAATTTGTGCATCATCAATATTAAACATAGAAATTTCACGGTCCAATTTGACATAGTGACATAAGAGTGGGAAGAAGAGAGTTATTTACCATTTTACATAATTTTAAAATAAATTTATCAAAATATGGCAACAGTGAAAAAAATTAATTATCACAATAGTGATAAAAATACTCATAAAAATAGTAAAAATACTTACAAAAATAATATTTTTTTATTATAAAATGACCAACACAAGTTGTAAAATATACCCATTAAAGTAGTAAAATTTGTCAGTACAATACTTTCTTTTTTTTTTTGGTACCATAGATAAATCTCTCTAATATTGACTCAAAGTCAACATTTGAATAAAAATTTTAATTTAATACAAAACTTTCAAATGGATAAATTCAAATTGAAAAGAGAACAAACTTAAATTTAATTGAGGATGAAGTATGATGATCTAATTTTTACAAGAACGTGGAATCTGACTGTTAAAGATCTGAATAAAAATTTAATTCTTTTTTGATTCTTTTTAAATTTTGAGCCTCCTTTAATTTGATATAAATTTGAATGAAGAGCCGATGCTTATTTTTTTGCTTGTTTGTACTCAAGTTTAAATTTGTATTAGGATTTGACTCAGTGCTGAAAAGATTTGGGCCAAACCGAATAACTCGAAGTTAAAATGGTTAATCTGTTTATTAAACTGCGTGGATCGGTATTCGGGTGAAACCCGATTAACTCGAGGTTTAAATGGTAAATCTGTGAACAAAACTATGGATCCGTTAATAAGAAAACCCGAAAGCAACCCGTACACAACCCGAATTATACGGCTACAAAAGGAAGAAACTATGGCCAACCCTAAATCCCAATTTCATCCGCCGATTCTCCCCCTTTCTCAGCTCTCTTCATCCTCACTCCTCAGGGGTACATCCTAATTCTTCTGGTGCCATCCCCTCCCTCATTTATGGAAATTCCCAGTTCTTTAAATTTTGTGATGTACTCGCAGGAATTAGATATGGTTTGTTGGGATTTATTTTCATTGTTGTGTCTAATCGTTCTGTTAAGTTGAGAGAGATAACTTATGGGAGTTGGGATTGGGATTATGGGATGTGATTATATGTTGTGGATGTGTCGATAATCTTTATTGGGATGTCTTTTGATTATTGTGTGTAATTGTTCTGTTAAGTTAAGAGAGATAACTTGGGAGTTGGGATTATGGATGTGGTTATTTGATTAGTTTTGGTGAATGATATTGAAATCATATTTTTGTGGATTAGTCGATAATCTGTTTATACTTGTAGTATTGGATGTTGGTTAATGTATAATTTGGGTGAAGATAATATGTATTAATTTATGTAAAAAAGTCGACCCCAACACTAAGTGGAGATAATGTGCTGATGGGTATTGCTATCTGACTTTAAGAGTTTTTACCTCAAATTAATAGCTGGAATTAGATCAGTTACTATACACAAGCTCAGTAATGAAATGGTTACCATTCTAATAAACAAGTATGTAGTTGTAACTTTGTGGTTTAGTTTATCGAGATACTGAACATTTTGGTATTATGATTATGAAAAATTCCTCGGTGGTTCATTGATGCTTATTGCACCCTTAATGGAAGAATTTGATCACTTTATTGGTGCAAGTATTGTTACTGAAGGGGGGGTGTACTACCCTCTCCCCCTGTTACCCTTGTTTGGTTTCTTGGTGTATGATGCTTGCTCTAGGCTTTTGTGGCTGTGAAGTTGCCATATATTATTTGTTCAAAAACAATGCTTGAGATGATGTTTTGCAGCTCATGGGCTCATTTGTTGATTGTATGTTTGTTTAGGATAGGTATACTTGATGGAAGTGCTAAAGAAAAAACCAACAGTGTTTGAAGATGAGATGGTGAAAGATGCTGGAACTGGGGATTTTGATGTGGAGGTTTCTGAGTCTGAATCAGACTCACAAGAAGATGAGGATGTGAAGTTGGCTGAGCCTTCTAAGAACGCGATATACAACAGGGATGGTCTGCTTGACAAACTTGGAGATATCAGCTGGCCCAAGAATGTGGAGTGGATACACAAGCTTTCTTTTGATATAGATCAAGAGCAAGAGGTGGACGTGAATGATGACTTGACACGAGAGCTTGCTTTTTATACACAAGCTTTGGAGGGTACCAGGCAGGCCTTTCTGAAGTTTCAGTCAATGGAGCTTCCATTCCTTCGGACTTCTGACTTCTATGCTGAGATGGTGAAATCCGATAATCACATGGAGAAAGTTAAGGGCAGGCTATTAGCAGAAAAGAGAAGGATTGAGGAGGCCGAGGAGAGAAGGAAGGCTAGGGAGAGCAAGAAAATAGCTAAAGAAATACAGTCACAGAAGCTCAAAGAAAGGGCTAAGCAGAAAAAGGAGGGGATAGAATCTGTGAAGAAGTGGAGGAAGCAGAGGCAGCAGAGTGGGTTTGCTGGGATGGACAAAGAGGGTGACATTAATTTGCCTTTTGAAGATGGAAAAGCATTTGAGAGGTCAAACAAGAGGAGGCCAGGTGTTGCTCCTGGAGATCGTTCCGGAGGGAAGGCGAGACAGGGTGGTGGAAAGATGAAGAAAGGGTTCGATAAAAAGAGGAAGGGTAAGGAATCCAAGGAATCGAAGTTTGGATTTGGGGGGAGGAAAGGTTTAAAAAAGCAGAACACTGCTGAGACTACAAATGATTTAAGAGGATTCAACAATAATGATTTCTCTGGAAAAAAGAAGAGGAAGAGGTGATACACTTTTGTTCGATTGTTGTCTCGAGGCTCATTTGATTTCAGTAGCAGCAGATACAGTACTACCTTAGGATCTTATATTCTGTTATGGTTGGTCTGTTGTAGCCTGTTAAGGTTTTTTCCCTTGAAATTTAAACTATGTAAACTTAAAACTCCTGATATTTCATCCCAATGGTGTTGACCTTGAACTGAGTTAATGTTTTGGTGTATGAGACACCCATGATGCTGAGTATGCCTAGCCATTCTTCTATTTATTATTATGTTTGCAGAACATGGCTTTTTAATACTTGTTACTTGCTACCTAGTAGAAGAGGTACCTTGTTGATTTCTCAGTGAAATGAAACTTAAGTTGGAGTTTATCTGTTTGAAATTATGAAAGTGATATTTTGTTGAGTTGTTAAGGTTTGACTTTTTATTTTTTTGTGTTTCACCAACTAGGTTAAGAATGTTAATTCTTATTTGTTTAGGACTGGTATATAGATTCACACAGTTCATTATACTAGCAAACAACCTTCCTTGGTATTTATGAATTTTGCTATGAGAAAATCCAGGGAAAAGAGAATGAAATAAAATGAAGCCTAGAGATCAAGCATCATGTATATATTAATTTATAATTCTCATTTGTGATGAAATTGGAGGGCATTAGAAACTGAGTTGCCATCTTTAGGGCTGATAATCGAGTTGACATGTTCAGATTCAGCTCATTTTTGAGTTTGGTTTATTTTTTAAATAAATCGAGTTTGAACAATTTTTTAGGCACGTTTAAAAAAACAAGCTTCAAAGGCTCGGCTTAAACTCTCAAAGCTTGATTCGTTTATATGTAAAATAGTTGAACTATTCAGGTTTAGCTTATTTTGGGCTCGGAGCTAGACTCTGTGAGGTTCTTTGGTTGTTAAAATGACTTTGGTTAAATAATGGAAGTGAAGCCCGACATTTCAGTTGGTACATGGAAATGACTAAATTAAAGCATATAATATATGTCAACCCACATTAGCTTTCAGACCACACCTCATAAACTAGCCCTTAAATTGTGCCGAAAAAGCTTCCTCTTCACACTTGTTTTCATCAAACAAGCCTTTAAAAAGCCTAAACCTCTCCCATTCAGCTGAAACAACACCTGTCTGTACCTCTCAGCCTTTACTGTTCCTGACCTTGTTCATTGGATTTTTTCCTCCTGCTTCGACTTTGGAAAATCATGATTAGTTCCACATTGGAGTTGATCACTCTGGCTGCTTCCAATTCTCTCTTCCCCTTTTGTTTCTGCAATTTGATCATAGTCATTCTACTTATCGGTAGGTCCAAACCTGAGTCACAGTTGGATGAGGAGGAGATTGCTATTCCTCCTCCAATGGTTGCCAATACAAACGAGAATGACACAATAACATCAGGTGTTAATTGTTCAGTTGCACAGTTAGAGGATGAGGAGATTGTGGCTATTCCTCTAATGGTTGCCAATACAAACGAGAATGACACGAGAACACCAGATGTTAATTGTTCGGTTACAAAGAAAAATGCATCGACAGATAGAGACAGCAGTGAAAAGTCATACATCGACGTAGTAATAGTCAATAGTGGTGATGAAGGGAATGATGATTATGATGATGATGAGCTGAGGAGTTCATTAAAAAAATTAACAGAGGCTGGGAAAAAGAAAATTTGAGAAGATATCTTTTGAGTGTGAATAATGTTCTTTCTCATCCTGCTATTGTAGTCCATACTCATTCTTACCCTTCTATACGGAATGATTATTTATGTGATTCCCGGCCCTGACACACCTAAACATCATGAGTTCGAATTTAGAATATTTAAAAACATTTTTCCAATTAGCTTATTATTTATACAGGTCTCCAATAGTTAAGGTACTTTTTTTTTAAATCCAACACATTTTATAAGATATTGTAATGGCAAATCATAGTTAGAATCAATTTTAAAAAGGTTTTATCCACTTGCACAAGAGGGTTTTTCTTTCTTTTTTGGTTGTGGCAGAGACAGAAGAAATATACATTTCTCTTCTATGTATACTCACAGGCCTACATTCCAAACTCAACTGCCGTTTGAGAGGCCATTTAGTCCAAATCAAGCTGAGGATTCCTCTTTTTTTTTTTTTTAAGTTCAACAGTCAGAAATATCCGGGTCAATTTACATGCCCATCAACTACTCCCTATAAGAAGCAAAAATTACAATTAGAGAAGCCAACATTAACCCCATAAGAAAGAGGGACACCCCCACCCACCCGGGAACTAAGCCAGCTTGTACTGGGGTCCAAATTTTTTTGGGGGAAAGGGCCACTCCATTGAGAAGGGGAGAAGTTATTCTTCGACAGTGAGTGAACAATGGGTTTTCAAAAACCCAGAGGGCCATGGCCTTCTAGGCCACAATATAGTTCCATCCATGCCACCATTAACAACCTTCCAAAAGAAAAAAAGAAGGAACAAAAGCAATAAAGTTGAATATGTGCATTAATTTTAGGTGGATTGCTACCAAAATGCCCTCGATTCTTTTAAAATAAAGGTGTAAAAATTTAGCAGAGTACATTTTTGGGATTTTAATGCAAGAACAAACTCCAGTTGTATATTAGCATTCATTTAAATCACAACTCATCCATGAACAAATAACATCGGCATAAAACTCAAATCTTTCAAATACAANTCATTTGTGATGAAATTGGAGGGCATTAGAAACTGAGTTGCCATCTTTAGGGCTGATAATCGAGTTGACATGTTCAGATTCAGCTCATTTTTGAGTTTGGTTTATTTTTTAAATAAATCGAGTTTGAACAATTTTTTAGGCACGTTTAAAAAAACAAGCTTCAAAGGCTCGGCTTAAACTCTCAAAGCTTGATTCGTTTATATGTAAAATAGTTGAACTATTCAGGTTTAGCTTATTTTGGGCTCGGAGCTAGACTCTGTGAGGTTCTTTGGTTGTTAAAATGACTTTGGTTAAATAATGGAAGTGAAGCCCGANGCTCTCAAAGCTTGACTCGTTTATATGTAAAATAGTTGAACTACTCAGGTTTAGCTTATTTTGGGCTCGGAGCTAGACTCGATTATCAGTCTTAACCATGTGAGGTTCTTTGGTTGTTAAAATGACTTTGGTTAAATAATGGAAGTGAAGCCCGACATTTCAGTTGGTACATGGAAATGACTAAATTAAAGCATATAATATATGTCAACCCACATTAGCTTTCAGACCACACCTCATAAACTAGCCCTTAAATTGTGCCGAAAAAGCTTCCTCTTATCACTTGTTTTCATCAAACAAGCCTTTAAAAAGCCTAAACCTCTCCCATTCAGCTGAAACAACACCTGTCTGTACCTCTCAGCCTTTACTGTTCCTGACCTTGTTCATTGGATTTTTTCCTCCTGCTTCGACTTTGGAAAATCATGTTTAGTTCCACATTGGAGTTGATCACTCTGGCTGCTTCCAATTCTCTCTTCCCCTTTTGTTTCTGCAATTTGATCATAGTCATTCTACTTATCGGTAGGTCCAAACCTGAGTCACAGTTGGATGAGGAGGAGATTGCTATTCCTCCTCCAATGGTTGCCAATACAAACGAGAATGACACAATAACATCAGATGTTAATTGTTCAGTTGCACAGTTAGAGGATGAGGAGATTGTGGCTATTCCTCTAATGGTTGCCAATACAAACGAGAATGACACGAGAACACCAGATGTTAATTGTTCGGTTACAAAGAAAAATGCATCGACAGATAGAGACAGCAGTGAAAAGTCATACATCGACGTAGTAATAGTCAATAGTGGTGATGAAGGGAATGATGATTATGATGATGATGAGCTGAGGAGTTCATTAAAAAAATTAACAGAGGCTGGGAAAAAGAAAATTTGAGAAGATATCTTTTGAGTGTGAATAATGTTCTTTCTCATCCTGCTATTGTAGTCCATACTCATTCTTACCCTTCTATACGGAATGATTATTTATGTGATTCCCGGCCCTGACACACCTAAACATCATGAGTTCGAATTTAGAATATTTAAAAACATTTTTCCAATTAGCTTATTATTTATACAGGTCTCCAATAGTTAAGGTACTTTTTTTTTAAATCCAACACATTTTATAAGATATTGTAATGGCAAATCATAGTTAGAATCAATTTTAAAAAGGTTTTATCCACTTGCACAAGAGGGTTTTTCTTTCTTTTTTGGTTGTGGCAGAGACAGAAGAAATATACATTTCTCTTCTATGTATACTCACAGGCCTACATTCCAAACTCAACTGCCGTTTGAGAGGCCATTTAGTCCAAATCAAGCTGAGGATTCCTCTTTTTTTTTTTTTTTAAGTTCAACAGTCAGAAATATCCGGGTCAATTTACATGCCCATCAACTACTCCCTATAAGAAGCAAAAATTACAATTAGAGAAGCCAACATTAACCCCATAAGAAAGAGGGACACCCCCACCCACCCGGGAACTAAGCCAGCTTGTACTGGGGTCCAAATTTTTTTGGGGGAAAGGGCCACTCCATTGAGAAGGGGAGAAGTTATTCTTCGACAGTGAGTGAACAATGGGTTTTCAAAAACCCAGAGGGCCATGGCCTTCTAGGCCACAATATAGTTCCATCCATGCCACCATTAACAACCTTCCAAAAGAAAAAAAGAAGGAACAAAAGCAATAAAGTTGAATATGTGCATTAATTTTAGGTGGATTGCTACCAAAATGCCCTCGATTCTTTTAAAATAAAGGTGTAAAAATTTAGCAGAGTACATTTTTGGGATTTTAATGCAAGAACAAACTCCAGTTGTATATTAGCATTCATTTAAATCACAACTCATCCATGAACAAATAACATCGGCATAAAACTCAAATCTTTCAAATACAAGGTCAGTCAGTCTTCTGAGAATGACAACCCCAGTTTCATACATCAACAAATGAGACAACACCAGATAACATATGATGACACAACAACTGCAGAATAAGCCTACCAACTGAAGTGTAAGTCCTAACCTAGTATCCAGAAAGACGAGTAATCTGGGTTAAACAGGCTCAAAGTTAAAACACCTATGTGGTCCTATCATAATAAGCAGTCAATGACTACATATATGGGTCAGACAAAGGGGAGTGTGACTAAAAGGCACAAATCTGCTAGAAACTGCTAAGGTACAACAAATCATACAGAGCATATGCATCAGCAAGAAACCTCACTGGCTGGGGTCTTTAGGTTCTCCTCCAGACAAAGATACGTTGTTTTCAGAAGCAGAAATCTTAGAACCATTCATGGAATTCAATGAAGCTGGGTTGTCTTCATGGAAGGACGAGGAAGTAGTGAAAGTTGGCTTTGGTCCACTATATGCACCCTCAGATCCTCCTTCAGATAGACGATTAGCAGGGGTAAGAGTGAAAGCTGCTGTGTGCTCAAATCTCTGCTTCTTAGGCTTCTGTTCCTGCTGGTGACCAGGAAGAAAGCTGCCAAGCACAACCTGGTGCAATCAAGGAGTTAACAAGAAGAACTGCAAAGTATGGCCATCTGGACTCAAATAGCAGACGCATAAACATGGTCAAGTACAAGTGATGGACTACCTAAAATATCTTAAAACNGACATTTCAGTTGGTACATGGAAATGACTAAATTAAAGCATATAATATATGTCAACCCACATTAGCTTTCAGACCACACCTCATAAACTAGCCCTTAAATTGTGCCGAAAAAGCTTCCTCTTATCACTTGTTTTCATCAAACAAGCCTTTAAAAAGCCTAAACCTCTCCCATTCAGCTGAAACAACACCTGTCTGTACCTCTCAGCCTTTACTGTTCCTGACCTTGTTCATTGGATTTTTTCCTCCTGCTTCGACTTTGGAAAATCATGATTAGTTCCACATTGGAGTTGATCACTCTGGCTGCTTCCAATTCTCTCTTCCCCTTTTGTTTCTGCAATTTGATCATAGTCATTCTACTTATCGGTAGGTCCAAACCTGAGTCACAGTTGGATGAGGAGGAGATTGCTATTCCTCCTCCAATGGTTGCCAATACAAACGAGAATGACACAANCTAACCTCTCTCTCTCTCTCTCGTCATCTTGGTTCCACAGATTAACGCCAATAATTTCTAGTATTAGATTACTACATGGATTAGTGAACCTTATTTTATTCTTCGTTCTCTTTTGCTTGAAGAAATTCTAACCTGAACAGGNGTATTAGATTACTACATGGACTAGTGAACCTTATTTTATTCTTCGTTCTCTTTTGCTTGAAGAAATTCTAACCTGAACAGGACCAGCAGCTACTAGAAGGCCAGCAAGTCCTCCCCCCAAAACACGGCCATCCGGGCCGGCCAAAGAGACACTCATCCCACCAGATCTGCTTTTTGTTCCGCCATTATCAGTTGGCATATATGATCCAGTTAAAGAAAGTATCTCAAAACGACCCTGCAAAAAGACAAACAATCACAATTCTGAGGCAGAACCATCTCCAAAACAGGAAACTCTTCTAAAAAAAGGTGGGCCTCATGTGTGTTGTATCTGAAAATCATGGGCTAATGTAATAGATTACGCTTCAAATCAGGTCAATTATAAAGATTAATGCTTATGGGAAAAAAGCTAACAAAACAAGCTGACAATGGCATTTCCCATTGGAATTGTCAAACCAACCACAACAACAATCAAGCAAAAACGTAAGGAGGACTTGCCAGCCAACACATTATAAATATCAAGAGAGAAGATCAACATACAAATAAATGGTCAGTAAAATTGCTGGCATGGTTTTGATGTAATGGGTACAAAGGATTAGCAACTGAAATTGCATATTAACAATTTAATGACTTATCAGTTTTTAATCACAAAGTAAAAATTTCTAGCCATAAGGCATATACGAGGCACAAATAAACACAGGCCTTGCAAAAAAAAAAATATTTATATTGACTAGTTTCCTTGATATTTCCTAGTGTAGTCGATGACCTTCCAAAAAATATGCTCCTCAGAGACATAATGAGAAGAGAAATGAACAACAGCCCTTCTNATATTTATATATTGACTAGTTTCCTTGATATTTCCTAGTGTAGTCGATGACCTTCCAAAAAATATGCTCCTCAGAGACATAATGAGAAGAGAAATGAACAACAGCCCTTCTTGTAGCCTTCTTTGAACTCCACACCTCAGATGATCTTCAAGTACCCTCGGTCATATACCAGAGAACATGTCTGCACCGTGAATTTAAGTACCTCACAGTACTGAATATAGGTACAGCATGGCACTATGCTGCACATAACTGACCTCCCTGATGCACATTGAATGGAAGTAAAAAAAGAAGAAAAGGTTCGCACCTCATATGTCAAAGTACCCCCAGAAGAATTAGGCTGACGAAGTGTAACATTTGAAATTGCACCATTTGCTGAAAGAACGCAAATAGCTCTGGACCCTTGTTGAGAAAATGCCATGATTTTCATTGAAACATCCTGATAAAGACACAAACAGAAACCATTAAAATACTACAACAGAAACATTAAGAAAAAGTGGATTGAGTTTATCCTTAAGGACAAACACAAATCATGAGATAAAGACAAGGTAGCCAGCAGGGAACAGCATTTAACCTTACACACAGTTTACTATGATCACACATGTACAATGTTCTAAAAATGGCCATCACCAAATTGCCCAATTTGGTCTTGTTATTCATGGGTACCGGAGGGTGGATTCAGTTTGCAATGTATTGGTGTATACATATATGCTTATGCTTGAGAAATTATAATTGAGCCCTTTCATTATCAGTTACATTTGTGAGCATTATGATGGGGTTCGTGTAGGAATTGGATAGATATTATAGATTAATTATTATAGTTATTTAGATATACTTTAAATATTTATCTTTTAAGTAATTTCTTTTAACTTTTGAGGGTTTATTTGTCATTTTATTTTTCAAGGACTTAGTTGTCATTTTGATTATTTATTTATTTTAAGGTTTGTGATCTCCTTATATATATAGGATTTGTGAACTCCTTATATATATAAGGGATACATACTTATTGTGGGATACTTTTGATTATTATTAACGACTGGTATTGTATACTTTGATTCATTCTCAAATTCTCTCTCTTTTCTCATCCCCTTCTTCTTCTTCCCTAATTCTTCTTTAATACGATCTACATCAATTTGGTATCAGAGCCCAACTTCAATTCGTATAAAAAAAAATATTATTCATCGTGCACTGTTTATCGCACACTATTCACTGTTCATCGAAAACAATGTTCATACCATAAGAAGTGGAAAAAAAAACATAACTGCAGTCTTGAAAATTGCAGCAACATGCTAGCTGTTGTAGAAAATACAAAAACACCCCAGAAAGTTTCAGAAGTTTCAGAAATTGCAAAATCTCCCCCCAAAAGTTTCAAAATTGCAAAAACATTTTCAACAGANAATTCGTATAAAAAAAAATATTATTCATCGTGCACTGTTTATCGCACACTGTTCACTGTTCATCGAAAACAATGTTCATACCATAAGAAGTGAAAAAAAAAACATAACTGCAGTCTTGAAAATTGCAGCAACATGCTAGCTGTTGTAGAAAATACAAAAACACTCCAGAAAGTTTCAAAAGTTTCAGAAATTGCAAAATCTCCCCCCAAAAGTTTCAAAATTGCAAAAACATTTTCAACAGATCTATAAAATTGCAGATTTATCCCAAAAAGTTTTAGAATTTCCTCTTTATTATGGTATGCATACTCTCATAGAAATTTTGAGACTAATATTTTTCATTCATTGAAAAATTAGAAAATTTGCAAAGGGTCCAAAACATATTTTCTTCTATTTAAGTTTTCTCACTTCTCGTAATTATCAATTGCATTCTTGAACTCATTCTTATGTTATTCTCATCTTTCAAAATCAATCATGAGTTCATATGATTATTATGATGACTATTTATATATTTATCCAACATCAAGAATGTCTCAAGTTCACAGTTCTCCACAACGTCATCACTATACCTATTATACTCCTAAAGTTTCTCGTAGTCATCATAAAGTTCATAGTAAATCTGAGTTTTATTATGAAGATTATCTAAAATACTACTCTGGACACTTAGGTCACATAACAATTACCAACGTTATGCTTCCCAAAGTCATCATCAAGGTCAATCTGGATCAATCTTCAATGTCATTAGTGACCATTCAAAAGCCCAAACTGCCCTAGAAAAAAAGGTNATCTAAAATACTACTCTGGACACTTAGGTCACATAACAATTACCAACGTTATGCTTCCCAAAGTCATCATCAAGGTCAATTTGGATCAATCTTCAATGTCATTAGTGACCATTCAAAAGCCCAAACTGCCCTAGAAAAAAAGGTTGAAATCTTTGAAATTGGAGTTGCTAATACTAAACATTCACTCGCCAATTACGTGAAGAATGTAAACGGATGAAAAACCAATTATTTGAATTAATAAGTCAACTTTCTCACTTGAATAAAATTCTTGTAGTCTACAAATGGAAGAAAATAAGGACAAGTCTCCAATTTCACCTAATGTCGGACCAATGTTACCTGGATCATGAGTCGCTTTGGTACGTAATACAGGTATGGGTACATGATATGACACTTTCTTAGATACGTGGTACAATAGGGGTAGGTTTAGTTGGTACGGTAGTTTGAGTCGCAATTCGTTTTGGAACTCTTATGTAGATCATTTTCACTACTATACAACATTATATATTACAAAACATTCATAAACACTAAGTTAGTTACCATTTATCTTATAATTGTGCTTGATTTTCTATTATCTAAAACAATATATAATTATAAATCTATATACATGTAGTCAATTAATATATATTTTATATTTGTGTTAGATGTTCTAAAGCGAATTGATTTAGGATTAGTATTATAATTTGGGGTCGTCAATTTTAGTGATCTAGATCGCAAACCCACCACGTTTTGGATCGATGTACCCAGATCATGGGTCGTTAAGGGTTTAGTAAATTGTGACAACCATGTGTCGGACACCCGCATAATGATAGTCATATTTTTATGCCATTGAACCGTCATGCTTTCCATCATTCCAAAGATTCTTTCAATCGTTTGGAACATTAAAACTAGTGATGAGATTATTTTTGATCCTATCATATTTACTACCTTATCGGAGCCAAAAGTTGAATCATCACTAATCATTGAACTTGAGAAAAAATCCATTTAGTTGATTTCTATGCTAGATGTTGAACATATTAAGCTACCTATTTTAGAATCTGCTGGTGATTATTTTGTGTCTGCTATTCCGAATCGTGATGACATTGTTGTGGATTCTTTTTCATATAAGATTGTTGATTTTTTTCTGAATTCTTCTCCATCTGAGATTGTTGACATTGTTTTGAATTCTGCCCCACTTGAGAGTGTTAACTTTGTTTCTTTGCCTACTGTCAAGTTTCCAATTGAGTCTGTACTTTCTTATTTTCAACACCAGGGTGTTATACTTACTCCTTAGTCATTGATGTTTTGTCCCATTGAATGTCTGTTGTTTAAATCTAATGGGAATTGTTTTGTTATTCTTGAGTTTGAATCTAATGCTTATTTGCTTAATTTTTCGTTAAATGTTAATATTAGTCCAGATTTTTATTTGGAGGACATGCTACTTAATCGAGGTACTGCAGAACCTCCTATTTTGATTTCTATGCTAGATGTTGAACATATTAAGCTACCTATTTTAGAATCTGCTGGTGATTATTCTGTGTCTGCTATTCCGAATCGTGATGACATTGTTGTGGATTCTTTTTCATATAAGATTGTTGATTTTTTTCTGAATTCTTCTCCATCTGAGATTGTTGACATTGTTTTGAATTCTGCCCCACTTGAGAGTGTTAACTTTGTTTCTTTGCCTACTGTCAAGTTTCCAATTGAGTCTGTACTTTCTTATTTTCAACACCAGGGTGTTATACTTACTCCTTAGTCATTGATGTTTTGTCCCATTGAATGTCTGTTGTTTAAATCTAATGGGAATTGTTTTGTTATTCTTGAGTTTGAATCTAATGCTTATTTGCTTAATTTTTCGTTAAATGTTAATATTAGTCCAGATTTTTATTTGGAGGACATGCTACTTAATCGAGGTACTGCAGAACCTCCTATTTTGATTTCTATGCTAGATGTTGAACATATTAAGCTACCTATTTTAGAATCTGCTGGTGATTATTCTGTGTCTGCTATTCCGAATCGTGATGACATTGTTGTGGATTCTTTTTCATATAAGATTGTTGATTTTTTTCTGAATTCTTCTCCATCTGAGATTGTTGACATTGTTTTGAATTCTGCCCCACTTGAGAGTGTTAACTTTGTTTCTTTGCCTACTGTCAAGTTTCCAATTGAGTCTGTACTTTCTTATTTTCAACACCAGGGTGTTATACTTACTCCTTAGTCATTGATGTTTTGTCCCATTGAATGTCTGTTGTTTAAATCTAATGGGAATTGTTTTGTTATTCTTGAGTTTGAATCTAATGCTTATTTGCTTAATTTTTCGTTAAATGTTAATATTAGTCCAGATTTTTATTTGGAGGACATGCTACTTAATCGAGGTACTGCAGAACCTCCTATTTTGATTTCTATGCTAGATGTTGAACATATTAAGCTACCTATTTTAGAATCTGCTGGTGATTATTCTGTGTCTGCTATTCCGAATCGTGATGACATTGTTGTGGATTCTTTTTCATATAAGATTGTTGATTTTTTTCTGAATTCTTCTCCATCTGAGATTGTTGACATTGTTTTGAATTCTGCCCCACTTGAGAGTGTTAACTTTGTTTCTTTGCCTACTGTCAAGTTTCCAATTGAGTCTGTACTTTCTTATTTTCAACACCAGGGTGTTATACTTACTCCTTAGTCATTGATGTTTTGTCCCATTGAATGTCTGTTGTTTAAATCTAATGGGAATTGTTTTGTTATTCTTGAGTTTGAATCTAATGCTTATTTGCTTAATTTTTCGTTAAATGTTAATATTAGTCCAGATTTTTATTTGGAGGACATGCTACTTAATCGAGGTACTGCAGAACCTCCTATTTTGATTTCTATGCTAGATGTTGAACATATTAAGCTACCTATTTTAGAATCTGCTGGTGATTATTCTGTGTCTGCTATTCCGAATCGTGATGACATTGTTGTGGATTCTTTTTCATATAAGATTGTTGATTTTTTTCTGAATTCTTCTCCATCTGAGATTGTTGACATTGTTTTGAATTCTGCCCCACTTGAGAGTGTTAACTTTGTTTCTTTGCCTACTGTCAAGTTTCCAATTGAGTCTGTACTTTCTTATTTTCAACACCAGGGTGTTATACTTACTCCTTAGTCATTGATGTTTTGTCCCATTGAATGTCTGTTGTTTAAATCTAATGGGAATTGTTTTGTTATTCTTGAGTTTGAATCTAATGCTTATTTGCTTAATTTTCCGTTAAATGTTAATATTAGTCCAGATTTTTATTTGGAGGACATGCTACTTAATCGAGGTACTGCAGAACCTCCTATTTTGTTATCCAGTGTTTCTATAGTTGAAATTGTTTCTTCCTCAACATTAGCTCCAGTTCTTATCTTTCCACTTCTAACACATATTTTGGGTCAAATAGATGATGTGCTACGTGACCAAATTTATATTGCTACAGATAGAGATTTTTGTATTTATTCTGATCAATGGAAAGATGTTTATGGTTCTTTCATTCTAGATGAGGGGTTCTGTCATCTTCACGCTGCTCTCTTAAGGTACTTCTGCTTTGAAGACTCTCCGGAAGAGAGTTTTTCTCAATCGGAGGAGAATGATGGGAATCATGTAGGAATTGGATAGATATTATCGATTAATTATTATAATTATTTAAATATTTTTAATATTTATATTTTAAGTAATTTCTTTTAACTTTTGAAGATTTATTTGTCATTTTATTTTTCAGGGACTTAGTTGTTATTTTGACTATTTATTTATTTTAGGGTTTGTGATCTCCTTATATATATAGGATTTGTGAACTCCTTATATATATAGGGGATACATATTTGTTATGGAATACTTTTGATTATTATTAACGACTGGTATTGAATATTTTGTTTCCTTCTCAAATTCTCTTTCTTTTCTCATCCTCCTCTTCTTCTCTTTTCATCCCCTTTTTCTTCCCTTTCTTATCCTTAATTCTTCCCTAATACGATCTACATCACATTAGCTCTAAGAAAAACTATCCAGACAAATCATAACTAATCGAAAGTTTTATCCCAATGGACACCAGAACAGATGACATCTTGATATCTTCTTTCTATAGGTAGCAATTTTTCTCAAAGCTACATGATATCTCTGTTTCTCAATTCCTCAACATCAGAGTACTGTATTTTCTCAAAGCTGCATTATATTTCTACTTCTAAGAAAGCATTGAGACAGTTTACCGGTGCCCCAAGTCAATATTTCAACGTAGCACCTCTATACCCATGTGGATGGTTTCCTATACTAGAACGCATTAACCTATAACATAAAGAAGCAAACCCTTGAACTTTTTATTTATTGAGCAAATTTCTCATCTAGCAAAAGATTCAGTTGATACAGGGCAGCATTTGGAGTTACAAAAAAATTCAAAAAAAAAAACAGAACAGAATATTTTTAGATATTTACATCTCAACATATGTGATAAGGGTCTGATAATGATGAGATTTAAAAAAAATATTGATTTTCTCTGACATGTAGAAGTACCTCGCCAGCGTTAACAGTGATCACATGGGGAGTGAAATTTGCACCAATAGAGTATGCTACCCGGTCACCTACAAAATAATTTGTTTAANGATGTTCTAAAGCGAATTGATTTAGGATTAGTATTATAATTTGGGGTCGTCAATTTTAGTGATCTAGATCGCAAACCCACCACGTTTTGGATCGATGTACCCAGATCATGGGTCGTTAAGGGTTTAGTAAATTGTGACAACCATGTGTCGGACACCCGCATAATGAAGNCTTTATACCACATAGGAAAACAATGACTTTATATAAATAAAAAAATGCCACTGAATATAACAGCTATTCAAACTTAGCATCAATTCTATCCGTTCACTGTAGCGGAATATTCTACCAGATCCACACTTGTTAAATCATTTCCTCATCANAGTCATATTTTTGTGCCATTGAACCGTCATGCTTTCCATCATTCCAAAGATTCTTTCAATCATTTGGAACATTAAAACTAGTGATGAGATTATTTTTGATCCTATCATATTTACTACCTTATCGGAGCCAAAAGTTGAATCATCACTAATCATTGAACTTGAGAAAAAATCCATTTAGTTGATTTCTATGCTAGATGTTGAACATATTAAGCTACCTATTTTAGAATCTGCTGGTGATTATTCTGTGTCTGCTATTCCGAATCGTGATGACATTGTTGTGGATTCTTTTTCATATAAGATTGTTGATTTTTTTCTGAATTCTTCTCCATCTGAGATTGTTGACATTGTTTTGAATTCTGCCCCACTTGAGAGTGTTAACTTTGTTTCTTTGCCTACTGTCAAGTTTCCAATTGAGTCTGTACTTTCTTATTTTCAACACCAGGGTGTTATACTTACTCCTTAGTCATTGATGTTTTGTCCCATTGAATGTCTGTTGTTTAAATCTAATGGGAATTGTTTTGTTATTCTTGAGTTTGAATCTAATGCTTATTTGCTTAATTTTTCGTTAAATGTTAATATTAGTCCAGATTTTTATTTGGAGGACATGCTACTTAATCGAGGTACTGCAGAACCTCCTATTTTGATTTCTATGCTAGATGTTGAACATATTAAGCTACCTATTTTAGAATCTGCTGGTGATTATTCTGTGTCTGCTATTCCGAATCGTGATGACATTGTTGTGGATTCTTTTTCATATAAGATTGTTGATTTTTTTCTGAATTCTTCTCCATCTGAGATTGTTGACATTGTTTTGAATTCTGCCCCACTTGAGAGTGTTAACTTTGTTTCTTTGCCTACTGTCAAGTTTCCAATTGAGTCTGTACTTTCTTATTTTCAACACCAGGGTGTTATACTTACTCCTTAGTCATTGATGTTTTGTCCCATTGAATGTCTGTTGTTTAAATCTAATGGGAATTGTTTTGTTATTCTTGAGTTTGAATCTAATGCTTATTTGCTTAATTTTTCGTTAAATGTTAATATTAGTCCAGATTTTTATTTGGAGGACATGCTACTTAATCGAGGTACTGCAGAACCTCCTATTTTGATTTCTATGCTAGATGTTGAACATATTAAGCTACCTATTTTAGAATCTGCTGGTGATTATTCTGTGTCTGCTATTCCGAATCGTGATGACATTGTTGTGGATTCTTTTTCATATAAGATTGTTGATTTTTTTCTGAATTCTTCTCCATCTGAGATTGTTGACATTGTTTTGAATTCTGCCCCACTTGAGAGTGTTAACTTTGTTTCTTTGCCTACTGTCAAGTTTCCAATTGAGTCTGTACTTTCTTATTTTCAACACCAGGGTGTTATACTTACTCCTTAGTCATTGATGTTTTGTCCCATTGAATGTCTGTTGTTTAAATCTAATGGGAATTGTTTTGTTATTCTTGAGTTTGAATCTAATGCTTATTTGCTTAATTTTTCGTTAAATGTTAATATTAGTCCAGATTTTTATTTGGAGGACATGCTACTTAATCGAGGTACTGCAGAACCTCCTATTTTGATTTCTATGCTAGATGTTGAACATATTAAGCTACCTATTTTAGAATCTGCTGGTGATTATTCTGTGTCTGCTATTCCGAATCGTGATGACATTGTTGTGGATTCTTTTTCATATAAGATTGTTGATTTTTTTCTGAATTCTTCTCCATCTGAGATTGTTGACATTGTTTTGAATTCTGCCCCACTTGAGAGTGTTAACTTTGTTTCTTTGCCTACTGTCAAGTTTCCAATTGAGTCTGTACTTTCTTATTTTCAACACCAGGGTGTTATACTTACTCCTTAGTCATTGATGTTTTGTCCCATTGAATGTCTGTTGTTTAAATCTAATGGGAATTGTTTTGTTATTCTTGAGTTTGAATCTAATGCTTATTTGCTTAATTTTTCGTTAAATGTTAATATTAGTCCAGATTTTTATTTGGAGGACATGCTACTTAATCGAGGTACTGCAGAACCTCCTATTTTGATTTCTATGCTAGATGTTGAACATATTAAGCTACCTATTTTAGAATCTGCTGGTGATTATTCTGTGTCTGCTATTCCGAATCGTGATGACATTGTTGTGGATTCTTTTTCATATAAGATTGTTGATTTTTTTCTGAATTCTTCTCCATCTGAGATTGTTGACATTGTTTTGAATTCTGCCCCACTTGAGAGTGTTAACTTTGTTTCTTTGCCTACTGTCAAGTTTCCAATTGAGTCTGTACTTTCTTATTTTCAACACCAGGGTGTTATACTTACTCCTTAGTCATTGATGTTTTGTCCCATTGAATGTCTGTTGTTTAAATCTAATGGGAATTGTTTTGTTATTCTTGAGTTTGAATCTAATGCTTATTTGCTTAATTTTTCGTTAAATGTTAATATTAGTCCAGATTTTTATTTGGAGGACATGCTACTTAATCGAGGTACTGCAGAACCTCCTATTTTGATTTCTATGCTAGATGTTGAACATATTAAGCTACCTATTTTAGAATCTGCTGGTGATTATTCTGTGTCTGCTATTCCGAATCGTGATGACATTGTTGTGGATTCTTTTTCATATAAGATTGTTGATTTTTTTCTGAATTCTTCTCCATCTGAGATTGTTGACATTGTTTTGAATTCTGCCCCACTTGAGAGTGTTAACTTTGTTTCTTTGCCTACTGTCAAGTTTCCAATTGAGTCTGTACTTTCTTATTTTCAACACCAGGGTGTTATACTTACTCCTTAGTCATTGATGTTTTGTCCCATTGAATGTCTGTTGTTTAAATCTAATGGGAATTGTTTTGTTATTCTTGAGTTTGAATCTAATGCTTATTTGCTTAATTTTTCGTTAAATGTTAATATTAGTCCAGATTTTTATTTGGAGGACATGCTACTTAATCGAGGTACTGCAGAACCTCCTATTTTGATTTCTATGCTAGATGTTGAACATATTAAGCTACCTATTTTAGAATCTGCTGGTGATTATTCTGTGTCTGCTATTCCGAATCGTGATGACATTGTTGTGGATTCTTTTTCATATAAGATTGTTGATTTTTTTCTGAATTCTTCTCCATCTGAGATTGTTGACATTGTTTTGAATTCTGCCCCACTTGAGAGTGTTAACTTTGTTTCTTTGCCTACTGTCAAGTTTCCAATTGAGTCTGTACTTTCTTATTTTCAACACCAGGGTGTTATACTTACTCCTTAGTCATTGATGTTTTGTCCCATTGAATGTCTGTTGTTTAAATCTAATGGGAATTGTTTTGTTATTCTTGAGTTTGAATCTAATGCTTATTTGCTTAATTTTTCGTTAAATGTTAATATTAGTCCAGATTTTTATTTGGAGGACATGCTACTTAATCGAGGTACTGCAGAACCTCCTATTTTGATTTCTATGCTAGATGTTGAACATATTAAGCTACCTATTTTAGAATCTGCTGGTGATTATTCTGTGTCTGCTATTCCGAATCGTGATGACATTGTTGTGGATTCTTTTTCATATAAGATTGTTGATTTTTTTCTGAATTCTTCTCCATCTGAGATTGTTGACATTGTTTTGAATTCTGCCCCACTTGAGAGTGTTAACTTTGTTTCTTTGCCTACTGTCAAGTTTCCAATTGAGTCTGTACTTTCTTATTTTCAACACCAGGGTGTTATACTTACTCCTTAGTCATTGATGTTTTGTCCCATTGAATGTCTGTTGTTTAAATCTAATGGGAATTGTTTTGTTATTCTTGAGTTTGAATCTAATGCTTATTTGCTTAATTTTTCGTTAAATGTTAATATTAGTCCAGATTTTTATTTGGAGGACATGCTACTTAATCGAGGTACTGCAGAACCTCCTATTTTGATTTCTATGCTAGATGTTGAACATATTAAGCTACCTATTTTAGAATCTGCTGGTGATTATTCTGTGTCTGCTATTCCGAATCGTGATGACATTGTTGTGGATTCTTTTTCATATAAGATTGTTGATTTTTTTCTGAATTCTTCTCCATCTGAGATTGTTGACATTGTTTTGAATTCTGCCCCACTTGAGAGTGTTAACTTTGTTTCTTTGCCTACTGTCAAGTTTCCAATTGAGTCTGTACTTTCTTATTTTCAACACCAGGGTGTTATACTTACTCCTTAGTCATTGATGTTTTGTCCCATTGAATGTCTGTTGTTTAAATCTAATGGGAATTGTTTTGTTATTCTTGAGTTTGAATCTAATGCTTATTTGCTTAATTTTTCGTTAAATGTTAATATTAGTCCAGATTTTTATTTGGAGGACATGCTACTTAATCGAGGTACTGCAGAACCTCCTATTTTGATTTCTATGCTAGATGTTGAACATATTAAGCTACCTATTTTAGAATCTGCTGGTGATTATTCTGTGTCTGCTATTCCGAATCGTGATGACATTGTTGTGGATTCTTTTTCATATAAGATTGTTGATTTTTTTCTGAATTCTTCTCCATCTGAGATTGTTGACATTGTTTTGAATTCTGCCCCACTTGAGAGTGTTAACTTTGTTTCTTTGCCTACTGTCAAGTTTCCAATTGAGTCTGTACTTTCTTATTTTCAACACCAGGGTGTTATACTTACTCCTTAGTCATTGATGTTTTGTCCCATTGAATGTCTGTTGTTTAAATCTAATGGGAATTGTTTTGTTATTCTTGAGTTTGAATCTAATGCTTATTTGCTTAATTTTTCGTTAAATGTTAATATTAGTCCAGATTTTTATTTGGAGGACATGCTACTTAATCGAGGTACTGCAGAACCTCCTATTTTGATTTCTATGCTAGATGTTGAACATANTTTTATACCACATAGGAAAATAATGACTTTATATAAATAAAAAAATGCCACTGAATATAACAGCTATTCAAACTTAGCATCAATTCTATCAGTTCACTGTAGCGGAATATTCTACCAGATCCACACTTGTTAAATCATTTCCTCATCATTATTCTCTCAAGTTCTCTATTATTATCACAATTATTGAATAAGGATAGTTTTTATCCGATCACAACAGTTTCTAAAACATCACCAAACAAAAGGAACTGGTTCTTACAACAAATCTGACTATCGATAAGCCCTGGGCATCTTTGCTATTTCTCTTGCACAGAAGGTGAGAAACTTTGGATCCAAGAGAGAGATTCCCTTTCTCTATAGCACTATGATAAAATTCCCCCATTTTAAGCAGTAATTTTAACTGCCAAAAACTCCAGATTTAGAAGGGTATCTGGGACAACAAGGGTCCCAATTTCACACTAAATACATCTAATATAACATGCAAATTTAACCATAGTATTCAAAANTAATGATGAGATTTAAAAAAAATATTGATTTTCTCTGACATGTAGAAGTACCTCGCCAGCGTTAACAGTGATCACATGGGGCGTGAAATTTGCACCAATAGAGTATGCTACCCGGTCACCTACAAAATAATTTGTTTAATGAGTTGCTGAAACAAATTTCAAACTTTGACAGAAAAGACGTTTAAATCCTTATGGATATCAACAACAGTCTCATGACACAAACCCACAAATTTTGACTAGTGGTAACTAACTCAAACAACAGCACAAGCATAGAGGCGTTTAAATGGTTGAGCCAATGTTCACGTTCACGCTCAAAACTAAAAATATTTTATACTCTTCCAATGCTTCTACAGCCACGCCTTTCTTAAAAAATGCAGTTAAAAGAGGGACAACGTGTTCCATTTAGTATAAGATCTTTTGAAGCACTATACTAGCTTGTTCAGGGTTTACTAGTGTGTCTTTTATACCACATAGGAAAATAATGACTTTATATAAATAAAAAAATGCCACTGAATATAACAGCTATTCAAACTTAGCATCAATTCTATCAGTTCACTGTAGCGGAATATTCTACCAGATCCACACTTGTTAAATCATTTCCTCATCATTATTCTCTCAAGTTCTCTATTATTATCACAATTATTGAATAAGGATAGTTTTTATCCGATCACAACAGTTTCTAAAACATCACCAAACAAAAGGAACTGGTTCTTACAACAAATCTGACTATCGATAAGCCCTGGGCATCTTTGCTATTTCTCTTGCACAGAAGGTGAGAAACTTTGGATCCAAGAGAGAGATTCCCTTTCTCTATAGCACTATGATAAAATTCCCCCATTTTAAGCAGTAATTTTAACTGCCAAAAACTCCAGATTTAGAAGGGTATCTGGGACAACAAGGGTCCCAATTTCACACTAAATACATCTAATATAACATGCAAATTTAACCATAGTATTCAAAAAAAGACGCAACCGGTGACCCGGGGCAACCAAAACCAGACCAGTAGATCTAGTTGTCAAACATGTCTGAAGGTTTATTCCATAAATAATGTTCTATCAAACAAAAAAAAAATCCATAATTAATCATATCAGAACTTCACTCAAATTTGGTACCACCACACTCTAATTAGGGTAACATATCATGATCTTAATGAAACAGTTAATAAAACGAAAATTAAGAGCAATTCAAAATGTACATATAAGGATCACAGAAAAAGTCTTTCGGTAAGGCTGCGTCCATCTAACCCTTCCCCCACTTAGATACGTCTTTTTATAGATAGGATCAGAAATCAATCATTACCTGGACTTACAACCTCCAATTTGTGTTTCTTCTTGAATGACTCAATTGGCCGACCGTGTTTCCAGGCTGAGAAATCACCGGTAAGTGGAATCGAAGCCGAAATCGGCATTGGTGACAGTGCTATGTTGGGTGACCCATCTGGTCCGTACTTCTTTGGCCTTCCCCTTTTTTTCTTCACCTCCCTGCCCGGCACTGGCACCGCTGCGCTTACCGGTGGCGCCGGAGTCGGTGCAGCCGTTGATCCGCCAAATTGACCAAGATTTTCACCCATTGCAGCCACCCTGAAGCTCTCTGGAGCTTCATCACCCTTAACTGTAACTCCAAAACTGTTGATACCTAAATTTCCCTCCATTCATAGACCAACAAACAAAAACCCAAAACCCTAAAAACACTATAAATCTAAGACCTGAGAATGAAAAAACCCACACCTTTTGAACTTAAAACTCTGAAAATAATTACCTTTCAACACAATATTTCGGAAAAAAAAAATCAGATTTCTTGAAAAATACAAATACACAAATGAAACCCAAGAAAAATCACATGAACCCACTTCAAACTCAACAAACCCAGAAATCAAAACCTGAACACAGCAACTTCTGCCGCAAAAGTTACTCACTTATAATAGATACTGAACTAGGGCTTGATCTCTACCATTGCAAAGCATTCACAGAGCTTCAATGGTAATACCCTGTTTCTGGAAAATGAAAAAAAAAAATCTGAATTCTCTCGTTTCAGAATTTCTACAAGAATTGAGAAATTAGGGTGTTGCAGAAAAGCAGGAGAGAAGAAAAATAAAGCATGAAAAAATAGGAAAAAAATTAAATAGAATTTAATTAAATATTGTGAATTTAGTAAATAATTAATATTTAAACTGCAAAATTCAAAGTCTTAATTTTGGTTAACAAAATGGTTTGAAGTCCGTCTTGGACAATTAAAAAAAAAATAATTGGGAATTAAACAAATGGCAAAGTTAAGTGAATTTGAATATAAAAATGAGAGAATTTGGAAAAAAGAAAATTCCTTTTATTTTTAAATTGCAGTTTAGTTTATTTAAAGCTGCAAAGTTAACGTTGGAGCCATGCCAATTTTTCAATCTCTGACCTGTTCTTTGTCTTTTTAGGTAAATTAAAGTTGACCATAGAAGTTTTTAGATGCCCTTTTATTTTTCTGAAATTTACTGTTTTGCCACTGCTGAAAATTTTTGTGGGAAAAAAAATCCCTAGTATTTGGCAGAGGAATGCAGCTTGTGCCAAACCCTAAACCCTAACTGGACCAGTAGCCAAAAAAAAACTACTGGACCAAAATTTCCGGTTCAAAATGTTGTAAAAATAAAATAAATTGGACCAAAAACTTAGTTAAACTTTAAACTGACTCATTCCGAGTTTTGGGCAATTTGAAAATGAAATAATTCCTAATCTTAGAGTTTTGGCTGCATTTTAACAAATCACTTGGTGGTCTTGTTTTAGTTGGTCTATCCTCCCATTTTGTTGTACCTCCTTGAGAATTTTTCACACTCAATACAAATGAGCCAAATGGAATCCAAAAAAAGCTGTTTAGAGAGAACTTGACAAAAGAGAACTTAACACTAGTTCTCTTTGTTACAGGTAACACAAGTTGCCAACAACTAGTTCTCTAGTTCAGTTGGGTTTAAATAACACTATCATATACTGATAAATGAACTCAGAACTTAAAAGAGAAGCCCACGTTGATCAGAAAAGAACAATTTTAACATCCTAGCCCACGTTGATCAGAAAAGAACAATTTTAACATCCTAGCCCACGTTCAATACTCGNCAGCATATACTGATAAATGAACTCGAACTTAAAAGAGAAGCCCACGTTGATCAGAAAAGAACAATTTTAACATCCTAGCCCACGTTCAATACTCGTAGACTATGTACACATTAAGAAGCCAATAGAATTGACTTATCAGTTATCAATCACAAATCCCAATATCTAAAAGAATACAAAAGGCAAAAGCGTAAAATCAGTATAGGTTTCGAGGTTTCAAAACTTGTAACATGGTCTTTAGATGGGTTTTAGGAAGCACAAAACCAGCTCTTCTTTCCTCAAATGAGTACTCAATCTCTTCATCAATCTCTTCAACTGGATGAGCACCATAAAGGACTGGAGGAGCAGCAGGAGTCATGGCCGTCTGCATTGCAACTGATACTGTTGAGGGTGTAGAGGGCAGAGGAATTGCCATTGTTTTAGGAGTCCTGTTTTCTTCATCCGCAGCAGATGTTACCTTGGAAGGAGTAGTTAGTGGTGTAGTGATATTGGTAAGTGTTTTCTGCAACATCTCATGTTTTCTGTTCAGGTCTTCCAATATGGTTGTTGCATTGGACTTTGATGAATCTGTGGAGGAAATAGGCGAGAAGGGCTTGCGCATCATGGCTGACTCTGCTTCACGTGCATTAACTGCATTGAATGAGTGCTTTTTTGCAGGGAGACCAGCAATGTCCAAACCTCTCCTTCCTAAACCAAAGGAGTTAAAGTAAGAACCAAAAAGGATTGGGATAAGCAATGGATTGAAACAATATACATCTGGAATTCAAGTTAATCGTGTCATATACTTGTAAGACACAGACACAATACAAATTATTCTTTCTTCTCTTGCCTACACAAATCACTTCATAAATTAAAACCTATCCCCCCAGTACACAAGTCTCGGAGGAAATATTTAGATTGTGTCACATTCTAATAGCAAATTCTCTCTCAAAAGGTGCTGCAGTTCAATTAAAAACGACCCGCACAAGACAAAAAAAATTATGAGTAGATTTTTTGTGGTTATTTATAAGCTTGTGCTGAAAAGGTGCTTCTAAAACTCGTTATTGTCTCTAACTGAAAAAGAAAGCGGCACATTTACAAAGGGGGCACATTTACAAAGGGCTTGGAGAACAGCACCCTCCCTCCCCTCAAAAAAAAACACCAAACAAACAGGGGAAAAATGAATGTAGTATGACAATCATTCGAAGAAAATTACCAGCTGATAAAGCTGCAACTCCATCATCCCTGGGATGGTTTAGTTGGTCATTTTGGTGAAGACGATCATTTTTCCTTACATGACGTGCATTGGGAGTAGCCTTTGTGGAGGGAAGAATATCAGGTTTAGGAGTTTGTACCATTGGTCCTCCTAAAGAAAGCCTTCTGTTGCTTGCACCGCCACAGGACAACCTAGAACCTTTTTTCCCACTCTGATTCTTCATAGGGCTCGGTTTAGACCCAAAAAGAGCCTCCTGTTCTGCTATTATCTGTCCCTGAAGTTTCTTCTGGTCCTGAAATATCGAAATATAAGTTGGTGCATAGACCATGTATTCCATAACAAAAGCATGGATGAGGTACACAATGTGCATACCCTCTGCCTTTTGCGTTCTTCCTCCTTTTCTTGCCTTAAAATAGTATACTCTTCAAGCATGGAAAGAAGACGAATCTGGACAACAACAGATAAAGAGATGACAGTTCAAAGAGGTTTTCCTAAAAGATACGAAAAGGTGGAACCAATTTGAATCATTGGAGCTAATAAGGAAGCACTCAATACTAACGTAATAGGGAAGCACTTACACCATCATAAGTGAACTCAATGCCTCTCTCTTCTTCCCATGCTGTGGTTCTGGAAGCCAATGCCTCCACCAGTGCTGACCCAACATGACACACAGAAGGAAATGTAACATTAACATGCAATCAAAATTTTAATATCTTTAAAATCACCATCCATGGATATATGACATCATAATTGATATCCAAGGTCTTTGTCCTGCTTATATCTTTGATTGAGGCTTTTTGCAAATCAGAGACTGCTAGCTCACATAATGCATTCTGTACCTGGAAGTTTATTAACCATAGCACGAGCTTTCTCAGCACGCTTCAGTATAAGATGGGCACCTCTTCCTGCATTATATCTGTTTTCATCCTAAAAAAGCACCAAAATTGACATCTAAGCAAGGAAATTAATGTAAAACAGACAGATGATAAGTGCTAGGATGAGAAAACAGCCAACCCTGTTATACTCCTCAAGCCAGCATTCTTCTTCGCATGAAGACATCCACTTCTCAACCTTTTCAAGTATTTCTTTCCTACTAAGCGCTTCCTCTTTCACTTTTGCTATTTGAAGCTCAATTTGTTCAAGCACACTGGCGGGGTCCACAGCACCTTCGCCAAAGCAAAAAGAGACAAGACACATAAAATTTGATGCACATAGAAAGATTGAAATACTTGTTTATAATAGTCTTATTTCATACTATTCCAGTACCAGATTCAATAGCTGCAATAGCAATTTCCATTGCACTCTCTGATTCTGGAATCATATGTGTCTTCCTACAAATCTCCTCCAGCTCTGACCTCTTTTTCAAGACCAGCTCTATCATTTTGCTTGCTTTCAGCTCTTCCAACCGAGACACCTCTGCCTCCACCTGCATAATTTTTTTCCATTTTTACTCTGAAAGCAAGTCTTTCCACTCAATAAAGAGAGACATAGCATGACAGAATGCCAAAATGCCTATTCTCAAAATCTCTACAACTCACATAATTAATGAAGTCGACAGAAAGCATGTTGGGCTCTGTGATCTCATGTTCTGAAGCAGCTATGTTACAAGTAACATTCTGGAACATCTGCTGCTCTGCAACTGGTGTATCCATCAAATTCCATAGCTCCAACATTGAAGTTGCCAGATCTTGAAGCTGTTCAGTTTAAAACGTTAAGGAATTCTGTAGAATTGAAAGAAAATGTTTCAGACTAATGGGAAACTAATTATTAAACCATTATTTACCCGCTGCATCCTCTGTAGTTTGACCTCCCGCCATTTTTGTATTGCAGCTGCTAACTGCTCAATAGTATCATTACTTATGTTCTTCGTTCCTTCAGATTCGCCTAAACTGGGATGAACCTCATTAACTGTTTGCTTGAAATCCATACCAAGCACCAAGCATAGTGAATTCAAAGTATTCATGTGTTCCAAAACCTGCTTCAGGCGATCACTCTGCACACAAGGAAACATTACAAAAAGGCAAGTCAGTGAAGAATCTTTAAAGAAAAGAACATAATAGTACATGATACCGGTACAAGACATTTGTATACCTTTTCCTTTTGAAGTGAATGCAGCTCTCTGTGCAATTCTTCAAGCTTTCTTAAGGACAAATCAGTTTCATCCACAGCTGTGTTGGAAGGAGTATATTCTGTGGATGTATAAATCTCACTTCTTATCCTCTGTATTTGTTCAAAAACTTCGAGGAATTGATTCCTTCTGTCACATTTCCTCTTCCGCATCTCCTCTAGTTGAGGGAGTATGGTTTTAAGTTCTGCCTTCAAGCTCCCAGGACTTTGATCGGACTGAATGAAAAGACGCAGTTTAAAGCTCTCTTCATTGAGGGTGTGAATTCAAATAACTCCCATATTTAGGAAAGCAACAAAATTTAGCTCTAACTTAAATCTTTGTAAGCATGAGTTTAGGTCTTACTAACTGCTAAACGACCAATAATCAGACCAGGGCAGCCACTTGGATTTCATTCTATCAATCCAACCTTACTCTCGTTATTGTAATAACCTATAGCAATTCCAACATTAGTTATTGTTTCAAAATTTAGCTCTAACTTAAATCTTCGTAAGTAAACGACCAATAATNCTCTATCAATCCAACCTTACTCTCGTTATTGTTTCAAAATTTAGCTCTAACTTAAATCTTCGTAAGTAAACGACCAATAATCAGACCAGGGCAGCCATTTGAATTTCATTCTATCAATCCCACCTTTCTCTCACTATTGTAACAACCTATAGCAATTCCAACATTAATTATTGTTTCAGAATGCTTCACCCTTTACCAAAAAAGGAAAAACTAAAATAAGGGAATTGACTGATTGTATTTGGCATTTGCATTGCAAACCAATTCCGAGTTATGAACCATAGCTTAAACAAATAGAAAAATCAAAAGAACTTGTTTCAGCCAGAGTATCAAAAACTGACCTGCCTAATATGTACTGGTCTCTCTCCCATTGCAGAACAAATGGCTGCAAGCTCTGCTTCAGCTTCAGCAATTGCCTGCCTTATCTGAGCTCTACATCTGTTTGCTTGATCTACCCTTCTTCTGTATACCTCTAGACATTCTTGCTCAAGCTCAAGCAGCATTTTGTCCCTTTCAGCATCTGACTCGCCAACTTCATCCCAGATAATCTGATTCAGAAACACGATAAATTTAAGTAACATGTAAAACGGGGAAAACAAGATGTAACTGTAATCACCTAAAATTCAATAACCCATACGACACAAAAGGTTTGAGAAAAACCTGGAGTTCATATAAAAGAGATCCACATGTTGTTTCCACTTGCAGAAGCGGATCATTTTGGAGATTAGACATGCTGAAATTACCTGTCAGTAAAAAAAAAATATGTTCACGGGTCATCCTGAATTGCAGCGAAATTGGTCCAAGAAAATGGTAAAGAGTATATTCAACTGAAATTTTCATATACCACACCCAAATGATACTCCTCTCTCTCCCTGGACACCTAAAATCATACCAAACGCTGCTGATTTTGTAATATTTGCTCTTTTGTTTAGTTCTAAATAAGACAATTGCCCAAATTTTCAATTGAGGTCAGTTTCAATTCTCCATTTCTCAAATCACTTGGAATTGAAAGAAAACCCTAGGTACCCCTCTAACAGCTTCTGATCCGAGATTAAAGTTTCGAGAGTTACAGACCCAGATCAAAATATGCAGAAAACAACACGCGAAATCTTACTTCTACCATTGTTAAGAAGACAAATGAAGCAAATTACCATTGCTATTCTTTGCAAATTCAAACAATCTAGACAAACTTAATTAAGAAACAAAAATCAACAGAAATTTAATCGAGATCAGAAGACAAACCTGAATCACAAAATTNTAATAAACTACAAATGAAGCAAATTACCATTGCTATTCTTTGCAAATTCAAACAATCTAGACAAACTTAATTAAGAAACAAAAATCAACAGAAATTTAATCGAGATCAGAAGACAAACCTGAATCACAAAATTGCGTCCAGAAATAAGTGAATTTACCAGATAAGTTGAAAACGAAGAAGAAAGATTTTGATGACTGAGAAAGATATTTTAGAGATCACAGGGTGTTGGAAGGAGTACGATGAGAGATGTGATGAAAGCTAGAGAAGTAGCCGTTTGAAGAATTCGACCGTTGACGAGAGTTTGAGTGTTTTTATGATGAGCGTTAGGGGGTGTGGGAACGAAAAGGTTTTGAATTTCAAACGTCGTAGGAGAAAAAGGGGAATTGATATAATAACCGCCTGTGACGTAACGAGCAATTGAAACTTACCAACATGTAATGTACAGTGTGAAACTCGACAGACCATGTATGACATCCCTGCTTTATCTTACGGTTTTACTTTCTGGCTTTTGTTTTTGGACCGAATCCAAACAGGTGTTTACTTTTTGAAGTTGTTAGCTTGAAGGTTGTCTGTGGACCAACCCAACCGCATAGAAAATGTGTTCCAAAAACAACTGCAGATGGGTATAGGTCAACTAGACGGAGGTTAGTGATCACTGATCTCACTGATATATTTTAAAAGGTTAATTGTATCGGAAGTCATTAAAGTATGAAATTTATTTTATTTTAATATTTAATATTATAATTGTATCATTTTGATCCCTGAAATATCGAATATATATATAATAAAATAGCTTACAATTTAAATTTCAAAAGATAAACAAAATGACTTTTACTATTTACTATTGAGATCGCTTTAAATTTTACTTTAAAGTTAATTTAACCGCTAATATTAACACCCTAAATTTAATATGAAAAATAGACCCTTAAGGATATGTTTGGAGTGACTTTTTAAAAGTATTTCTATAAATTATTTTCAATAAATATTTTTAAAAAAAAAATTGTGTTTAAAATTGCCCCACCACTATCACTACCACTACCTCTACCACCACTATCACCCCCCATACCGCCGTCGCCATCACCACCGCTGCCACCGTCGTCGCCACCGCCACCACCATCATCATCGTCGCCGTCGCCACTACCACCACCACCATCGCCACCATAACTATTACTGTCTCCTACCACCACAACTACCACCCACTATCTCTCACTTTTATTACAAACCGATGTTTAAATTCTTTTATCTCTTCTCTATGTTTACAATTTAATTTTGGATATGAATACAAATATATTTATTATTTACCATTTTTTATTACTCTGTACCTTTAGGCACGGACAATAACTAATGTTTCTATATGGTCTTTCAAGTAGACAGTGTCCACGTTATTAACATTTTTTTATTATAAACTTGTCACATTATACTTAAATATGGACAAAAAAATAATTTAAATAATTCTTAATCAAATTTTTAACTCAAATTTTGGTTAAATACTTAACTAAATTGCACAGTTTTAATTATAAACTATCTAAATTTTAGTCAAAAGTTACTTATATTGCACATTTTTTTGTTAAAAGCTATCCAAATTTAGTCTAAGAGCGTTCAAAATTATGTTTTGTCCATATTTAGCTATTACGTGACAAGTTTATGATAAAAAATCGTTAGTAATTTAGACGTTGTTTACTTGAAGGACCATATTTGAAACATATTCAATAATTCAATGACCAAAATGATTCAATTGAAATATTTGAGACCAAAATGAGATAAATTTCATATTTTTGGGACCTCTAATACAATTAAACCTATTTTAAAATTACGAGTTTAAATTTCGTTATTTTCTTTTATTGCAATAGTGTCTTAAAAATAAAAACAAAAAAAAACAAAGTGTGAGCAGATCAATAACTTGTTAATTGAATTGGACGGTAGAATGTTGTATCATACTAAAATTTACTCATGTTTACGATTGCAGATAGTTGATTTCAGTGGGGTTCAGGTTACATCATGTGTATGTCATATTTAGTTGGAATTGCGCCGGTACATTTGTTTATCAACCGAAATCCTATAAGATTTAAATTCAAACATATTAATTTCTTATCGATTTTAGGTATTTTCAAATGTTATTGCTGAAAAACTAATAAATTGAGAAGTAAGGTACAAATTAATAATAAATTCACATGAAATAAGTCAATTTGAGGCCCAAATATTTCATTTTTTAAAGCAGATTTAAGTCTTTTGTGAATAACAAAATCCAAAATTGATATATCAGACTTTCTCGTTTGACTTGTCATTTATAATATCCAATAACTCGACAATTTTGTCCTATGACTCTAATTAATTTTTTTAAGTGGTTAAGTCCCAAGTTCTACCAATAAGAACACCTTATTTGACCTTACCTTTAAGTGTGTAGTCTTTTTTAAAATGTTTGACGATCGTAATTTTTAGTTGAGCTGTAATTTAGGTTGGACAATTTGATTTTAACCCGAAAAAATTAGGATAAATATTTTTAATACTTGAGGTAGGCTTGGGTTAAGACTTCGGACTCATGGGTTCAACCTAAACCCGACAAATTAAAAAAAGATTATATATATATATATATATATATATATATATATAACATTAAAACTAATTTTTCATTTTTGTTCTATCGTTCTCTTTCTCTCTCGTTCATCTTCATTTTTGTTATAGCATTAGCACTGTTAAAAACTTAGTTGAAGTTATTGGTTGTTAATTTAGGTGAATATTATGTAATATATGTATTAGGTTTAAAATAAAAAGCCTATTTGGGGTTCTATTCGAGCTCAATCCGAATTGAACCCGTAGAGTAACTCGAATTCAACCCGAGCCCGCCCGAATTAAACTCGGGCAGTTTATTGTCCAACCCGCCTGGATTAGGGTTAGAGTTAAGGTTGAAAATTATATATCTAGAATTGAGCTATGATTATTTGTCTAATCCGCTCGAATTACACCCCTAGTTTTTAGAACCTCTTGTAGATATATGATACAATAAACCATAATTAAGTTTTATCTGCCACAGCCCGACATCGAAAATCCTGACCATGATGATGTCCAAAGTAGAATCGACCCATAAACAACATGAGTTCCTCACTAACATAGTCACAGCTTTGCATGTTCTAGTGCTGCTCGATAATAAAGCTCAATTAGACTGACTTCCTCGCCTTAACAATACTTTCGGAGGGAAGTATGACACCTCATTATCTTTTAGAAGGATATGTGAAACAATATCAAATATCTTTTAACGATAAAAAAAAAATATTCGACTATTTTAACAGATTGAGGGGACCATAAAATATTAAATAAGGACAACTAATTCTTGTATAAATAGGAGGAGATATCCTATGTATAAAGGATATATACTAATATTCTTTTTCAAGTAATAAAAATTAATGAGTAAGAAACTCCATTATAATAGACTCTATTCAAACTCTTCAGCTGGGGGAACTATTAAATGCTCTGAGTTGTTGCTTCATTCTCATGCGATTATCGCCTTATGAAAAGGAGTAATTCAACTTCACACTCGCTAAACTATCACTCATGCAAACATATTCATCTATATCTCTATTTTCAACTCTATCTCGTAATATAGTAATATTTATAATTTCACATGAATGTAATAATGACTAATTCACGAATACATGACATTTATAAATGCACGTGCATAAATTTATGTATATAAGTTATCCACGTATCTAATAAAATATGATTTATGTACGTATAAGTAGTTATACATATATGCGATGATAAATATTCATACATCGACATTGAACATTCATCTCATAAATATAATTTGTTATAATTATTTAAAAATTTTACTTTTTAATTCAATTTTTTATCAAATAAGTTTTTTATTTTAATAGAGATTTAATTAGAGATATAATTCAAAGTAAGTTGTGAGTTTTAATATTAGATAAAATTTATCGTCAATTTAATATTTGTATTAGATTATATTTTAAATTAAATCTAAATAATATTTTAAAAAATGTTATCAAAGTACTATTGAAAATGCTTGAGCTGAAAAATTACGGGTGTGCTTGGATTGTCATAAATCCGAAAAAGATCCAACCATGTCCAATCCAAAATAACCCGATCCACAAGGATTTCCAACCCTTTTTCTGCTGTATTTTTCTCCATTGTGTCGATCCAATTCCATAAAACCTGGAAAAAGGAACTCAAAAAGCTATGCAGAACAAAGCTAGAATTATACATACAAACATACGTAGAAAACTAATGGACTAGGGTTTGATTTTGATTCATATCTCAGATCAACTAGGGTTTGATTTCTCGAAAACTAATGGCCTCTCATGCGCTCTCATTACTTGTTCCGCTTTCAGCTTCACAATTTTGCAAGAATTCAAGTATTCGTTCGTTACTTGTTCCTTTCGGTCTCAAATCGGACGGTTTGGTCAGTTGTTTTGTCGGAAACGTGCTCTCGATTCGGTCATCGAATTCGAGGCAGCATAGGCAACGGCGGGTCCACTGTCGTAAAGGTGTCGTTTAGTCTCCCAACAACGTAAGTTCAGAATCCTATACATGCATTTGTGTGTATGTGTATACTATGTTTTATTGAGGATTGAAGATATTGAGGCTTTTAATTCGGGTTTGCAGAAAGCCAGAAACCGCTGCTTCTGGGAAAGCCCCAAAGTGAGTTCGTTAGTTAGTATGCATTCCTGTTGGACTATTTGAATTTAACTGAATAATGAAAATAGCTTGTAGTTCTTAAAGAGATTGTGAGTGGTATCTCGAGTTCAACTTAGAGGTGTTGTTGATAAAAAAAGGCTATCCAAAACGAGGTCGTGTTCAATTTAACAAAATGATGTCATTTTGGATTAAAACGATGCCTTTTTAATCAACAGCATCTCTGCTGTAAAAAAATTAACAGCAAAGGATCCGAAGCCTCACTTTGGGTAATGGTGCAGATGGTCCGCAAGGGCGATAAAGTCATTCGCAATGGCGGAATTGGAGGCAAGGAAGCTCAAAGTATCCAAATACAGGCACTGAAGCTCTTCTGATGGGGATTTTGGTCGAGTGTTAGCAATTTTGTAAACATCTTTGTCCATTCATTGGTTATCACTATAGGAGTGCACTTGCTATGCACATTAGCCTAGAGTTTTCGCTTAATGGGAGTAGGTGAGTAGTTTAGTGACTAATACAACTATTTCTAGAGAGTTTGGACACAGTTTCATTTTTCCATGTTTTAGTTTAATGTGGTTGATCTTGGTCAAAAACAATCCTTGATGTAGTGGTGTAATTAGGGATATGAATCTCAGGATGTGTTTCACAATGCAGTCTAGGTTTCAGTTGCCTTTAACTGATTTTTGGATTTTAGAGACGCTCATCAGAAAATTGCTGATTAAATTTTTTTTGGGAAGAAATTAATACTTCATTTATTTGAAGCCCAAAAATGTTCTTTACGTCATTTGTGTTGTGGGAAACCCGAAACTTTTATGAAGATGAGCTGGTAGTTTGAATTTTGAAGAGAAAAAGGGGTGTTTGTGATGAAACTACAGTGAGCCGATTTGCAATGTTCTCATATGCTGTTTAGAGGTCTTACATTAATGAAGGTAAATTAAGCTACTACTTTTGCTTACTTTAATATTTGGGCTGTACTTTCTATTTCTCGGCAGGAACCAGTTTAGCTGCAAAATGCTTGAGGGATAACGGTATTACACTTTTCAAGGTGCGAGAAGAAACTGTGAAGTTACTTGGAAAATCTGACATGTATTTTTTCNAATCAGCTGGGCACAAGATAATGGCTGGCTGCACGTGGTTTTGACAGTGGGAAGGCCAGAGCGCTTGCCAAATCTGTAAGTTTTAAATTTGGGTTGTCAACTGACCAGCTTCCTCAATGTGACCATTAACACGCGTCGCAGATGAACAGGTATATTGCTTTGAGCTTTAAGTAGGTACTTCAGACAATCCAAAAGACTGAGGTCTTAATTGTCGCCATGTAATCTTCTCAGAACAAGAAAGATAAAAGTCTTCATCACCAAGCGTTCTCGGAGGAAATTGTTCTATCATCAGATCTGTTTGGTTTCCTACCAATTACTTTCATGAATACACTGAATTTTGCTATTCTTTTTGAAGGCCTCTTGGGTAATTTTAACGAGTCATATTTACTGTTGTGAACAATGCAACTAGGCCTGGACACGACTCGTGAAATCGACACGAACCCAACACGGATTTAGCGGGTTTGAGTGTAGTCTTAACGGATTTGGTGGTTAACGGGTTAACTCGGCAAACCCGTGAAATAAACGAACCGGTTTCGTTTTTAACTCATAAATTCGTTTCAACCCGTGTATAGTGGTACTATAATTTTTTTTAAAAAAAGTTAGGTCTCTCGGCCTNAGTACTATAATTTTTTTTTAAAAAAGTAAGGTCTCTTGGCCTCTGTCATATCTCACATATCTCATTTTTCAGATTCATTCAAATTTAGTAGTCATTTAATGTTTATTTTTTGTTCAGTCATAATTCATTATTATAGTAAACATGTCAAATATGTGTAATGTGTAGTGAGTTGATATTTTTTACATGGACTCGAAATACTCTAACTTATTTTTTTATTTAGCGGGTGACACGCGGACACGTGGGTTGTATCGGGTAACCCGTTTAATAAATAATTCGTGTATGAATATGATAGTTTGACTCATTTATATAAACGAATGAGATATGAATGAAGAGTTTTTTGACACAAACCTGTTTCATCTTGCACGAAACTGTTCTATTCGGTACGAAACAGTCGAGTTATGTTTATTATGTTTTTTTATCTTTAATGATGTGATATAATTTTAATCATTAAATATTAATGGACCCTACTTCTGATAAAAAAATATGTCACATCACTTATGACGTAAAACTTGGTCAGTGAGCAGTGTTGATTTCGGTAGGATCATTGATAAATAAAGAAAGATCATAGCATGCTATAATTATCAGAGGGGAGTTTTGGAGTTAAATGATCATTCTTTTCTCAATATGGCCTTCAAAAAGGGGCAACACTGCTGCATAATGTACATGATGTTGGTACCACAATGCGATGCTACAGCTTCAACTGGTGCCAATATTTTGCCTACGCAGCCATTAATGTATCACTTTTATAAAAAAAAATTAGTTGTAATTATAGTTCAATTTGATGATTGAATAGTAATTTGATCTAAATGAGAGGTAATTGTCACTTATTTAATTGTAATTTTTGATATAATACCTCTTTTTTAAAAGGTCCATATTGAAGAAATAGAACGAATTATGAATATAGATATTATGAATTTGAATTTTAATAATATTTTAAAGTTAAATCACGAAAAATTTATCTCATTTATCACTGGATACTTTAGTTCCGCCGTGGCACACCTTTAGATCACATGACTCGGTGGAACACATTTTTAATAAACTATGTGTAAATATGTACTTTTTAACTTTTACATTTTTTAGTTTTAAAAAAATAAATTTTTTTATATTTTTTATTATAGTTATTTGGGCTAACTGTATCTCAAAGTATAGAGTTAGTTTTATTTTAGTCCTCAATATTTTAATTACATAATTTTAGTTCTTAAATATTGACTATATTTTTATGTAGTCTTTTAAACATACAATATCTAAATTGTTAATAATTTTTTATTATAAATTTGTCACATGATACTTAAATATGAATAAAAAATATAATTTGAGTAATTTTTAACCAAAATTTGGATAACTCTCGACCAAAAATATGTAATATGAGTAGCTCTTGACTAAAATTTTGATAACTCATAATCAAAATTGTGTAATTTAGATAACTCATTCTCTAAAATATGGATAAAAATTTAGTAAAAAATTATTCAAATTATTTTTTATTCATATTTTAATATTACGTGACAAGTTTATAATAAAAAAATTATTAATAATCTGGACATTGTATTTTTGAGGGACCACATAAAAACATATTTAATATTTTAGGGACTAAAATGAGAAAAATTCATACTTTGGGACTTTTAATGCAATTAATCCTAATTATTTTTGGCACTTTCATTTTATAGTCCCCGGGTCGGGTCGGACCACATTTCATCCCCATACACCAGAAAATCGTGTTGCAGTGTTAGAAGAGAGAAAAAGAGGGATAATCATCCCGCCAAACATGGGAAGGGTTTAAGCTTCCAAAACCCTATTCTTCTCCCTCCTCACCTGCAACTCCTTCTCTCTCTCTCTCTATACACACGCATTTCCGGAAACCCTACTGATTCAAACAGCAAGATGAGCTACGCAGCGTATAAGATGATGCACTGGCCAACCGGCATCGAGAACTGCGCTTCCGGATTCATCACTCACTCCAGTGTAGACTTTACACCACAAATCCCTCCGATTCAGACTGATGACCTCGATTCTGACTGGCCGGCGGCGAAACCAATCGGCCCGGTTCCGAACCTCATCGTCACCGCCGGTAACATTCTCGAGGTTTATGTAGTTAGGGTTCAAGAAGAAAGTAGCAGCAGAGAATCAAAAGGGCCAATTGAAACTAAGCGTGGCGGTGTCATGGCCGGTATATCTGGAGCTTCGCTCGAACTTGTTTGCCATTACAGGTCCTCTCCAAAAACTGAATGCTCCTAGATTACTATGAATTGCATAATTGGAAAATGAGGGAAGTTTTGACTTGGAAATTGCGTTGTAGGTTGCATGGTAATGTTGAATCGATAGCCGTGTTGTCGGTAGGAGGTGTTGATGGTGGTAGGAGGAGGGATTCGATTATCTTAACCTGTCAAGATGCTAAAATTTCAATCTTAGAGTTTGATGAATCTACTCATGGACTTCGTACAAGGTGAGCTGAACTATTGTACGAGAATTGCCTAACCTGCTTTCTTATTGGTGCGTTATCTCTGTTTCATCTGGAAGATAAACCAAATCTCCATGAATTATGCGAAGTACTAGTTGAACATGCACAGTTTTGAGCCATTTAATTCTTGCCCTATATTTGAATGAAGATTATCGTCATAGGTTTCTTTATTTATCAGTTCAAATAATTAATTTCCTGTAGGATTTAACTGTATGCACGAAGTAGATATTGCAGTCGAATGCTTCTATTGGATTTTTGGCTATTTATATTGATTGAAGAGCTGAATAATTGGGCCACCGAAGTAGTTGATGTTCTTAACTTGGATTTCCTCATAGATGGAGAGACTTATTTTCTTTTTTGGTTCTTTGAACTTCATTGTGTGGTCATATTTCTTTAAAATTCTAACTGATTTGATTTGGACAGTGGGAAACATATATATGATGGTTTTGTAAGAAAGAAAAGTGAAAAATGTTAGAGAGGAAGGTTAACATCGAATGAAACATCGTAAGAATTTAAAATTTGTTACATACGAAAAATGCCATATGAAGTCCTATGATGTCATAACCACCCACTTAGATGAAGATTCTGCCACTTAATTATCTAATGTATGATCNGAAACATATATATGATGGTTTTGTAAGAAAGAAAAGTGAAAAATGTTAGAGAGGAAGGTTAACATCGAATGAAACATCATAAGAATTTAAAATTTGTTACATACGAAAAATACCATATGAAGTCCTATGGTGTCATAACCACCCACTTAGATGAAGATTCTGCCACTTAATTATCTAATGTATGATCCCATAAGATAGAAGTAAACAGTGCTTTTGAAATGTCCAAGTCTTGTGTGCATTTGATGAGTTTTTCTGAGGACCTACATATACAATATTATCTCATTCAACAACATCATGTCACTCTCTGACATCCAGGATGGTAGCTAAAACAAGGTATAATTATGAACTCTGTCTTGTAAGTCTCTTCATGTTTTCAGTAGAATGTTGAGCACTTGTAATCAGCACCAAGTTCTGCCTACTACTGGACCAAGANGCATAAACAATATTATCTCATTCAACAACATCATGTCACTCTCTGACATCCAGGATGGTAGCTAAAACAAGGTATTATTATGAACTCTGTCTTGTAAGTCTCTTCATGTTTTAAGTAGAATGTTGAGCACTTGTAATCAGCACCAAGTTCTGCCTACTACTGGACCAAGATGATGAAAAATGAGTTGCTGTTGTCAGGAACTACCCGATTATATTATCTGCATGGAAGTAGTTGTCTATGATCAGATCCAACATTAGTGCTGGCTCAATAAGGATAATTACAAGTTCATACAAATAGTTAAAAATACAGGGAAAATGAGCCACTAAAGGACAAACTCCGGCTGATTTGCAAAAGTTTGAGGACTTTGGAGAGTCACGTATACAAAACAAAAAATGAGTAACCATTCATTTCAGTTTTGATCCTAGAAAAATGATATCACACAAACATACACAACTAAAAAAATGTGAAGGAACCATACATGGTATGACCTGGGGATTAGAAGAGAAATTAGGTGCTATTGTAACCAATATGCCTTGTGGTTGTGGTCCATGGCCTGCTGTATGTTGGCTTAGTGGCCTAATGGATGCTGCCCCTAATTGTAGTTACTTTGAGTTGTGAAGAGTGGGACGAGTTAACCAGCAATCTAGGTTTATGTTTGTACCCCATCTCGAAAGGCTCAACTTAAAATAATAAACGAATGGATGCAGGTTTGGATTTCCATGGAGCAAAAATTTGAGGGAGCATAGAAAGTGGAGAAACTGAAAGTTGCAGTTAGTTATTGGTTATCACGCTTTGATGCAACTCCAACTTATAATGAAGAAAAAAGAGCTCAGTACAATCAGCCTTATATTGCCACTGATTTTGGTCAAAGAAATCCTAGGCATTGAGCTGCGCAACAATATAGAATATGTTATTACTGCGTTACTACTATAAATTTTTCCATGTGAGCATACCTTACTTATTGCCACACTAACATTGTGAAATGCCAATCCAAACTGCGGTCTAGCCAATGTTACCTATTGTATGAGCATGGGTCATCCTGGTACACCACTTACGTCATACTAGGGGGAATATTACATAGATCCTGTAGAATTTGTTGAGGTGCTTTTTAAAAATCAAAAAGAAATGCACCTACTTAATTTAAACCATAAGCATGCATTCTATGGCACTTTTTTCGTCTTCATCTTGAAAAGCTGTGTGTTGTTAGATTCCAGTCGAGTATCTTATATGTTTCTTCCAACAAAACATAAATGCTATGAAGGAAAGGGAAATTGTTTTGGATTGCCAAGCTTAGCATTTCAAAACAAAAGTGTACCATTCTTTGGAATGTTGATACAACTTCGCAATTCTGTAGGTCATTTGTCTTCCGGAAACCATGGCGGCAACTTAAATTTTAAAGGGAAACATTATCTCACGTATTTCATTGAAGTGGCTTCTTAAACTTTTGAGTCTCTTTCATAATGGACCAACAATCATTCTTTATTTTCGACTGAGATTTTTATCTGGCTTGGATCAAAGATGCTAAGTTGTTTTACGGGTGATTAATGTTCATTCCAGCAAACTTGTTGCCTTTAATATGTAGCTGGATTCATGTATCAGTTTTTCAAGGAACAAAACCCCTCCCCTACTTCTCCCTTGGGCCATCCGTCAGCTAATATTGGCTTGGCTCAAAGATGCTAAGTTGATCTTAAAACAGCGTTTATTAATGTTCTTTCCTACAAACTTGCTGCCTTTAATTGCTGGAATGCTGTGGATTCGTGTATCTGTTTCTCAAGGAACAAAGCCCCTCTCCCCACTTCTCCCTTGTGCTGTTGGTTACAGATATTAGTTTGTTTATGAAGCTAATATTTTTTTGATACTTGTTTATCCTTTTGCTTAGCTCCATGCACTGTTTTGAGGGTCCAGAGTGGCTTCATCTGAAAAGAGGTAGAGAATCGTTTGCTAGAGGTCCAGTGGTTAAAGTTGATCCACAAGGAAGGTGTGCTGGGGTTCATGTTTATGGCCTCCAGATGATAATACTTAAGGCTGCTGAGGTCTTCTTCTCATACCCCACTATAATTATTTCTTTGCACCCTTGCTTTCTTTTCATATCTGTCTTTAATTAATTGCAGTACTTAATCCAAAGTCCAAGTTCGAAATGAAATCTAAGAGACCTTTGGTGATCATAACAAAATTTGAATTCTAGCATGAATTTGAGATTTGACTTGGCAAGAATCCAAATATATTGTGTCTATACGACTTTTAAGAGAAAATTATGTAATGTAATGCATTATGGTATATGCGGAAAAAATAATAAAAATAGAATAATATTATGTTCTGGTAAAGATGTATGAAGTAGGTAATAAAAGTATTTACATAATTTTGTCAATCTATATGAACCTCTATGTGGATTGAGTCTATTTGCAACTGAATTTGGTTCAGTTATAATCAAAAGTCACGAGTTAAATATTGATGCGTTGTGTTGGATAATCCATATTGTAAGTTATTTGACTCAGATTGGATGCTTAATCTTAGTTTGACCATTTGATAGCCCTTGTTATACCTCTATATCTAAGATGCTACAATTGTTTTTGGACACATATTTCATGTGTTTGAATATGTAAATTTAGCATGCTTTGGCAATTATCATCCTTTTGTCCAAGATTCTCTAAACCTACATATGCTTGTACTTATACTCATTGCAGTGAATTATGTAAACATGCTTATATTCTTTTATGATCTGGTCTGAAATCTGGAGATGAGCTCATCTCCAACTATTCTTTTAGGCTTTCTCTTGATCAGATCTCTTATTCTTTCTTTGGTTGTAGTCTATAAGCAGTAACCAGCCATAAGCTGATGAAGATAAAACAGGATTTGAATTTATTTATCAGCATTACACTTTAGACATTTCACCATTATGCTATATCAAACAACTATCATGTCCTTTTTATGATCTCTCTTAAACTTAATTTCCATCTCCCTCTACCGCTCACATTATCGTCGCTGGTGCATGTGGATACCAAACATGACAGGCATTGTGTTAAAGCAAGTCCTGTTTTTATGTTACACTACGTATTTTTTTTTCACTTTATTTTCCAACTTTTGATTTCTTTATGTTTGATTCCATTTNGGGCATTGTGTTAAAGCAAGTCCTGTTTTTATGTTACACCATGTATTTTTTTTTCACTTTATTTTCCAACTTTTGATTTCTTTATGTTTGATTCCATTTCTGGTATTTTGGATGTCAGGCTGGTTCTAGTTTGGTTGGTGAAGACAAAGCCTTTAGTGCGGGGCCCACTGTGTCTGCTCGTATCGAGTCATCATACATAATCAATTTACGGGATCTGGATATGAAGCATGTAAAGGATTTTGTTTTCGTGAATGGTGAGACAACAAAGCAACTATTCCTACTAGTTTTAGTTTTAAACAGCAAAGCAACTATTCCTACTAGTTTTAGTTTTAAACAACAAAGCAACTATTCCTATTAGTTTTAGTTTTAGACATATATAAGTATTCAATTCACAGTGGTTTGAGTTAAAAGATTGTTAAGTGGTTGGCAAGTCGGAAATAATTTTGGTATTTGACTTGCATCACTGCTTTTATAGGTTATATTGAGCCGGTAATGGTTATCCTGCATGAACGAGAGCTTACTTGGGCTGGGCGTGTCTCGTGGAAACATCATACGTGTATGATTTCAGCACTTAGTATCAGCACAACATTGAAGCAACATCCACTCATATGGTTAGCCTCTGTAAGTTGTATTTCTGATGGAAACATGCCTGTTATTTACTTAACCGGAATTTTATATTTTCACTAAACATTGAAGCTGCAACTGAACCTCGTTAAAGGATCATATTCCAGTGCAAATTAGATGCTAAATTCTGGATTCCTCATTATCAGTTATGTCTCCATTTTGTGCTACTTGAAATTTAAGAATGTCATAGAACCACACACAGCAAACGGATTTGGTTTTGCTGATCTTACAACCTCTATTTGACAATAAGCATGTGTGCCTTGCTTATATTTTTCTTAATATACCGGGGATGGGATTTCTGAGAGATAAACCTGCTTAGTCATTAATTATGTGGTTGCCTGACATCGCATGATGTAAGTACGTCTTAACTGAAAATGGGTTTTGATTGTGTCATGTCAAATTCAACATTATATGTTTTTATCAGTTTTCGTTTATGCAAAACAAAGATTGATTAGAACTACCAAATTTTGATTTTTTTCCTGATATTTCTGGATATGTTTTCAAGATGGTCAAACAGTGGGATTTTTCTTGACAGGCAGCACCATGTTTGTGCCTGTTGAAATGATGGATTGCTTGCTTATGATAATGTATCAGTGATAGGAAGAAAGGTTATGGTGATAAAGGAGTCAAAAAAAGGAAAAAGAAAGTACAAACAGCTAGAGTTCTTTACTTAGCAGCCATTTGGCATTCCATAATTTGACATGTCAACATGTTCTATGATGGCAAGGGTTATAAACTTTGGCAATTGACCGACGAAGTATGATTAAATTTCTGGAAGGCATGGCTGCGTACTACGAGTTTTGCTATTTTGTTTTAGTGTCATAATGGGTGTGAAAGGATCATGAACTTTATCAATATTTATGCTGATGTTACACCCAAGCATCATGATATTTAAAGCCCAAGTTCGAAATTTGGTTTCACTGGAGATATAACAATGTTCTCGAATGTCACAATCCTGATAATGTTGTGTATTTAATATACAATATATATGGGAACAAGTCAAACAACAGGGTCTAACTTATTCTAAATTGCAGTGGAGAGTGCTTGCATTCAGATTTAATTTGATATGCCCTTTCTTCTTATCAGAATCTTCCACATGATGCATACAAGCTTCTTGCAGTGCCATCTCCAATTGGTGGAGTTCTTGTAGTTAGTGCAAATACTATTCATTATCATAGTCAGGTAAACCATTCTGTTGCATTGACAGGCTGCTGTGGATTTTGTTTGTTTTTATATTTTCCTGTAGTTATTCTTTTTTTTTTTTGTTATTGAGTTTGTGACTTTTGCTTCTGCAGTCAGCATCATGCATGTTGGCTTTGAACAACTTCGCTGTCTCTGTTGATAGTAGGTAAGGTTTCTGTGTTTTCTTTTTGTCTCCAACCACCACCAACCCCTCTCCTGGGGGGGGGTTGGTTTGACTCTTTGTTCCTTATCTACTTATTTTTTCAGTTTGTGTTTTTTCTGCAGTAAGTATGCGCCCTGCATTTGATTCTGACCTATTGCATGGGGCAGCTAAGTTCTTTCTAATATTGAAATCGTAATTGCTTTTGTTCCAGTCAGGAAATGTCCAGATCAAGTTTCAATGTGGAGCTCGATTCTGCCAATGCAACTTGGTTAACAAATGATGTGGCCATGTTGTCGACAAAGACAGGGGAACTGCTTCTGTTGACACTTGTTAATGATGGGAGGTAGTTTGCTTTTATTTTTCTTCCCCAATTTCTCTTTCATAAAGATGAAATGTGTACCTTTTAACTTCTCTTATTGCCAGTGCTTGTTTGAATAATAATCTTTTTTCTCAGCGTTTGGTGAGAAATAACATTTGCTTTATAATCTCGTCATTTCCAGTTTTCTTTTTGGAAAGAAAATTCTGATTGTCTGCGTAGGAGTTCTATATATTTCCTTGCCCTTGGTGGAGAAATGTTCACCATCCTAAATAGTTGCAGAATGTTAAAGGAAGGACAAGAAGATTTTGGTGGCCTCGTTGTTTCACAAGGAATCGAAATAGCAGAAGTTTTAGATACTCTACGATGATTGTCATGAATTTATATCCTTGGGAAGTTTCATCAAGTAAAAGTCTTTAATAGCTAACATATCAGCGTTATTTTTTTCTTGAGGAACCAAATTGCATCAAGTAGCAACGGGAAAGTTCACAAGTGCTGATGAATTGATCTCCTTATTTTCTCTCTTGAAAAAATGCTGACATGTGACACTTGACCCTGGTGGTGACAAAGCAATTTCTCTTTCTTCTTTACTGTCTGTGCCTTGAAGCATTATAAAATCACAGCACTAGAATTTTGCACTCAATCAATATTGGCAGTACTGTAGCCTTGAATTTCTCACATCTGGGCAATGAAGTAACTTAACTTCACAGAATAGAAACGCGTGTTTGCTAGGAATTTCGGTAGGTTTCAGGTTTGGAAGTTTAGGGTTTTCAAAACTCCTTGGGGGTGTTAATAACACTGAGACAGAAGTGTACTTGGCCTGGGATGTGGTCAAGGACAAGGAGACCAGACATTTATTAGCTTTCAGCCAAAGTTAGAAATAATGCCCAAACTTGTACATGTAACAATTCGAAGATTTAGTTGCTACTTATTATTTTCCTGCCCCCTCTTATTGGCTTTGAGTTTCAGTGAATGAACATCCTGCTTTATCAAGTGTTCCTTTTTCCATCTGCAGGGTTGTGCAGAGACTTGACCTTTCAAAGTCTAGAGCGTCAGTACTTACATCGGTCAGCTGTTTTTTTTTTGGAAAATTGCCATACTCTGTATGGGACAAGCCTATTTGTTTAATTTTCGATCCATTGTATTTAACTTATTTTTTTTGGTTTTCCAGGGGATTACAACTATTGGGAACTCATTATTCTTTTTGGGTAGTCGGTTGGGAGATAGCTTGCTTGTGCAATTTAGCTATGGAGTAGGNGCCTAAATAGTTGCAGAATGTTAAAGGAAGGACAAGAAGATTTTGGTGGCCTCGTTGTTTCACAAGGAATCGAAGAAGTTTTAGATACTCTACGATGATTGTCATGAATTTATATCCTTGGGAAGTTTCATCAAGTAAAAGTCTTTAATAGCTAACATATCAGCGTTATTTTTTTCTTGAGGAACCAAATTGCATCAAGTAGCAACGGGAAAGTTCACAAGTGCTGATGAATTGATCTCCTTATTTTCTCTCTTGAAAAAATGCTGACATGTGACACTTGACCCTGGTGGTGACAAAGCAATTTCTCTTTCTTCTTTACTGTCTGTGCCTTGAAGCATTATAAAATCACAGCACTAGAATTTTGCACTCAATCAATATTGGCAGTACTGTAGCCTTGAATTTCTCACATCTGGGCAATGAAGTAACTTAACTTCACAGAATAGAAACGCGTGTTTGCTAGGAATTTCGGTAGGTTTCAGGTTTGGAAGTTTAGGGTTTTCAAAACTCCTTGGGGGTGTTAATAACACTGAGACAGAAGTGTACTTGGCCTGGGATGTGGTCAAGGACAAGGAGACCAGACATTTATTAGCTTTCAGCCAAAGTTAGAAATAATGCCCAAACTTGTACATGTAACAATTCGAAGATTTAGTTGCTACTTATTATTTTCCTGCCCCCTCTTATTGGCTTTGAGTTTCAGTGAATGAACATCCTGCTTTATCAAGTGTTCCTTTTTCCATCTGCAGGGTTGTGCAGAGACTTGACCTTTCAAAGTCTAGAGCGTCAGTACTTACATCGGTCAGCTGTTTTTTTTTTGGAAAATTGCCATACTCTGTATGGGACAAGCCTATTTGTTTAATTTTCGATCCATTGTATTTAACTTATTTTTTTTGGTTTTCCAGGGGATTACAACTATTGGGAACTCATTATTCTTTTTGGGTAGTCGGTTGGGAGATAGCTTGCTTGTGCAATTTAGCTATGGAGTAGGAGCATCAATGTTGCCTCCTGGTGTGAAGGAGGAGGTGCGTGTCTGGAGTCAGCGATATCCGGGTTTCCTATGTCTTTTCGTTCTTTCTAATTTTTTTTGCTATAATTCCTCACTTTCTCAACTTTGAACCCTTTTATTGTGGCTCTCATTTTCTTGGAAAGTCAATTAATAGGCCCTCCATCCTGGATACTGTGAATAATATTTTCACAAGATGTATTGGAATTTGGAACTTTTGAAATTAGTTTATTCCCTAAATTAACTCTCGCTTTCTGAACGCCCTAGAATATTGTGGTCAGCACTGACTCTGTTGCTCTTTTTTTTCCCCTTGCATCTTCAGGTTGGGGATATTGAGGGAGATGTCCCTTCGGCAAAGCGGTTACGAGGGTCCTCTTCTGATGCTTTGCAAGATATGCTTAGTGGGGAAGAGCTTTCCTTATATAGTTCAGGTCCAAATAATGCACAGTCTGCACAGGTGAAGTATCTTTCTTACACACATTGTAGGCCTTAATTCATTTTCCTTTACAAAAAATATTTTCCCCGATAATGAGTTGGAATGAAAGGAAGCAATAGTCAAACCCGACTGAACTAAGCATGGTAAAACACGCAAGTAGGGAGGAATACGTTCAACAACGAGTCAGTGGCCTCCCTCTGAATTTTTGCCCCTCTTCCTTTGAACATTCGAAGAATGCATTGAAAATTGAAGGTTCCATAAATGTACTTTCACGTCAAATGCTTTGGCTCCATTTGTTGAAGAGGTGTTGGAGGATGAGTGGATTGACCAGACTGATATTTTTCCGAGATCAAAATATAAACCCGAAATTATAAACATGTCCCATCAAGTCAAAATCGTGCACTGATGCTCTTAACTTGTCTGCTTTTCTTTTGCTTTGGGCCTTTTAGTCTTCAAGATCAAGATTAACCTCACATTTAATTTCCAATCATTTGAGGGAATTGTATTCAGGTATAACATGTGAACCAAAGCCGGCTATGATTTGCATTTATGAAGCATGGAGCTTTTAGGAGGAGCCACAATCTTAGTGGAAGGAACACCTCTGACACTTTTGGAAATGCTGCTCATCATTTCACCTGTGATTATGACACCTAGATTGTGTCTTTATAATCCCAAGTGATTTTAAAATGCAAAACTCTGTTTTAAAGTCGGCCTCCTTTGCCCCAATCCAAGTTCTTTGACCTGCCTCCAAAAGACCTGAGGCTTCCAATGCATTCTATCGCGCATGCAGCATGAATACATCAAGCATACAACGTGCACTCTTGATAAAGAAAAGTAAAAAACACCTGTAAAAGGAAGATGTTTTAGGGCATGCAAAATAGAAGTCTTGATTTTAGAATAATGTATACGATATTTATGGAGTTTCAGTGAGTCACCAATTAAAATTTTCTTCTTTACCATATAAAAAATGTAGATTACCAGCAGTTAGATGACAATTGATGCCATAGCTTTTCATAGTTGTTTGTCTCCATGTGTCCATGCCTACGTTTTTAATTTTCTGTATTTGAGTCATGTCCATGTTCCATGTCTTTATCTGTTGTATAGATTTACATACATGCCTTTATCTGTCATCTGACTTTCTACTGTATTTGCTTCTTTCTTTTTTGGGTGGAAATACAAGATTTATCGTCAACTTAACCATTTGCTTTTTGTGGTTTCTTAAAAGCGGTGAATGTTTATTGATGCATCAATTGTTGTAGTTTAAATTGATTTGTTGTGGTTTTGAGTTGACGTAGTTAATTTTGTATATGCTCTTTGTAAATTCTTAGTCATTCCCTAATAATGTTATGTTACTACTTGGTGCATGCAGAAGACTTTCTCATTTGCAGTGAGGGATTCACTGATTAACGTTGGCCCTTTGAAAGACTTTTCTTATGGTTTGAGAATCAATGCTGACCCTAATGCCACAGGAGTTGCTAAACAAAGTAACTATGAACTGGTGAGTTTTGCGGTTTTGTTTTTACCCATTAAATTTTGTGTGGACAAGATGGGATAGAGATTCAACTGAATCATGTTTCTGTTTGCTTTTATATCACTTGGCTTGCAATTGTTTACTGTAGAGTGAATACAGCTTTTCAACTTTTGTCCCTAACTTCTTGTTTGGGTACCTCATTCACTATTTACTTCCAATAAGCCTTCTTGAAGCCACAAATCTCACACTAGTAATGGTGTGTAGTTCTAAAATAATAAATCTTATCTGATTTATTTTGGGTAATTTTCAGGTGTGCTGTTCTGGTCATGGAAAGAATGGTGCGCTCTGTGTGCTTCAGCAGTCAATCCGCCCAGAGATGATTACACAAGTGTGTTTGTACTCTATGGTTCCTTTCAGTTTTACTTTGTTGAAAACTGAAAACTAGGGGCCTTTATTTGCCTATACGAGGGGAAGAAAACTTTTGGCATGCTTTACATTGAACTCTTTGTTGTGATATTGTGTCTCGTGCATGTGCATGTTCATATTCAACTGTTGAAATATCATTCACATTAATGTTCACTGTTTTAAATGGCTATGTTAGTTATGTAATGAAAAGGCATACAGGCAAACCTTTCTAAGTAACTTCTCGCATTTCTTAACCAGTGCATATCGATTACTGAGCCACCACACAAAAACTGTTTACTGGTGGCTTTCAATGTTTGCATTTGCTCAATGTTGATTCCGTTCAATTGAATCTTTTTTTCTCTTAGAAAGATTAGATTATGATAAGAACATGTACTGCCTCCATTGATAGATGGCAATACGTATCAAGGGGGGCAGAATGGCACTCTCCAACAAATGTGTACAGAACAGTGGAGGCTCACTCCGAAAATTGCCATACCCATTGTTATATAGTGGTCTTTTAGAGATCGTTGTCTCTATTAACTTATTCTTGACATTGTGGTATCTTTCTTAAGAGGCTTGAGTTTTTCCATTTTTCTACTTATGTTTTTCCTCTTTTTGTGTGTGTGTGTGTTGTTGGTTTTTTTTTTTTTTTTGGGGGGGGAGGGGGGTTGGTCTTGCATGTGGTGGATGATGGAAGTGCTATCGTACTTAAAAAGCTATTTAAGATAGGATTATGTTTGGCAATGGTACCCCTAGATTGAACTGTGAGGAATATTGTTGGTGACTGTGTTTGTGATTATAGTGGGGGTCAACTACTGGTGGTAGATTTTGGAGGAACATTTTAGTTTCTCCAATATTTTATGTATGTTTCTCACCACCGTTGCTTTTCTTAAGATTTGGTAATAGGATGTCTTCTATACACCTCATAGTTCTAGAGAATTATGTGGTTTTCGTAAGTGACTTTTGGCTGGATTTAAATGCCATTATCCATTCTATTGTTTTACAGTGTAAATGGTAGACTGTGGAATTTCACACAGGAAATCTTTAGTTTAGGACTAAGGCATTTGCTCTGTGTGTGTGTGTGCGCGCGTGTGTGTTAAGGGGACAAAGCATGGAGGTAGTTATCTTGTCAACCACAGGCCATTAATACTGTTCGACTTTTGCTTCTTCGTCCTTCTCTCTTCCTTTTAAGCCTGTTTAGCCCTTTGTATGGGCTTCTTGATTAGAATGTAGACATCACTGTATATCCAAAGGAGTTATGTATTCTGGTGTTCAATTCAAGTGTTGCCTTGGCTGACAGTTTGTGCCCTCAATGACAGGCCACATCTGTGTGCCCTCTGACTGTAGATAGTTTGGCTTTTTGATAACCTTATGTGATAAGTAATTGAAATCAATCAATTATAGTAAAGATTTAATTAAAATGTTTCTAGTTGTTACAATACACGGCTCTTACATTGTCATGTAAGTAAAATCAGTTTTCTCTTTAACAGTTGCAGTGCGTGTAGGAATGTCTTATTTAGTTCTGCATCTTTCTTTTTTTTTTTGTTCCCATATATGAGCTCATTTTATGTTTCATTTGTTTTTGATAGTGCCATTTGAGTGACANGTTCCATATATGAGCTCATTTTATGTTTCATTTGTTTTTGATAGTGCCATTTGAGTGACATATTTTCTAAAGTTTCTTTACTTCACATATGTTTCTTGATATCATTTATCCAACCTGGACCTTTTCTATATCCCGAATGAGGCAATTGTGCACATTTATTGAATTTTATGCCTATGTGCACATACTTTCAGTCAACAGAAATTGATAATGCATCTTCGAATATGTTGAAGGAAAATTTACAAGGTTGCAAGGGAGTTTGGGCTGTATACCACAAGAGTACGCGGAGTCATAATATTGATTCTTCAAAGATGGCAGCTGATGATGATGAATACCATGCATATTTGATTATTAGTTTGGAGAGTCGTACAATGGTAATCTCATTCACACAGCATGTTTCTTTTTATGATGTTCCAAGCTCTGTCAATATTTTTATATGTGTACAATAAAAAAGAATAAATTCTGCATGTTTCATGATGGATTTCTTTGTGATTGATTTTCAGTCTTCTATGCATTCTTTGGGTCATTTGTTTGGAGCTAATTGTAATTATTTGTAGCTGGAATGGAGTTGCATAATGATCAAATCATGGTGGAAAAGCAGGAGTTATGTTTAGAAGTCTGGATGATTTATAGCACATCTTACAGCTGCTTCAAAATCCTATGTATAATAATTATTTTTATTTATGCACAACCCATTGTCGTATGCAATTCTTGAAACAATATCGGGGCATATATTGCTCATTACAATTCAATGTGGCGTATAACTTAAGAGTAGATGGTGGAAGTTGAATCATTATGATGCTGCTACAAGAGCGACATTGTACATCATACCACAATCTATCTCACCAGGTGCATATTATGAGACTCCCTAAAGGCATTATGTGAAGTAAGCATATTGTTTGACAAAAGCCACATTCTTGGTGCAAGTCTTTTGCCAATTATCAAGGAAAATTGTATATTTTTCCAAAGTGAATCCAATACAGATCTTTTAGTTAGCTAATCCTCTAATCATCTATTCCAATAATGCAGCCCATGCAACCATTTCCGTAGGGGTTAATGTCCATTAAAGAAAATGAAAGGTGGTAACTAGCTGGTACGTGAGGATATTTGTTGTTTTAGGCTTCACATTTGTCCTACAAACTTGTTGAACTGGAAGAAATATATGGTTGTCTAAATCCTGTTGATGCATTTGTGATCATCTTTGCTGGTGTGTTACAGTTCTATTTATAATTTTTTGTAGATATTACAGACAGCTAACAATCTGGAGGAGGTTACCGAAAATGTTGATTATTATGTCCAAGGAAGTACAATTGCTGCAGGAAATCTGTTTGGAAGGTGAATCCGTTTATAATTCTTGGATATGGTATTATTCATTTGGCTTGTTAGTATGTTTCTGGTATCTGGATTTCTACTTTTTCTTTTTATATCATACGAAGCTTATTAAAATGTGCTCTCTGGAGTTCTGGAGCCAGGAGGGATCCAAATATGCACAAGTATGAGGAACTTCCCTTGAATGTGTTGATTAATATTGCACATTCTTTGCTTTCCTCTCTCATCCACTAAGCGAAGATTTAAAAATTAGTTGATATATTGAGTCTGTCCTTTCCTTTTCAGATAGCTATACACATCTTGTGTGAAATTTTACAGTTGCTATTTGGCCAGTATGAATGGGAATACTGGATATTAAACTAGAACTGTCGTGACTGCTGCTGCATTGATGCAAAAGGACTAGATTGTTGCTTAGACTCAATTTCTCTGCTCTTCTGTTTCGTTCAGGATACTAAACAGTTGCTATGCAAATTTCTCTGTCCTTAGGAAAACTTATGTTATCTGTGCTCTGAACCTTTGCAGCACTAAGCATAGCACATCAGCGTTGTATTATTTACTTTTCTGACTAATAGTGAACTTTTACCTGAAAATATTGCATTTTATTTATCTAGTCTAGAGTTTGGTTTTATCTATCCTAACTTATATTTTTGTGGTGGCTTTATTTACACTGGTTGGTTTTCCTTTCTATGTTATGATATTTTTGTATCTTCTGTGGTTTCCTTTTTTAAAGTTGGTTGCCTGAGTTCTGAAGCTTGATTTCAGTCGTCAATTGTAATGTACTTTTTGTAGTACGAAGGTGGTTCACACTTAATTTCCATTTTTTTTAGGCGCCGAGTTATCCAAGTCTTTGCTCGTGGTGCCCGAATTCTTGATGGTGCTTTTATGACTCAAGATTTGAGCTTTAGCACTCCAAACTCTGAAGCTGGCTCCAGTTCTGAAAGTTCAACAGTATCATCTGTTTCTATAGCTGATCCATATGTGTTGCTAAGAATGACAGACGGAAGTATTCAGCTTCTTGTTGGAGGTACATGTGGCTGGCTAATACGACTTCTTTTCCAAAAGATTCTCAATTGTCAAAGCATTTTCATGGATCTGAATCTAAATTTAACCTTTAAGCTACCTTTAGTTTTTTCGCATATGAAGCTTCAAAGTAGCCAAAGTTCAACTTTCAACTCATAAAATATCCTTGCTATGTAATGCTTCAGAAATGCGTGAATGCATATAGTAAGAATACAACATAGTTGTTACCCTAATGCAGCGAGTTGACTTTATAGACTTTTGGACAGTATGTAAATATCTTCTGACCCTTAGGTTCTTCTACTTTCAGTCTTACAAGGGCTTTCGACTATGAAGCATGGACCACTCAATTTTAGCTCATGTCGTGTTGTATCCATGTCCGTATCTGTGCTTCTTGGGTTTTCAATAATGGGAGATGCTTACTCTACTACACACTAGCAACTCTTCATCAGACAACTTAAAACATGACAATTTTTGATAAGAAACAAGACTTTTATTTCACTAAAATAAAGGAATTCAAAATGGCGGATAAAGATATCTAATGTAAGAATACAAAGGAAAAACAATGACACTTCTAGCGATTGCACACGGCAATCCAATTATGTTGTAATAATTAAAGAGGAAAACATGACAAAATGGCCTAGAGTAGCACTGTGTGAAGTCTAATNCAATGTAAGAATACAAAGGAAAAACAATGACACTTCTAGCGATTGCACACGGCAATCCAATTATGTTGTAGTAATTAAAGAGGAAAACATGACAAAATGGCCTAGAGTAGCACTGTGTGAAGTCTAATAGAAACTCTGTATTAACGTGATTCACACTTAGAGTGCTTAGGTTGATCTCACCACTTTTTGAACTTGCAGGCTGCTACTGCAGTTGCATGAGATAGGCATAGCTCTACCCACAGCTTTAGACTTCGCATGCATTTTGAATTAACATACACAAAATATATTACACGCCTTCTCATACTTTTGCTTTTTATCAACTTTTTTCTTTTATGGGCGTTGTCTATTTAGCCTTGTACCAAATTGAAAAATTAATGTTCATGCCACAGCCGGTGCATGATTTAGGCATTGGATTTGTTAAGAATTAGAAATTCTCTGGTAATCATTGCTTTGAAGCTGGACATCAGAAAAAAAATGGCTCCATTTCATCTAGCTATGGCCTGTTCAACTGTGCCCTCATTGCTTCCTAGGGCAGTATTTTTATTCAAGCAACTATTAGATGTAATCTTTGTGCCTAATATTTTGGTGCTCACATGAGGTGTTTATTAATAGTAATCACAGTTTTCTCGTTATAAACTCTTAGAGTCTCTTTGCTCTTCGCTCCCTTTATCCAGATTTGGCACAGGGCCTCTTAAAAGTACTCAAATTAGTTTTCTATTTGCAGATCCTTCTAATTGCACTGTTTCCAGCAACATTCCTGCCGTATTTGAAAGCTCAAACAAATCAATATCTGCCTGCACACTCTATCATGATAAAGGACCTGAGCCATGGCTCCGGAAGACAAGTACCGATGCTTGGCTTTCTACTGGCATTGGCGAGGCTATTGATGGGGCTGATGATATACCTCATGATCAGGGTGACATATACTGTGTTGTTTGTTACGAAAGTGGTGCTCTCGAAATATTTGACGTGCCTAATTTCAGTTGTGTTTTCTCGGTGGACAACTTTGTGTCTGGAAAGTCCTACCTTGTAGATACCTTTGTCAAGGATCCATCTAATGCTTCTGAACAATTTATGAAAAACGATTCTGAAGATGTGGCTGGCCATGCCAGGAAAGAGAATATCCAGAATATGAAGGTTGTAGAGTTGGCCATGCAAAGATGGTCAGGGCAGCATAGCCGCCCATTTCTTTTTGGAATATTGACTGATGGGACGATTCTTGGTTACCATGCTTACCTCTTTGAAGGTTCAGAAAATGCTTCTAAAATTGAGGAAGTCGTTACGGTACAGAATTCTGTTAACCTTAGCAGTTCTAGGCTTAGAAATTTAAGATTTGTTCGAGTTCCCTTGGACACATATTCAAGGGAGGAGACATCATCTGGAACTCCATCCCAACGAATAACCATATTCAAGAATGTTGGAGGTTTCCAAGGATTATTCCTCTCTGGGTCAAGACCAGTTTGGTTCATGATGTTCAGAGAACGGCTTCGAATACATCCACAGGTTCGTTTCTGCTCCCTTCAAAATTGTTCTATGTTTTTGCTTACTGGAATGAAATAGAAGAAAAGAAGACAGATTCGGAGAGGGAAGTATTAAGAAAGACTCGTTTTTGATGGTGGGTTGGTGTAGGATCAGCAGATTTTGGCCTGGTCCTAGCCGTATGGATGAGCTAGCATAACACTTACTGTGAACCAGTCTCAGGGAAGTGCAGTTTCATTTAAGACAGTATGAAATGGCATCAAAAACTTCACTGTAGTGTTACAGTTATCTGGTTGATAGCTTATGCACAGCTTGCTGCTTATAATATTTCTTCAAAGTTCTGAAATATACTCAATTCAGCAAGTCTTAATTTCAAGTGCTTAAGTTAGCAACATTGACCTGCAGTCAATGGCCGGCTCCTTGAAAGGCCATATCCTTAATCAAGTTGATTCCAAATAAATTTTGATACTTTTATCTGCTGGATTAAAGATAAGGATATCGTTATAGAAGCTGCTACTACTACTCATTAAGCTCTGACTTTTTAATTTGCAGCAATGTGATGGACCTATTGCTGCCTTTACTGTTCTTCACAATGTAAACTGTAACCATGGACTTATATATGTTACCTCACAGGTTAGACAAAAGTATACTGCTGCTTATCTTTTACCCCTTGACATACATCTTCATTAATTCCTACATATTTTTTTGTTTCAGGGTATTTTGAAAATTTGCCAACTTCCATCTTTATCGAGTTATGACAACTATTGGCCAGTACAAAAAGTGGGTGATTATTTTTATCAATTCTCTTCATACTCCAATTTGATATCAGATTAATAGTTTTGACATGGATGTGCTCGCATGAATATTATATCTTTTCTGCCAGATTCCTTTAAAGGGGACTCCACATCAAGTCACTTACTTTGCTGAGAAGAATTTATATCCACTTATAGTTTCAGTTCCAGTGAGTGCAATTTCTATCGTTTACTCTATGCCTCTGGTTCACCAATTATCTTTTTAAATTGTTTAGGCAAGCTGATATGGAATGAGTATCCAGACAACTTATAAACATATTCCTCACATTGATAGTGAAGTAGTGAGTGGCCGAGTGCTCGTTTATCATGCAAGTCTGGCATTAAGACTTGTCAAATTGCACATATTAATGTAAAATGTGTCCTTCCGATGCATTACTATCATCTGCTTGTCCTTTATGATTTGCCTTCCTATTGGTGCTGTCACTTTTCATTTTAATTGTTGCGATGACAAGAGGAAATCATCCACCCTTTTGTGCAATTGTTTTACATTAAAAATCTGTAGCTACAAATTTCTTGATTGCTTCCTTGAGTCAAATATAATAAAATTAGGTGCTTTGACAAAAGGAAGCATATCATGTCTGATGANGAGTCAAATATAATAAAATTAGGTGCTTTGACAAAAGGAAGCGTATCATGTCTGATGAATTCCTAAGAGCCAGGAATGGATATCATCCCTGTACTGAAATATGTTATTCATGGTTTTGTGGACTCTCATTTTTAGTGTCTGTCCTGAAGCTGAGTCTTCTTTTGAAAAAATAATTTATTTTTTGGTGTACTTTCTGTTGCTACGCAATACGTTCAAACATTGAGTGTGACAGAAATGAGAATGTTAAGATGGATGTTGGGTAAAACTGGGAAGGATAGAATTAGAAATGCTTATATCAGTGGAAAAATAGGTGTAGCACTTATATGAGATAAATTAAGAGAAAATCAACTTAGGTGGTTTGGACATATTTATAGACAGCCTACTATGGTACCAGTGAGAATGAGTGATATGACAGCTATTGACAGTAAGCATAGAGGTAGAGGAAGACTAAAATTAAAATTGAAATAGTAAAGAAAGATACGATAATTTATGGTATAATAGAAAACATGGCCCTCGATAGAGCTGGCGAAAGAGGATTCATGTAGCTGACATGAAAAATGTTGGGACAAGGCTATGTGGAGTTTTGAGTAAATGCAAAGGGATTAATTTTTGCCTGTCGCTTGAATGTAGTTCCCATTGTCTTTTACAGGTTCCTAGGCCATTGAATCTAGTTCTCTCATCTCTGATGGATCAAGAAGTTGGCCACCAGAATGAACAGGACAACTGGGGTTCAGATGGAACTTACACTCTAGAAGAATTTGAGGTTCGGATTTTGGAACCAGAAAAATCTGGTGGTCCTTGGCAAACTAGGGGTACAATTCCTATGCAGAGTTCTGAAAATGCTTTGACTGTGCGAGTGGTTACATTGTTTGTAAGTTATGTTAGACTTTAGATTTTGAACTGCTTTTTTGTCTTAATAGTTCTGGTATTTTTTGTCAGTTGTCAATGGTGGATAAAATTATATATTCTTAACATGATCAAAGCACCATTTCATTAACTGTTGCTCCCTACATATATCAATTCCTCATCACAGAATACATCAACAAGAGAAAATGACACACTTTTGGCTATTGGGACTGCTTATGTGCAAGGGGAGGATGTTGCTGCAAGAGGGCGTGTTCTCTTGTTTTCTGTCGAAAGAAATGCTGATAATTCTCGGATTTCTGTAACCTTCTGAACTATTTTTGACCTCTTGCTTAATCCAGTCTTATTTTCTTTTTTCAAAATCAACTCAATCGCCATACAAATTTATGTCTTTCATCTACTCCTTTTCAAGTTCTCAATGCTGCTCAAGTGCTACCAATTAATTTGATATTTTTCTTCCCTTTCAGGTTTCCGAGGTCTACTCCAAGGAGTTGAAGGGTGCTATATCTGCTCTTGCTTCACTTCAAGGTCATCTGTTGATAGCTTNGTTTGAGAAAGTGGAGGGGGGTATTGTCATTGCATCAATCCATTTTACAGTATACACCTAGACCACTTGAGTAAAACTTTTTATTTTTTGGCTGTGCTAGAAAGTAAATTGTCAATAACTTTANGCACAAATGGACAGGTTCTGAGTTGAATGGCGTTGCTTTTTATGATGTTCCACCTCTTTACGTTGTGAGCTTAAATATTGTAGGTGTCTTCTCCACAACTTCAATTCCTCTGCTGTATGTTTTTTCCCTGTCGTGTTCTCTTGATTGGCGATTTCTGGAGTGAGGTGCATGATGTGAAACTACAAAATTGTTATAGAGCCAGATTGCCCATCTGTTTTGTGAATATTGCCAAGGCAATTAGATGCCTCAATTAATTAAATTAGCAAAAATAAAGGAGCACAGAATCTCAGTTGCACATATATTGATTTACATTGGAATGAAGTGTCATGGCAAATGCATGTAGCATCTAGTCTTATTTATAATTTTCTCACCATGCCATATGAGCTTGCTTTATTTTTTTGATTACTTATTCAATTGCTTGGCCATGTATCAGTTTGCAACGACAATGGTAGTATGGTTTATTTTTTCTCTCTACCCTAACTAAACTCTACATCTGACCGGTTTGGGGGGTGATGATCTCTAATATGCTTGTATGGTTTATTTTTTCTCTCTACCCTAACTAAACTCTACATATGCTTGTATAGCAAAGCCATTACTGACTCGACAGGTTTTTATGTTAGCTTTTGTAATATATGCAGTACGAACAATCAATTGAGATGGCTTATGCATGTACAAATTTTGCTCCTTGTTAATGCCATTTAATGTTGCAGGTTAAGAATTTCATTCTTCTTGGGGATATTCACAAAAGCATATATTTTCTTAGTTGGAAGGAACAGGGAGCTCAACTTAGTTTATTGGCCAAGGATTTTGGCTCACTTGATTGTTTAGCGACCGAGTTTTTAATTGATGGAAGCACGCTCAGTCTGCTGGTTTCAGATGATCAAAAAAATGTTCAGGTTGGCGTCTTTCTTATGTACATGGTTTTCCTACTTGCACATCTTCCCAAAGAATTTACTATATCCAAAGGCATTAGGAAATGCAAAATAATGGGAAGTTATGGTTTAAAATATCTGTTTGTTTTTCAGCAATTTTTTTGGTAAGAATTCTTTCAACATACTTTTTATTTTTTTGTCGAGTTAATAAAAACATCTTGAACATCTTTTTCCTTCACATTCCCTTATTGATTGAAAGCCACATGTGGTAGTGTGCACTGGTCAAGGCTAGGACCTTGCCACTTGGCTTCACTGTTTTTATTCAATGGTGGGAGATACTTCAAGGCTAATAAACATGTCACTGGTTCTGTCCATGTTTATGCCAGCACGCACAAGTTTGCGGACCACAAATAGTGTTCACGTGCACATGACACACACTATTGAATTTTTAAATATAAATTTGTATCAAAAAATGCTATAAATGAGCATTCAACAAACGAAGATGTTGCATTGACCGGATCTCAGATGTAGTCGGCGTAAGAGCTAAATGGCTTGAATTTCGAATTCTAAATCATATAATATCATTAAATCATGTCTACCTGGTAAATGGCGACAGTAATGGCTGCCATGCCTACGTTGTACAGATAATTGCCCAATTTGAAATATTTTTCGATTTTCGTAGATATCGTGACATACCAGAGATTGAAACTTTGTTCTGGTCAATACCATGGACCTATTATTGTCATGGATATGAAGTGTTCGGAGTTATGACTGACTTTAGTAGCCTGAATGTGGAGCTATTAATCCTTTGCAATGTGAGAACTCCTCTTTTCAACTGTTTGCCTAATGTTTGAATGTTGTGCATGCAAAACACAGATATTTTATTATGCTCCAAAGATGTCAGAGAGTTGGAAAGGACAGAAGCTTCTATCTAGGGCAGAGTTTCATATTGGTGCCCACGTGACCAAGTTCTTGCGGTTGCAGATGCTTCCTGCATCATCAGATCGAACCAATAGTGCTCCAGGCTCTGATAAGACTAATCGATTTGCTCTTCTGTTTGGCACCCTGGATGGCAGCATTGGTTGTATTGCACCTCTTGATGAACTTACATTTCGTAGACTTCAGTCTCTGCAGAAAAAGCTTGTTGATGCTGTTCCCCATGTTGCTGGGCTAAATCCAAGATCTTTCCGGCAGTTCCGTGCAAATGGAAGGGCTCATCGGTCTGGCCCCGACAGCATAGTCGACTGTGAGCTGCTTTGCCAGTAAGTATTTTGTTTTCTCTTCCAGAAATCTCTGATGTCCGAGTTACTTGCCAATGCAAAGAAGTTTTTTCACTCACTACCACAGCCACATGGGCATGCACAAATGCACTCCAAAACTAGATAGATAAACAAATAACAGAACGGTCAAATAGGAAAGTGGAAAAATAGCATATATATACACACATGCATACTTGTATGAAAGTTTGCAATGCTACACAATGGTTTGAACATCAAAACTGATCTCAAATAATCAATGCAATATCTTTAATGATTGTTTCGACTTTTTTTCCAGTTACGAGATGCTCCCATTGGAGGAGCAGCATGAGATTGCCAACCAGATCGGAACTACTCGTACCCAGATCATGTCCAATTTGAATGAACTCACTCTTGGCACCAGCTTTTTGTAAGTTCAACCCGACCCAAATGCAGCTTACAGCAAGTTTGGGATATTAGCAGGGAAACTGTATCATGCTGTCAGTTGTATCACATTCCAACCATATTTATCTGTAAGATTAGCTTTTCTGTCAACAGGTTGGCTAAACCGTAGTTATATGAACTTTTGTCATAGGTTTTGTTGTCACCATTGCTGTATTTTTAGATTTAATGTCTAGATTCTTTCTCAAGTAGGGTTACACTTAACACCATCTAACTGATTATGTAGGGGATTGATTTTTATTTAATAAAAGGAAAAATTACACTTTGCACCCTTAAACTATGATACTGATCTTACTTCTCTTCGTATACTTTTTAGTCTCCTCAATAACTGTTGAATTAAAAAAAAAAAAATTATTTAAGGACTGAACACTTTATACACAATGAAGTGATATGTTAAATCCGTATATATTTTTCTCATGCCTGGCGTGCGTGTGAAAGAATAATCTAGTCCTCCATGTACTTATGATGATGAGACACGTGCACATAGTTAATGAATAAGGCATCATTGGGGTGGGTTGGTTAGACCGTCATGCTTAGGGATGAGTTTCCAAAGTATTTTTTGGTTTGTAGGGTCCAGCCCTTCAAGGAATGTCTAGCCAAAGTGAAACACGTCTCCTTACATTTCGATGCCACAGAGAGAGAGAGAGAGAGAAAGAGGGGGGGAGGCCCACGGCAAAATGAGTGCAACATGGACACGAAAAAAGTATCTTTCGAGGATAATTTAAGTAATAATATGAACGAATTGTAAATTTAGACGTATTGAATTCTAATTTTGATAATTTTTTCAGGTTAAGACATGAGAGATTTATTAAATTTCTCATGAATACCCTAATCTCAGTATGAATGATCTGCCTTTGATTGAATCAAAAGAAAATTAATCAAAATATGTGTAAACTGACTCAATCTGTGACAATTGAACTAAAAAAAAAGAAAAGAAAAGTGGGTCTCTCACTCCTTTCAAATGTCTTAAAAAGCCCTCAATGGTGGGAGCGGTACTTATTAAATATTCAAGTTGGAGTATGCTTTTAAGTTCAATTCAATTGTGACTGGTCAAGTTGAAATCTAACTGTCGATCTTAGATTTTTATTCAAGTTTCAATGTAAACTTGTGGATGTTCAAGCTAAAATGGAGTTTAATTTAATTGGAAATTTTTTTAAAAATTTATAACTCGTAATTAATTAGTTGTGGATACAATCTTTGAGTTAAATTGAGTCACACATTGGTTGAATTTGATTTGTTCACAAAATGAACCCAAGAATTTGATCAAAATTAGTTCATTTAACAATATAAACAACCCAAAATCAGTGAAAAATAAGATGAATTTTTGAGTTATTTTTTCTTCGTTTACAAACCTTACTCAATGGGCTTGAGCTAGAAGTTGGTATGGTGCCCTGAGTCCCATGACAAGATGATAGTTTTTTGTGTGAATTAAACACATCATCTTAATCAATCAAACGTTATACATTCTTAATGAATTATTGTCATACATCAATTTGTTAGATTTGTTTTTGAAAAAACAAGCTTTTTTTTTTGTTATATGGTGTTTAAGCTTACACCAACTACTCCCTTACGCTCTAAAATCGGCCACTGTAACTTGAATTAGTTTAAGGTCATGTCCCCAAAAAAACAAGTATAACTGATTCTTAAAAAGTGTAGAAAATATCGAATTTAAAGTCTCTTACTTGCAAGAGAAAAAATTTAACCACCGGACACGCATTCAAATTATTATGTTGGCAAGTGTTAGGTCTAGTCACACCAAATTAAAGTCCTACTCAAATCCCTCCCTTTATTTTTTCTTCTTTTGTAATTTTGGTCTTTAAGAGATAAGGTGAGAAACATGGTCAATGTCCTTCTTAAGAACAATCCACATGCAAATGAGAATGAATGTGTAGCTTCTTCCAAGCTCTTTTTAAAGTGGGGCGGCTATGCATGGGCGGCTCTTTAGAAAAGGTGTTACCGTGGATTGCCCAAAAAATCATTTCAAACGTGCCAATTTTTATCTTGCTTTTTTACGGGCAGGTTAAGTTATTCGATTTTAATCTAAATACCAAATATTCGAATTTTATAAATAATTTTTTCGTATCCAATAAATTATTTGCGCGTGTTTGTAATAATTTTTCGTATGCGTCGATTTATTAATGTACATAATGGACAATTTATTATTTTCTAAACATTTGAGGTAATCTCTACTTCTATTTTTATCATAGAAATTGTGTGAAACTACGTTTCTGATGTGACTTAATGAGAAAGTTGATGCATATTTCAGTGATCGAGAAATGTTATTTGAACTTAAAATATTGATATGATTTATTGATTTAATCAATCAAAACTATTAATAAAATAGNGGCGTCTTTCTTATGTACATGGTTTTCCTACTTGCACATCTTCCCAAAGAATTTACTATATCCAAAGGCATTAGGAAATGCAAAATAATGGGAAGTTATGGTTTAAAATATCTGTTTGTTTTTCAGCAATTTTTTTGGTAAGAATTCTTTCAACATACTTTTTATTTTTTTGTCGAGTTAATAAAAACATCTTGAACATCTTTTTCCTTCACATTCCCTTATTGATTGAAAGCCACATGTGGTAGTGNATTTTTCAGCAATTTTTTTGGTAAGAATTCTTTCAACATACTTCTTATTTTTTTGTCGAGTTAATATAAACAGCTTGAACATCTTTTTCCTTCACATTCCCTTATTGATTGAAAGCCACATGTGGTAGTGTGCACTGGTCAAGGCTAGGACCTTGCCACTTGGCTTCACTGTTTTTATTCAATGGTGGGAGATACTTCAAGGCTAATAAACATGTCACTGGTTCTGTCCATGTTTATGCCAGCACGCACAAGTTTGCGGACCACAAATAGTGTTCACGTGCACATGACACACACTATTGAATTTTTAAATATAAATTTGTATCAAAAAATGCTATAAATGAGCATTCAACAAACGAAGATGTTGCATTGACCGGATCTCAGATGTAGTCGGCGTAAGAGCTAAATGGCTTGAATTTCGAATTCTAAATCATATAATATCATTAAATCATGTCTACCTGGTAAATGGCGACAGTAATGGCTGCCATGCCTACGTTGTACAGATAATTGCCCAATTTGAAATATTTTTCGATTTTCGTAGATATCGTGACATACCAGAGATTGAAACTTTGTTCTGGTCAATACCATGGACCTATTATTGTCATGGATATGAAGTGTTCGGAGTTATGACTGACTTTAGTAGCCTGAATGTGGAGCTATTAATCCTTTGCAATGTGAGAACTCCTCTTTTCAACTGTTTGCCTAATGTTTGAATGTTGTGCATGCAAAACACAGATATTTTATTATGCTCCAAAGATGTCAGAGAGTTGGAAAGGACAGAAGCTTCTATCTAGGGCNTAAATTTGAAAAAAGTAATTTTTTTTTTCTTTTTTTCCCTCAAGAAAACAAGGAGTGACACACTTTTCAATATATTTTCTCAATTTTTTTTTTCATTGATAGATCATGTACTGTGATTTTAAGTGGGACCCATTTCACGTATATAAGTGATTCCTCACTAATGCACAAGAGTGATCCACCAAAGAAGAAAATAAATAGAAAAAAATATTGAAGGAGATCTAAATTCAAAAACCAAGGCTATGAATTCGGTTGGCTAGTGGAGTATAGTCCCGCACTTAAGGGCTTGATTAGATGAATTTTGGAGAGGTATTCGGATTGGCTTCTTTGAACCCTTTCAAACTCAAATCTCTCTTTGTCAAGATGAGATTTAACATTCAATTTGGTTCATACTTATATTTAACATGTAATATATACACATGTAAGACTCGCGGATGTATCATAATTATCAACAACTATTTGTCCTATAAATGACTCTTTTACTTTTGATCAATCAAATTCATACATATGTTAAGAGAAATAATTATCTTTTGAATTCTTAATCCCTCACCCATCTTCCCAAATCTACCTTTCCCTAGGTTTAATGAAACTTACGATTATGAGTTTAATCTTTTAGTCAACTATGAGTTGGGTTTGAAAATTCGATACTAAATTTTTCATACAAATAAAAGATTTGAGAGAGTTTTTGACTATTTCTCTCAAATTTATCTTGTCAAACTCCCCCTCGTACCTTTTTACCAAACAACCCCTAAGTCTTGCAATGTGCATAGTCACCCTACTCTACCATCTATGAGTGAATTATACTCTTCTTCAAAACTTATTTTGCTATGGTTGTTGGGCTATCAACGGGTTCTAATATGTAATGAAGTTTATTCTTAATCTAATTATTACAATGCATTAAGTTTTTAAATAAAATCTCTAAATTAAGTATTATTTGGATCTCTATAGTACGTACTTTTAGACTCATTTTTTAAGTCCAACTCCTTTTTGTAATATTTACTTGTATCACGTAATCCGCGTTGACACTTCTGACAATTCAAAAATACTTGAAACAGCTACAAATAACTAAACAAGAAAATTCATGGAAGCCTAGAAATAATCAATCAAATGAACCATTTTAACTTTTTGCCAATCAAATAATGACTTAAAACTAGAAAATTAGAAGGAAAAGAAAAGACTGAAGATGATGATGATGAAGTCGCTTCATTGGAGAAGAAAACAGTATCCAGAGAAAAAGTGTTTAGGGTCTGCCTGGCTCCACTTCTATTGATTATGTTAACAGTAAAGGTGTTATTAGCAAAAACAATGTTATTTTGGGTTAGAATTATTTTTTGGTGCTTAAATTATTCTTGTTTTATTAATTTAATTCTTATTATATTTTTTTTTGTCAATTTAATCCCTAAAATATTTAGTTCGTGTTTAAATAATCCCTACACATACGATTTTGTTAGACTTTTTGACTAGAGTGATCACGTGATACTATTTAACAGAATGATAAACGGTCCTTTCAATCAAAAAATTTAACAGACTATTTAGTTAGGAACTATTTAAACATAAATTTGAATACAATAAAGACCAAACTAATAAAACGCATATTTTTTAAGGACTAAAAATATTATTTACCCTATTATTTTATATAAAATTACTCCATTCTATTTGGATGCACATAAAATCCTTTGGGTTTTTTTTTTTTTGGGTGTTCGGGGATCAACACGTCAACCATGAAGCAAATCAATAAACTTTTTAAATTTTTTTTTTTGTCAACGGTATGAGATGTTCAGAGTAACTTATATACATTTGGACCAATTTTTTTTCTAGCTCAATCAAAGTCGGATTATCCAAACTTAAATTATTTATACTGAAATTAAAGTATTTGTGATAAATAAATTCCTTGTAATCTATGAAATATGGATACTTCGTTGAGGTCGGGGTATTCGCATCGAATACTTTATTAGATACGATACTCATCAGACACTCGAAAATACGTATCGGATACACCTCATACGTATCCAATAATAATTAAATATTAAGATACTTCACGGAAACTTTTGTGTTCAAGCAATATATATAATTTTTGAGTTGAATTTTTAATATTTCCTTTCGAATTTACGTACCATACAATACATTTACAAAAATTCATACTACTTCAAAGGCACGTGAGTATTTTTTAAATATTATCTATAATTAATTGTCAACATAGTATTATAAATTTATTACATTATAGTCTTAGCAAAAATTACTTTTAAATAAATCGAATCGGTAAATATTAGTTTTAATTCCTTTAATTAATCACTTCACTTTGTGAATATATCATAGTAATACGATATATATTTTCTTCAAACTAAAAATAATTACTAATTTTTCTTATTGTGTTAAAAAATTATCAAAATATATAAGTATTATACTGATTGAAAATAATAAAAATATTAAATATATTTTATTAGTCATATCTTGACCGTATCCGTATCCTTCTTTTTTAAATTTTGTTGTATCATCGTATCCGTATCTATATCATACTCGTATCCCATATTCGTATCAGTATCTCTGTATTTCATATAACCTAAGCCTAAAAAATTATAAAATTTTAGACTCAAGCCATCAAAATTTATATAACTCGAAGCTTTTAATGTACTTGACTTCAGATCTTGTATTGTAACAGAAGAGGTTCTCTCTCTCCGCTCTGTTTGTGTTGTTTTTCTCATTAGACTACTTGTGATGGTTGCAACACCCCACGAGCCTAACAGTGCATCTTCAAAGTCTTCTAATCTTATCTCTGCAATTCCAACTCTTCCATTATTTCTTTCTTTCTCTCTCCTCTCCATCCTTTTCTTCTATCTTCACTCTCTAGTCCAACTAATCATCATCATCACTCAACAAACCCAAAAACTCCATCAAAACTTCTCTATTTTCTCACCCATCATCCCATAGTTTCTGCATTAATTTCCCATCCCTATAGTCACCGCTTTAGAGTTAATGGCTCTGGAGACATGGCTGACCAAGGTGAAGAAGACAATATCACAAGGTTTCGGTTCACTACGCGCCACAGCACCACAGACAAAGCCGGCAGTGATGATCAAGAAATCTAATGTCGGAGTCTTAGCCTTTGAGATTGTGGGGTTCATGTCAAAGCTCCTCCATCTATGGCAATCTCTCTCCGACAGGAACATGGCTCGCCTTCGCAACGAATCCATATCCCTTGAAGGTGTTCGAAAGATTGTCTCAATTGATGAAGCTTTTCCTCTCAGCCTCGCATGCGCAGAGATGGTGGAAAATCTCAGACTCATCGCCAAATCTGTGTCTAGATTGAGTAAGAACTGCTCGGAATCGAATCTTCGGTGCTTTGATCAACTGTTTGATGAGTTCGCAAACACGGGTCGTGATCCTTACAATTGGGTTTTGAGCTGGAAGGAAATGGAAGCCAAGAACAAGAAGATTGATCGATATGTTACTATCACAGGAACACTTCGTAGAGCCATGGAGGAGCTCACAGTTTTGGAAAGTGGTTTGAGAAAAACTCTACAGTTTAAAAAACATAAGGTTTCGATCAAAGAACAAAAAATCATTGATTTGAAGCAGAAAATTCTATGGCAGAAACAGGAAATTAAGTATCTGAAAGAGAGATCTTTGTGGAGTCGAAGCTTTGACATGGTAACTTCTTTGCTTGTTAGATCAACGTTTACTAGTCTTTCAAGGATCAAGCTGGTTTTCGGGATCAGCCATGGATATCCAGCTTATCTACCTCGTAGTCTCTCAGCTTCAGCAGCAGTCTACCCTTCTGAAAACCCTAATAGTATTGTATGTGATTTTGTGTCGGGGCCATTGATCAAGAGCTCTAAATCTCTAGAAAAGAATGGTTCACTTCATGAATTCTTCCAGTTAAACTCGAAGATCCTTAAACCACCTTCGAGTACATTAGGGGCTTCTGCTCTGGCTCTACACTATGCAAATTTGATAATTGTGATGGAGAAGATGATCAGATCGCCTCAGTTAATAGGTGTTGATGCAAGGGATGATCTTTACTCCCTGTTGCCAAATGGTATCCGATCATCGTTGAGGACTAGATTGAAAGGTGTCGGGTTTTTGGCGAGTGATCGAGTTCTCGCCGGAGATTGGAGAGAAGCTTTGCAGAAGATCTTGGGGTGGTTGTTGCCATTGGCACATAACATGATCAAATGGCAAAGTGAAAGGAGCTTTGAGCAGCAAAATTTGTTGCCCAAGACAAATGTTCTTCTCTTTCAAACGTTATATTTTGCTAACCAAGAGAAGACTGAAGCAGCCATAACCGAGCTGCTAGTGGGTCTCAACTATATTTGGAGATTTGAGAGAGAGATGAATGCTAAGGCCTTGATTGGATGTACCAACTTCAATGGTTTCCTGAATTTGCAGAATCCTAGCTAATTAGGGAACAATTTTTCTTCTTCTTCTATTTGTTTTCTTTTGGGAGTAATTTTGTTTTTGATGATTTGTCATGGTAGATTTATCCAGAATGAACCAGCTTCAGATCTGTGAGGCTTTGTTTTGGTTCTAAACCATGGTCTGTATATTGTAATATAACTTTTGTAAATGATATGATGGAGTTCAACTGTCAAAAGATTTTTGGGGGTTTCATTTTTTTTTTTTCAATGTTTAAATCAGTTTATGTGTATTTTAACTAATCTTTTTTTCGGTTTGATCAAATGCAAGTCATTTACATCGGAACTAGGAAATTCATAGAGATAAATCTCTCGTGACCTAACCCCAATGAATTATTAAAATTCAAATTCAGACTCAGAACGTCTGAATGTATAATTCTTTTTGTCACCGTTTAAACTATGAGATTATTTTATTTATTATTTATGGGCATGTGAACATATTCTTCTAGCTAGCTTTTAGCACTAAAATTATTGTTCATATTATAGAAATAATATTCAACATGGCACCTTGGATCTAGACTGAGTGGATTCTAGTCCAGGTTGGTTAGGAACTTACCGTTATAATTAAATGAGATAATCAATTGGAATGTGATTTGATTTGGATATTAATGGCTTAGATCTGTGATGGATTGTACCTTGTACATGGCATAAAGCCTTCCAGTGGTAGGGATGATCTTAATATTACNATTTCATTTTTTTTTTTCAATGTTTAAATCAGTTTATGTGTACTTTAACTAATCTTTTTTTCGGTTTGATCAAATGCAAGTCATTTACATCGGAACTAGGAAATTCATAGAGATAAATCTCTCGTGACCTAACCCCAATGAATTATTAAAATTCAAATTCAGACTCAGAACGTCTGAATGTATAATTCTTTTTGTCACCGTTTAAACTATGAGATTATTTTATTTATTATTTATGGGCATGTGAACATATTCTTCTAGCTAGCTTTTAGCACTAAAATTATTGTTCATATTATAGAAATAATATTCAACATGGCACCTTGGATCTAGACTGAGTGGATTCTAGTCCAGGTTGGTTAGGAACTTACCGTTATAATTAAATGAGATAATCAATTGGAATGTGATTTGATTTGGATATTAATGGCTTAGATCTGTGATGGATTGTACCTTGTACATGGCATAAAGCCTTCCAGTGGTAGGGATGATCTTAATATTACTTTGGATGCCTGGATTCTTTTACTATAAGCTATGACATATCGTTTAAACAGATGAGTATTTTCACTCTATTTATAGTCTCTTAGCAAGAGCAATGTCATAGAAATCTAATTTGAAAACTTACTTCAATGTTATCATTGGATTTTTTATGATTTATAATGTTAGATGAAGTCCATTTTCAATCTAATAGTTCTATTGAATTAGGTATCCAAATAGCATCTTCCTTTATCTTAACCCATATTATGCAGCACTTTAAGCTCTCTCTCTCTCCCCCCTATATATATATATATATGTATGTGTGTGTGTGTGTGTTAGAGAGAGAGAGAGAGAGAGAGAGAGGACCCTCTGTTTTGGTGGGGGTGACAGCAATGAAATTGAGCCGAAGTGCTACTGATCATGAGTTAACAACTCACACATGACCCGTAGTAGCACTAAAGAAATCAAGCATCATGGATGGGTGCATGACCATAAATTGGCTTGACGACAATAGAATAACATGGCAGTATCACTATAAAAATCTTCATTTTATCTATCTTGACATAGTTGTGTCATAGGATGGTAACCATAACTTTTGGAATATCATTTTTTTTTTTATTAGTCGGGGAACAACAAAATTCAATCTGTAACCTTAAGGTCCACTAATAAAAGCTATGGTAATTAAGTCAACCACTAACTTCATGATATTGAGTTCGTTACTCATCAATTTCTATTACAAACATACGTGACATAACTATTACAAGTGGATTTTTAGTGGAGAGTAAACCAATGGTCCACATTAGTTAGTAAAAAAAAAGGTAGTAAGAATAGCATTACTCTATTCGAACTCATATTAGACAATTGCTAGAGAAAAATTTATGAAGGACTAGAATTGGTGAGGAGCCTTACCCACCATTGGATCGAATCCAAACAAATTTGACTCTTGGATTAATCAATGAAATAGGTTTGTTGCATGTTCTTCAACAAATAACACTACATCGTTGTTGAATTTAGATACTCACATAATGCTTGATAAGAATATTATTGCTTTTACGAACTTATTTTTTACCAACAGAAACGGCAGTACGACACTAGTGGATGATCAATCAAACTGTGTATAACCTACAAATTTAATAATCCATATGAAAGTTATGCGAAAGAATTAACAAAAAAAGTTATATACCTAACCAATTAGAGATTGATATCAATAGTCTAAAGCCCATTAAGTTGTTCTTACATCTACAACCTCAACCGAATTTGCAAAAGAAAAAACGGAAAAAAGATTTGCTAAATGTCCGCCAAATTCCCTACTATTTACAGTCCCCCTCGGGTTCTCTTCCCAAACCAGTCCGAATGCCATGAGAGTTGGGCATAATCCTTAGATCCTTGTATTCAGCCTATCACCTTTACAAACTGGGTTTTCCTTCGCCAAAGCTCCACGCCCAGCAACCTTGTATTCGAAATTGCACGAATGTTCTTCTGGGAATCTGTGAATGCCACAGAATGTGCCGCCACAGCGACACCCAAAACCCATCACTCCAACCTTTTTCTTGCAGCATTGGCATCGGTTCTTCACAATCGGAGCCTCGACCGAAGCAGTGACAGTAGAATCAACAGCGTTCTTCGGAACCGAAGGGAATGGGTTTGTGGGAGGAGCATGCACAGAAACTGTTTGATTCAAGTACTCAGTGATCTCTTCTCTCAGATATTGTTGATAACACTTGGAACAAAGATTGTGAGTCGCCGGCGTTCCGTAAAAACCACAGCCTTTAGCACAAAGACGAGGATTTTCTTGCCCGTAGGCCTTGGTATCATCAACTTTGTTAACTCTATTCTGCGAATCCATTGTCTACTCTCTCTCTCTCTCTCTCTCTCTCTCTCTCTCTCTCTCTCTCTCGTGTAAACTTGAATATTGGTTCTGGTCTTTTCTTGAGCAGATCTTCTTCCCTTGCTTGTTGTTGTGGGTAATGCTTGAGAAGTCTTATGATGGTTGAAAATTAAGTATCGGTAGGATTACATATAGAGGGCTGACTCGCTGCTGATTTGAATTTGAGTTGGATTTCAATATCCATTGCCGCGCGCGTTCGGTAAAGATGTTACATTCCTAATCCTAATCAAAAAAAGGGCAAAAAAAGTTGGGCCATAACCGAACCCGTGTTTTTTTGGCCCATTATGAATTACATAGAGGTGGTTTTTTTTTTTTTTTTCCTGTTAAAAAGTATTTTAACAATAATTGATTCTCTTATTAATTCATGCCTAACAATTCGTGTGATATCGTGTTCGTGTCATATATGAATTGTGTATAATAAATGGTTCTTTTTAATTGGTTTCATTCATATCTAATTCGTTTATTAATTGTATCATATCCAGTCCACTTGTTTACAGACTCAGACTAATGTTCCTGTTATGGTAATATGTCATATTTTATCACTCCTACCAAGAAATAGTATAGAGCTCGAACAAATCCAACGGATAAAAGGGTGAATCCAAGCTTGATTCAAGTTATTATACTTTCAATCCGAGTTCAACTCAAACACAAATTCAACCCAAACATTGCTACTCGAATACTATCATGCTTAACTTTTGAACTCGAGTTACTCTAAAATTCGGTTCCAACTTTAGTTGAAGACAAAATCACTAATTCATAGAGTTCAGACTTGTCCCAAAACCTTAGACCTCAACCCAAATACTATCTAAAATTAAATAGAACTGGGATGGGAAGGGACGAGGTTTAAACCCGCAACCACTTGCAAGCAAATGTGAGCTTATAACTGGGTCACTCCCTCGCCTCTATGGACCATAGATTACAGTCCAAAAGGGAGAACAGGAACCCTCAGAATATTGTGCCGGGAAGCAAATTAAACAACTGATTTCTGTTCCCATTCTCTAGGAAGAAAAACCAGGAACACCCAAAAAAGACATTGGGTCGTAGTTGGTTGCACAGCCACCCTTGAAAGTTGAAACTAATTGCCTCGGTTACTTTCGAGTTACAAGAAAAGCCAGAAAAAACTACATACTTGCTGCTCCCAGCCACCACCAGAGTTAAGCAATTGTGCTCCCACAGGTAAAGCCCATCAATTTTCCGTTAACTCCAGCATAATCTCAACCGATGACATCGTTGTGGCAATGATGACAACGATGTTCATGATGAACAAGATGGATTGGTGATCGAGCTGTGGCCCTGAAATAGATGAGTCCTCACCTCCCTCCGTTCTAGCCAATTGCCTAATATCGACAGTAGCCATTTCCGCTGTTCCCGTGCAGCATACTTTCCGGTTGGAAAGCTATCACCGGGTTCTGAAACAGACGGTTGAACAAGCAGCTATGCAACAGGAATTACAAGCCTAGTTGGACTGTCTTTCTTGAGTGATTTTGTCCATGTTTATCAGCTCATTCAAGTTTCCTTGAAAAAGTTAGCTGCTGCCCAGGAAATGATACCGTCCCACCAAACATTCTGAGGACAGCTTTACATCGTGAAATTAATTGCAGCCTTGTGATAAGGAGGCCACTAACACTTGGGCAGGTGATAATGATGACCCAAAGAAGTTCAGAAGGAAATCTGTTCAAATGCGGAAACAGAGGGTACTGTTCGAGCTCCCACTTCTTTTTTTGTGACTTGTTAAGTACCTGCAACTGTAATTGGTTTTCGTACAATTGAGATAGGAGAATGTATTGAATCAGCAGTATTTAAATGTCTGAACAAGCAAAGACAGCAAACATTGATATATTTTATTCCGTTTCTTTCTGCATCATGACATGCACCAACAATTTAAATGTAAGTATCTATCATGTTTTGCAAGTTTCTACTATTTTCCTCAACAAAACAACTTCCATTCTTGCCTGATCATAATAGTGGCAGGTTTTCATGAAGAGTGACCTTGGGGCGATGCATCTTTGGAACAAGCAATCAGATCAGACAATTGCAGAGGAAGTGGAAGAGGCAGTTGCAAATGATGTAGAAATAGCCTTTTGTGGCCTACAGTTCAGAAACCCGGCTCATGTCTTCATCAAGCATCTCCTTTTAAGTTATTTTTTGCTTGCAAATTTGAACATGTAAAAGTTCGAGTTCTTTCAAGAAGTAAATTCCAAAATATGCAGGAGCTCCAAGCCTATTCAAATGCTGACCATGTCCACCATTGTCTGCCACAACATGTGAACCACTGTGATTATGATTCTTATAATGCACTGCCAGTTGTAATCAGGTGCTTTATGCTGAACTATAGAACATTTCAAGCAGGAGATTTACAAGTTTCAACTACTTTATGTATTCGGTCTATAACTACAGGAATATCCTTTTCAGCTAAGGTAGTGAAACAGCACCTGAACCATCCAGGTTCAATGCAGTGACAAGACGACCCGGGTGTTGCATTGATCTTAGCTATATTTAAGAGCTTTTCCCATAGCTCAAGCTCCCCTTTCTCATTGTAAGGGCGGATTAATCCACTCATATTAACCCAACAGTACAGACCCCCACTGCTCTTTGTGCACTCGATCCCCAACTGTTTCAAACCTGTCACAAACAACTCATACATCTTCCGTATCCTCTCTCTGTTGACCTTAAAATATTCTTGGATGAATCTAGTATCTGAAAGCATCGAAATTAGTATACGCTGGGTTGGAGCTGAAATTGAAGAAAATCTTGTTAACCTACTAGAAGCAGCCAAAACATTTTCATTTAAGGAATATATGACCCCAACTCTAAATCCTGGAAGAGACAAGTCTTTGGACAACCCATATATTATATGAACCCTCTCCTTGTCAGAATCTTCAGAGTCAATAATTTCTGCCATGCTCACAAACTCTTCAGTTCCATAGGTGGAACCGGCAAATATTTCATCAGATATGATATGAATGTTCTTCTCTCTTGCAAAATCCAAGAGATCATAGAGCATTTCCCTAGTAAGCAAATTCCCAACAGGGTTAGATGGGTTTGATATGAGAATACCACGGACTCTCTGTCCTCGTTTTCTTGCCTGATTGAATGTCTGATCAAGAGCAGTGATACTTAAGGTGAAGTTGTCAGAGCTACGGCAGTGAACAGGTATTAAGTCCACACCTGTTCGCCATCTCACATCCCTATCAAACCTGATGATCATTTTTCTGATTATTACTCGTACACAAAAAGAGAGAAAGAGGAAAAGAACAAATTTCAAGAAATAATAAGGGAAAAAAGTGCTTTATTCGCTGACAAAAAATAGGACTACTATTGGAAATATTGCATAATAAAGAGAACCAGTATTACCCAGGGTAATAGGGCGTGGGAACAAGCAATGCATTTCCTTGGTCTGCCAAACAAAAGCAGAGTATCTCAACAGCAGGAGTTGCACCAGATGTTAGTATAAGTTTTGATGGGTCAATCAACGCTGCACTTCCCATTACTCGAGACATGAGACCAGCAATGGCCTACAGAATGGGTAAAATAATAATTAGACAAACCCATTGCATTTTCCACTCCAAATGTAATTTGTTACTATGAACATCAAAGCAAAACAACTAACAGCAGTTAAAAGTGCTAAACTTATAGACATAGGGGAAGAGTTGAAACTATGAAAACAAATTTACAATTAAGGAGCAGAGGGAGAGAGAAATCTAGGCAACACACAACCACTAAATGTACACCACCATCATGGAAAACAGGGCCAATGAGCTGTTTAGGACTTCTCCTGGGGCTATAGCCAAAAACTAATAGAAGTACTCCAACTCATTCAACAATTTTTACAGTTCCAGTGCATCAAACTATTTATGACCAGCTTTTGGGATGATTAAATGAACCCCGAATTGGAAAGCTGTTAAATCAGTTTCAGAAAGGCATGTAAGGCATAAGCAAAAGCTCACTAAATTGAGGTATTCCAAGCAGAGAAGTATGATCTTTAATGACTTACGACAGCATTTCATCTCATAAATGAATTCGACAAGTAAATGACTAAATAAATGTGAGCCATCTCCTATAAAACCAGAACCTCGTCAATTACTAGCGAAAGTTAAATTAACACAGTCTACAAAGTAGAAACAAAACATCAGAAACTTTTTGTTTAATTCATATCAACAAGAATATACGATTTTTGTTTAATTCATGTCTATCATATTCTCCTACTTACCTATGATGATTTCAGCAAGTAGAATAAATGCAAAATTGACAAATTATAGGGATGAAACAATAACATAATCAGATTGCTTCACAATTCACATAACTTAGAAAAGAAGAAGTGAAGAACAATATATAGCTAAAGTCATCCAATTGTAGTTATTTTTTATAAAATACAACCAAGGGTCATTGCCTAGCTTGGTTACCATTAATCAAGGGTGTTGGTCTAACCTTTAGCAATATCTACGCAATATGATTTTAAAGTATAGAAAATTATCCTGCGATCATTGCCCTACTTAGATCACATCTTTCACCAAGATTCCACAGAAACGGATGCTGGCATACGAAATGCACAATTGACCAGTAAAGAAGCCTTTACAAGCAACTTTTCCTTTTCTTCTAAATGGATCTCCTATTCATTACTGCTGAACTAGAAAACCACTGATAAACTAGCACAATACAAACAACATCAATTTATTAAGGAAGCGTCCAATATTAGAATTGGCATCAGTATAATATTTACTGCAACAATTTGAAGAGATTACATCACATTAACTTATGTATACTAAAAACCGAGTTAAAATCTCATCAATATTGAACAAAAATTGTACTAAATATGATATTACCATTTTCAGCTCCACCAATCCATCAAGTGGCTGGTATGTAGCAATTCCACTAATGCTCAGACCATCACTACTTCCTCCGCATATGGAATCATTCAAAGTTCGGGAGAGCCACTTTTCAATCAAATCCAATGACAACTACGATTAATAAAGCACCACACCAAAAAAACAATCAAAAATCAATCAAATCAACCTAACAAAAAGGCAATGAATCAACACAAGTGTGACATTAAAAATGCATATGACCGGTGTTTATACCCTATTTTCTGCCAATCCGAGCTGAATAATCCCATTCGGATTATCAATTTCATCATACGGATCCTCCTTCACCCTATCTAATCCAATGTAGTAAGTTGAATCATTCGATTTTGCAATCGAACTAGCCCGAGTCGACACTAGGGCCCGTCCAATCGATCCACGGCTTGATAGATTGGACCGCGAAGACGTTCGCTGCAACTCGGCGAGATTCGACGATGACGCGGACGGCGACGCAGGGTTTGACGGCGGAGAAGGACGGCGCCGTTTGAGGTAGAACTGGAGGAAGTAAAACAGAGCACATGGGATAAGTGAACCTAAGATTAGACCACCTCTGCCCTGAACCACCCCTCGTAAGGGCACTATGAGTCTCATGCCTGTGGTTCCGCCACCGGTTGAGGGTGGTTTTCGGGTTATGTCTTCGGAGTCTGGCTTCGGGGGAAAGGTTTGGGTCATGTGAGCCGCCGGAATATGACGACTCGACGATGGTGGACCGTGGACGGCTATGAGGGGATGTGTGTGGATGGTTTAATGGTGGTTGGGAGTAACGGAGACTGCTTTCTCTGTATATGTGTGTGTCTGTGGAAGTGTCGTGAAGTTTGAGCCTTTTAGGTGTTGCTTGGTGGATGAGACAAGATGGGATTCTGTCATTGGACTCTAATTTTTGGAGTTTGATTTGACTGAAATGCCATCTATTTCAATTTCATCTAGATATTATTAAATAATTAGTAATTTGTTTGTTAAATTAATATTTTTTAAAAATTAAATTAATTAATTAACACGATGAAAAGAATCAAATGTAGGGTAGTTAAAAAAAAAATATTAAAGGTGGTTACGGAGGTTATATATGAATTCAATTGGAGAAAGCCATTATGTTTCCATTGAATAAATCCAAATTAGAATAAAATATGATTTGAAGAGAAAAAACTTAGTTCCGTTCCTTCCTTCCTAATTTAGATTTTAGTGCATATAACATGAATTTATGATAAATTCATAATTTATAATTTTGTAATTACATTTTATAAGTAAATTATGTTTTAACCCCCTTTGATTTTTGATAATCACAAAGGGTAATGATAAAGAGGGAAAAAAAAATAGATAATGTGGTGCTACATCCCAGTATTGATTGCGACTTTCTTTAGACATTCCAAAAGTGCATAAAAAAATGGTTTGATGGTATGATTCTTTTGTCACTCTAGAACAAAAGGAGTGACCTGGTAGTTTTTTTTTTTTTTGGAAAAGTGGAATTTTATAGTTCTAAGTATGTGAAGATGCTTTATTTTATTGATGCCGAATTTGGACTTGTGCTCAGGAGATAATTATTTATACATCTACATAATAAAGTAATTTATAATTCAAATTTCAAAAGATAAACAAAATGACTTTTACTATTCGTGGTTGAGATCGTTTTAAATTTTACTTTAAAGTTAATCTAACAGTTAATATTAACACTCTAAATTTAATGGGCAAAAAAACCCCTAAGAGTGTGTTTGGAGTGACTTTTTAAAAGTACTTTTAAAAATTACATATTATAAATACTTTAAAAAAAATAGTATTTAAAACCGTCCCACCACCACCGCCACTATCGTCGCCACCACCACCACCACAGCCACCATGGTCATTGTCACCCACTACAACAATCACTGTCTCCTACCACCACTACTGTCGCCTACCACATTTCACCCCATTACAAAATTGATGTTTAAATTCTTTTATTTCTTCTCTTATATTTGTAATTTAATTTTTGATATAAATACAAATATGTTTATTATTTTTTATTATTTTGTGCCTTCAGGCACAGACAATAACTAGTATATAATAAAGTAGTTTACAGTTTAAATGTCAAAAGATAAATAAAATGACTTTTTCTATTCACAGTTGAGATCGCTTTAAATTTTACTTTAAAATTAATCTAACGATTAATATTAACACCCTAAATTTAATAGAAAAAATAAGCCTCTACAAATTATTTATCATCACTGCTTTAAAAATAATAATAGTGTTTGAAATCATCCTACCACTACCTCTACCACCATCACCCCCACCACCGCCGCCATTGCTGCCACCACCCCCACTGTCATCATCATCGCCACCACCGTTGCCATCACCATCGTCGCTGCCACCACACCCGTCACCATCATCGCCACCACCACCACCACCATTGTCACCATCCCCACCGCTGTCATCACCACTATCGCTGACATCATTGCCATCACCATCATCACTATCGCCGCCACCATTGCTACTACCACCACGGTCATTGTCACCCACTATAACCATCAACGTCTCCTACCACCGCCACTGTCGTCCACCACTTCTCACCCCTACTGTAAATCGATACATAAATTCATTTATCTTTTATCTATATTTGTGATTTGATTTTGGATATAAATACAAATATATTTATTATTTACCATTTTTAAGACAATAACTAGTACACTAATAAGGTATGTATACCTTAGCAAAAAATAAAGGATGTATGAATTCTTGAGGAAAGAGGAGGCCTGTTGGTCTCATAGCATGATGAACCCAAAAGTCTCTAAGACCTATTGTTAAGAATAGTGAATCACTATTCTCATTAAGAGCATTTATCGAACCAAGCAATCATATACTTGATTCGCATTGAATGTCAATTTTTTTGTTGTCAAATTTTTTTTAACAATGTTTTTTTTTATCATTTTGACCCAATAGCTTCTTGTTAGATAGGAACAAATTTGATAAAATATTGATAACTTCTTTATAGAGTTTTTTTTTTTGTTTTGGGGAGGGGGGGAGGAAACTTGATCCCTCGACTTTAAGAAAATAAAATCTTTACAAGATAAGGAGTATCGTTGCACTAAAGGCTCATTGGTAACTCTCCGATAAAGTATTAGAACCCAAATTTTCAATTATTGTCATGACTTTATAGAATATTTTTTAAGGAAAATATGACATAATTCAAATGAAACCTAAAAGTTAAAATTCAAATGCATATTATTCATTAGATGAGTGTGAAAGGAGTGAGTCATACTGAAAAAATTGATAGGACTCACTCATCAGAGGAATAATATGCATTTGAGTTGTATCTTTTTGTGTTTTATTTGAATTTTACAGCACTGCTAATTTTTTAATAGTATAAAATTAAAATTTTTAGGCCCCAAAAAAAAAATTGATTATAGTTTGTTACGTTCACCCTACTCTTTGGTACCATGCCGAAAAATAGGGAGGTTTAGCCGGAAAGAGGCGAGATGGTAATGGGTTTTTTGATCAATAACTCATTTATTTAGTGATATGATACCGAAAATTAAAATTTCTATAATATCACCCAAGGTTATATGTTAAATCCACCCTTGACCTACGTAGCCATTTGTTTATGCGGGTGGCTGTGACGGGGCCGATTACCAAATACATTTGACCAAAAAAAAACAAAATTGAAAAACGCCCCCTCATATTTGAGAATTTTAATGATGACCCCTTAAAGTTTATATATTATACGAGGACTTTCCTCGAATAGATAATAAACTTTTGAAATTCACAATTACCTACATTTCTATTAATTTTTTATCACATTCAAACAAAAATAAAATGATCATTTCATCACAACATGTACTCAAAGACTCTAATAAAAAAAATTCTATAACTTTTAAATTGTCTAAGATTTTTCAATCTGTTTTATCCAATATCGAGAGCGGAGGCTAGTATTTAGATTTTAAGATCATAAGTTTAAATCTCGTCATTTCTCTCTCATTTAGTAGTGCCGAATAAATAAATAAATAAAAGTCGACAACTGTCAATAAAATTTATACTTCAACAAAATTTTGGTACATCCGATAGCCTTTGAATGTGTGTGTGTGAGTTATATGGATGCTGCAGCCTTACACTTTTAAGTGTAAGTGTTGTAGTTATCTTCTGATAAAAAAAAACATGGGTACGTTCCAGGGTGGTCTCATATTTGCTCAGTTGCATCCCCCTTCGGTCCCGGCCATAAATTGGTTCGAGTAGGTTTTCGGGCTTATAGTGGTGATGGGTTGGGGCTATCTTACATCGAATAACATTTGGGTGTGTGTTGGTTAAAATGGATGGTGCAACCTTACACTTTTAAGCGTAAGTATTATAGTTATTCTCTAACAAAAAAACAAAATTTTGGTCCAAAGAAATATATGTATATATCTTGGCCTTAGCTGTAAGAAGCCGATGAGCAAAGAAAGTTCGTGTGACCTACGCTGGATTTTCAATTGTCAAATAAAGAGGAACTTGGACTTTTGAGTGTCTTCTACTGCCATGGTCCAGTAATTAGACTATTGTCAGCCATTACCTACCCCGTCTTGATTTGCAAGGGGAGCGTCTCTTGTACTATTTTCATTTGCAAGGACAAGAATGCCTCTCACTAAAATATCTCTTTCTTTATCTCTTTTATATGTTTAAAATATATAAAAACATGTAATCCATAGATCTGCAATTCTATGTACTAGTGGTCCTATTTTGGGTAAATCTCATAAATATTTTATATATTATGACTTTTGTTTCAAATTCTTCTTGAACTTTCAATTATTCTAATTCTTCCCCTCAACTATGTACTTTATTTCAACCGCTCCCTTTATTCAAATTAATCATAAATGAGACAGATAATAATGGATAATTTTAATAGAATTTATCTCATTTAATGGTTGGATAATTTTAATAGAATTTATCTCATTTAATGGTTAACTTTAATAGAATACGTGTCATTNATGGATAATTTTAATATAATTTATCTCATTTAATGGTTAACTTTAATAGAATACGTGTCATTTATCAGTTAATTTTAATGGAATGCGTCAATTGAAACACATTACATAGTTGAAGACAAATTGAAACAAATTGGTGCAATTAAAAGTTTAAAGGTCATAATTATGAGATCTACCCTTCAATTTAAAATTGAGATTAGAGGAGGACTAGAGAGATGAAAGTTACAGCAGATAAATTGCGATAAGTTAATACAGATACCCGTAAAATTATTTTAAAAATAACGGGGGTATCATTTTTAATTATTGATGAACAATGATGGGAGTCAATGTAATTTGGAATTTGAAAATCTGAACGTGTACAAATAGAAGAAAACGCCAGAAATGCAAAGATGTTGACAGGCTGTTGCTGTTGAGGACATAACTCCGCACCTAAACGAGACGGTTTTATCCCCGAACAAGACAAACCAATCCCATTAATTAATCACCCAAACAAGGATTTGTCGTCGTCTTATTTAAATTTTAAAATCCTCCCCTGTTGTCATGAAAATATCAAATGGATTAATCTTACTCTTCATTATTCCAACTATTCTTCAGAGTTACTCGTACGAGTTGGCTCTATAATGAACAACCGACGAGGCATAAATTCATACGTGTCGGGTTTAATTTTTATTAGTTATAAAAAATTTAAGTTTAATTGATGCATCGGATTTATTATTGATTTTAAATATATAAGTCGACTACAATGTATAGAATTTGGTGTTTCTTTCAAGTATTTAAGAGTTACTTTAAAATTGCTATCACAAAAAAAAAAAAAAAAGTTAATTATTCAAGATATTGTGAGAATATATTTTTTTTTGGTTAGACACAATTACAACGAAGGAGATGACGAGATTTAAACGCGCAATTTTAACATTCAACAGAAAAATGGTCAACCACTAACCATTATGAGAAAAACAATTAGAAAACCTCAAAACATTTCAAGGAGTTGTTATTAGAGATGGTTCAGTGGCTGAATCTGACATCTGATAATCTAGAAGTCACTGGTTTAACACTTTTTCATATTTTCGAAGGGCGAGTCATATTTGTTCTTTAGTCGATATGTTCTAAATTGATTTGAATTACGATAACTGGTATTTAAATTTGAAGGAGTAGTGAACACAAGTCTAAAAACTTTGTAAAAAATAAATNCAAAAAAAAAAAAAAGTTAATTATTCAAGATATTGTGAGAATAATTTTTTTTTTGGTTAGACACAATTACAACGAAGGAGATTTGTTTCTTTCAAGGGCGAGTCATATTTGTTCTTTAGTCGATATATTCTAAATTGATTTGAATTACGATGACTAGTATTTAAATTTGAAGGAGTAGTGAACACAAGTCTAAAAACTTTGTAAAAAATAAATAAAATTTAGAGAGCCAAAAACTTCAAATAATTTTTAATTTTCCCCACCCAAAAAAAAAAATAGTAAGGGCAATTTCGTTATAAACCAGTACTTAGAAACATTTCTCAATGGCGCAAAAAAAAAAAAAAAAAAAATCGGCAACGGGGCCCGCATTTTCAAATTTCGGGGGGTGGCCTAAAAGCCTCGGCGCTACCTATAAAGACAAGACCGGTGTGATTTCACGGCTGTTTCCATTTCATTTCCACAACGTCGAAATTTTCGCCGTTCACTGCGACCACAAAAATTTCATTCTTCTCTCTCATCTCTCTACAACAAATTTAGGGTTTCACTATCAAAACCCCAGGGGCCTAGACAGAGGTAGATGGAAAGTATCGAAAACTTCAATGCTGTCCTCTAAATTTTTCGTCTGAAATTTTTGTTCCGGCGTTGTGTATATATACATATAGAAGATGGACGAAGAAATGGAGGATTTCATTGAAGAATGCTTCGAGGTTTCTGAATTTGATCCGGGTTACGAGTATGATTCTGCTCGGTTCTTCGATTTTACTCGGCCGGAGACGAATTCTGAGACAGATGAAGCCGAGCGCTGGTTTGAATTCGCCGGAAGTTATCCGCCTTCGCGTAAGTATTTTTATAACCGATGAAGCAAACTAGGTTTGATACTAAAAAACGTTAACAAATTAATGTTCATCTCTTTGCATATGTTCCTATGTCATGTATCATCATTCGTTGATTGATCCAATAAGGTCTTGTTTTTTGCCCATTTCCTTGCCTGTAAGTTTTTTTGTTGGAGTTAGACTGATTTTTGGAATTTCTCGATTTTTGTCATTAATTTGACAAAAAGACTTGAGAGCGAAATGGATATTGCCGTTGGTTTTGCACTGCCAAAACAAATTCTGTAAGCAAGAATTTTCTGGAGTAACGNATCAGGTTTGTAGAATATTTGTTTGGTTCAACTACCCATGTTTCTGATTTTTTAGTTAGTTTTAATTATTCACCATGTGATTCTTACTTCCATGCATATTGTAATCTTTAATTGCTAGGTCTCAAAAGCCAAGAACTAAAGTAGCTGAGAGTAATGTGTTGAATTCACCTCCACTTGAAAGCGAGGCGACCAAAAGACAAAAGCTAGAAAGTGGTTACTTGCTTAAGGTGCAATGAATCAGTTCTTCCTTATTATTTTGCAACTAATGTTTTTAATATGTTTTGATGGAGTTGAGCTTCTGTTTATGCATGACACATTCTACAATTGTCCATAGCAAAGGAACCGATAAAGTTTTCTTGTAACTAATTTCTAGTTAAATGTGATGGACCATTAAGGAATGTGAGTAGGTTTTTTTGCAGTATGTTTGTGGCTGGTAAGATCATATTTTTACCAAAGCAAGTCCTTCAATTTTTGTTCGTTGTTTTATTTTTATCTTCATGTCTTGTACAATTTTCACGTGTTATGAAGCAATACTAGTGTATGAATGATGAGAGAAAGGTAAAAGTGAAGTATCAGCTGGATATACTGAGGAATTAAAATTTAAAATAGTATCATTTTTGGTGGGTCCTGACCTTNCTATATTTGGTTTCAAGGCTATATGATGTGGAGTTTTTTATTATCTTCCTTTAATAAACATCTGTTAATTCATGGTGATTGATTCTCCCATGAAGATTGCCTCTCACCTCTTTTTTTTTTTCTGTTGAACTTCTTAGCTTTCATTGTAAAGTTAAACTTGGGAAATTACATTATTGTGGAAGATGTGAATGCCTCTCCACACTTAGAACATGCAAGTGCCTCTCTAAACTCAAATGGCGACATTGACTCCAAAGTTTCTACATCAGAAGAGAGCGACCAAGGTATAATGTAGTTTCTTTCCATGTGTATCACTTTAGTAATGCATTCATCATATAAAATCAGAACAGCTTGTACATACCTTTTCAATTGCATCATGTGTCGTGATCAGTTTTCAAACATATGCATATTCTCATTTTGGTTCGCAATTTCCTCAGCAAGGATTTCTTTAAGCCAAGGCAGATAATGTTTGTTGTAGATATTTCTCTCTTTTTTTGTTTGTTCATTCTGCTCTAACAATGTGTAATGGTTTCCTTCTTGAACTACTGCAGGACTGAAGTATCATACTTGCATGGCTCAAGACATTTCGAAAGCTAAAAGAAATTCAATGGCTAAATCAGTTAAACCAAGGAGTTCAACTTTAATGAAACCTACAGCCAGTCATTTGGCCAAACAAAATAAAGCACAGGATCCATATTTGAACAGATTTTGCGGAAGGTCTTAGTTTTTACTTTGATTTATAAATTCTTTATCCACATCAATCATTTATGAGAGGTTCAATGCCTTTAAAATTCTTGTTTACGATCAGGTTTTTAGGATATTTGTTAGGTTCCAGTGTCCTTGCTGCTGCTGATATTTTTTGTTGTTTTTCTTCAAAAGCATGATATATAGAAATTTTAGTTATTTTCTTCTTTGATTTGTACCTTGTTTACCCACATTACTGATTGAGTCCCAGTTTATAACTAATTTAAGAATTAAGTCATATATTAGATGTTTAATGCTTTTGAAATTCTTGTTTACGTCAGGTTTGTAGAATATTTGTTTGGTTCCACTACCCATGTTTCTGATTTTTTAGTTAGTTTTAATTATTCACCATGTGATTCTTACTTCTATGCATATTGTAATCTTTAATTGCTAGGTCTCAAAAGCCAAGAACTAAAGTAGCTGAGAGTAATGTGTTGAATTCACCTCCACTTGAAAGCGAGGCGACCAAAAGACAAAAGCTAGAAAGTGGTTACTTGCTTAAGGTGCAATGAATCAGTTCTTCCTTATTATTTTGCAACTAATGTTTTTAATATGTTTTGATGGAGTTGAGCTTCTGTTTATGCATGACACATTCTACAATTGTCCATAGCAAAGGAACCGATAAAGTTTTCTTGTAACTAATTTCTAGTTAAATGTGATGGACCATTAAGGAATGTGAGTAGGTTTTTTTGCAGTATGTTTGTGGCTGGTAAGATCATATTTTTACCAGAGCAAGTCCTTCAATTTTTGTTCGTTGTTTTATTTTTATCTTCATGTCTTGTACAATTTTCATGTGTGATGAAGCAATACTAGTGTATGAATGATGAGAGAAAGGTAAAAGTGAAGTATCAGCTGGATATACTGAGGAATTAAAATTTAAAATAGTATCATTTTTGGTGGGTCCTGACCTTACAAGGTGCATACAAGAGGAAACCCCTTAGCATATGCTGTTTGCAGGCAGCAGGAAATTGGTTGAATTGTTGTTTTATTGTAGAACTAGGGTTGCTGGTGCAATTCACAGTAAATGTAAAGTGAGTAGTTTAAATTTGTATATGCAATTTTTTGTGGTAAAAAGGTTAAAATGTAAGTAGTAACATAAATCGTTGGATCTAAACAATCTGGATTGTTGTGCTCTATGTTGTGTTTTATTATATAGATACTATCATCTGAAAAAGTGAATTAAAACTCCACATAATTAGGATCAACCTTCTATACAAATTCCCTGAAAATGTCTTCCTATGTTACAAATCAGGTTGCTCATCTGAAGCACCAAACTCTGTTGCTACACAAGATGGCTAAAAAGGTAAGCCATTTTGCAATGGGATATAAAGTCAGTTTCATAGACTAATATGTACCTCTACTGCTAGATGATATATTGTCATTGGTCATTTAGATAATTTTCCTAAATATTTATGAATGATGNAAGCAAGTCCTTCAATTTTTGTTCGTTGTTTTATTTTTATCTTCATGTCTTGTACAATTTTCACGTGTTATGAAGCAATACTAGTGTATGAATGATGAGAGAAAGGTAAAAGTGAAGTATCAGCTGGATATACTGAGGAATTAAAATTTAAAATAGTATCATTTTTGGTGGGTCCTGACCTTACAAGGTGCATACAAGAGGAAACCCCTTAGCATATGCTGTTTGCAGGCAGCAGGAAATTGGTTGAATTGTTGTTTTATTGTAGAACTAGGGTTGCTGGTGCAATTCACAGTAAATGTAAAGTGAGTAGTTTAAATTTGTATATGCAATTTTTTGTGGTAAAAAGGTTAAAATGTAAGTAGTAACATAAATCGTTGGATCTAAACAATCTGGATTGTTGTGCTCTATGTTGTGTTTTATTATATAGATACTATCATCTGAAAAAGTGAATTAAAACTCCACATAATTAGGATCAACCTTCTATACAAATTCCCTGAAAATGTCTTCCTATGTTACAAATCAGGTTGCTCATCTGAAGCACCAAACTCTGTTGCTACACAAGATGGCTAAAAAGGTAAGCCATTTTGCAATGGAATATAAAGTCAGTTTCATAGACTAATATGTACCTCTACTGCTAGATGATATATTGTCATTGGTCATTTAGATAATTTTCCTAAATATTTATGAATGATGAAGAAATGTTTGCTGTTTTCTGCAGCGTGCACCCAGTGATTCTAACTCCGTGAATTCCAGATCAAAGGGTACCATTCCAAGAGAGCCTGATCTAGAAACAGCACAGAGGGCCCAACGGCGTAGGTAACTTCGAATCTTCGATTCTTGCCAAATTATTTTGGTACTTTTTGTCCTGTATACGGACATCAAAGCAGCCTACATTATTTAATAAGCTGGAAGAAATATTTTTGTACATTCAAAGTTTCAGGTCCAAGAATAGTTTTGAACCAGGTGAACAAGCAAAACGAAATGCTCGTATGTTTAAAGNATATACTGACATCAAAGCAGCCTACATTATTTAATAAGCTGTAAGAAATATTTTTGTACATTCAAAGTTTCAGGTCCAAGAATAGTTTTGAACCAGGTGAACAAGCAAAACGAAATGCTCGTATGTTTAAAGCACGGCCCTTGAACAGAAAAGTTGGTACTTTTATTAATCAATGCTCTCTCTTAATTCTTATGGGAACTGTGATTTCACAAGAAGTTGACAACATATACTATGTGCATAACATTTTATTTTCTAAGAGGCCGAGGCATGTTTTTGTGGGTTTGTAGATTCTTGAGGCTCCTTCTTTGTCCCTTCCGAAAAAGAGCACGCCAAAATTGCCGGAGTTTCAGGTAAATATTTACAGCTTGTTTATTTGATTGTCCCCCCTTTTGAGTGTTAGCAGTGAAGCCTTGTAGTATCCAATGTTACAAGGACAATGGTTTATCACATAATTCCCGAATCTTAGTTTCCTTCACCTCAATGCTCCTTAGGTATTTCACTTGAAGACCATGGAGAGGGCTATGCAACATTCATCTGCTAATGTAGGTTGAATATCTTGTCCTATTTATTGTATTGTGAAATGGGACAGATAAATTGTTCTTCCATTCTGAGTTGTCTCTGTCATAAGAAGCTGCTTGTTTCTTTAATATTAGTGATGTTTGTTTGTTTTTATTAGTGGCAGCTGATAATTTTGTCCCTGCAGGTTTTAAACTCGCACAATCCTGATTCTGTTGTAGACTGTGAGTCCACAGATTTCAGAAGGTTAGAATCACCTCCTTGTTAAATATCAACCTCATGAACGGTTCCTGTCCTTAAACGACTGCCTTTGCATAGATTATGGAGGAAGAGTGAGAAAAGTTAAATATGCTATTCATCTTGCAGTGACCTGTTCCATGCATAGATTTTAGCATCTATTTGATCTGAGAACTGCATTCTTTTCACAAATTTTCCCCATTTCATATGGTCACCTGCTTCCGAAACTAAAACATTTTTTATTATATCTTTATTTAGATGATTATTGTTTCTTCTGATATGGTTAGAGTTATGTTTCTCAGATTGAACCCCGAAGATGCGTCAAAACAGCAGAAAGAAAGATTGCCCAAGTCTAAAGTTCACCCTTTCAGTAAAAAGGTGGGACTTGTAATATGTTTGAGCGATGTTATTAAGTTTGTGTTAGTAGTGATCACCTGATCACCTGAAGCTATGATACTATATCGTGTTTGATACAGATATTTCCAAGCAAGGGAGATAATGTCATCCGGAATAGCACACTGGAAACAACGGTATCAACTATGATTTGTCAATCGAATTATGCATACTTGTCTAAATTATCAGTTGAAGCTTTTAGCACCTTTCCTTTTTCTTTTAATTAAATCCCTCAAGTTGCTTTCCCCAGGACTGCCAGTTTCCAAGTGATAATAGGCTTCCACAGAATCCACCAATAGAATTATTTAGTAAGGTAAAATATGATTCCACTGTGATCAAATTTTGTTTTCTCTATAACTGCTCCACGGTGTCAGTTTGGCAACGCAGCTGTTGGACACAAAAATGAGCTTCTTTTACTCAGTATGCCATGTCTTAATCGCTCTCATTTTCTCATCCATTAAAACCATTATTATATTTGCCAGCTCTCCTTGAAATCTGGACTGGAGAATAATACAATATCTCAGCCCAAACAGCATGGGTCCGTTAAGGTTAGTTCATTGCAAAGGGGACTTCAAATAATCTAGGATGTTTATACTGTTGTTTTTTCTTGTTAGGTATGCTAATGCTTTATTTTTTATAGGGCTCAAAGGAGAATGCACCTTGTCCTTTCCAGCTTGAATTTTGTGTAAGATAGTATGGTGCATCTTTTAGATATTTTCAATTTAAACAATGACCAGGTTCTAATTCTTACTCTTCAAATGCAGAGGAGAGTTGGAAAGCTGAATCAATGTNTGTCCTTTCCAGCTTGAATTTTGTGTAAGATAGTATGCTGCATCTTTTAGATATTTTCAATTTAAACAATGAACAGGTTCTAATTCTTACTCTTCAAATGCAGAGGAGAGTTGGAAAGCTGAATCAATGTGGGAGTGACAGGAGGTTTCCCGAAATTGGATCCCAGCCCAACATTAACAGGTAGGACCAAAGCTTTATGACTTATGCAATCAAAAAATTATTTTTAGGATTAATTGATATCAATTTCCATTTTTCGTGAACTTGTTTGAATATGCTAATGATGATACTTTTGGCATACTTAGATATTAGTTATCTCTAATAAATTAATACAAATGAATTTGGACTTAATTTTAGAGATATTTTTTCTGCTCTCTCTCTCTCGCATGTTTTGTGCTACTACTCTTGCAGGTGTTTGAGCATTAATCAGTATTATGGTTACCGTAACAATACTATCCTCTCTAAGGTTATTTCTCATGTGATGATGAATTGTAGCTATGAATCGTGTTTCTTTTAGAGGTGCTGACCTCGGCTAGGAAACTTCTAATATGATTGGATCCACACCTGACTCCCCCTCACTTAATTGTCACACTGGTGGGAAATCTTAATTGGTTAAGTAGGCAACTTTCATATAAGATCTAAACAGTAAGAGAGGTGGGGGGGGGGGGGTCTTCACCTCTGCAATATACATAATCATTTTGTTGTGAAAGGTGAGGAAGCATATTAGGAGTTCTGATCTGCATTGGAACTGCTGGTGAGTCATTAAGCTGTACACCTCATCCAGTGCTTAAAAATATCACAATTTGTTTGGGCAAACAGATGCTAGTGGCTTTCCATTTTGCATTACAATAGTTCCTTTGCTTGCATTGTTTGTCACCAAACCTTTTCTCTCGAGTATACTTATTAACTAAAAATGGACGTCACTTTCGGCTTACTGAGCCTTCTCCCCTATTGCCGTGGTGGAAAAGTGCCCTAGACAAAGGTGTCCTCTCTCTCTCTCTCTCTCTCTCTTGTACAGTAAACCAGCCCTTTTTTCTCCTTTTATTTTCCTCATTTCAGTAATTTGAATGTTGCATAGTAGTTTGTCACTGAGTTANTGAGCCTTCTCCCCTATTGCCGTGGTGGAAAAGTACCCTAGACAAAGGTGTCCTCTCTCTCTCTCTCTCTCTCTCTCTCTCTTGTACAGTAAACCAGCCCTTTTTTCTCCTTTTATTTTCCTCATTTCAGTAATTTGAATGTTGCATAGTAGTTTGTCACTGAGTTATAATGTGGTACATATACATTTTCGAGAAGCTGTAATAGCACAAACTCGGTTTCCCCATTAACCGATGTTAAATTTAGTCAATGATTTCAAGCGAACTATTATTTCTTATATCATAAAGAGAATGGTCTGTGAAGCAGGAATATGTGTTCGACTTGTTAGACATGTAAGATCATTTCTTGGTAAGCAGTCTGACTATTAGTTCTCCATGTGCCNGTTATAATGTGGTACATATACATTTTCGAGAAGCTGTAATAGCACACACTCGGTTTCCCCATTAACCGATGTTAAATTTAGTCAATGATTTCAAGCGAACTATTATTTCTTATATCATAAAGAGAATGGTCTGTGAAGCAGGAATATGTGTTCGACTTGTTAGACATGTAAGATCATTTCTTGGTAAGCAGTCTGACTATTAGTTCTCCATGTGCCATACTGACCTCTTAAAATGCCTCAGGAGCTTGGACATTCGCTGAGAAAGCTGAAGCAAGGACTTTCTTCTGCAACTGCTGCTGTAGAGGGGTAAATCTGTATTTATTATCCATAATTTGTCTCGAATCTCTCAGCAACGTAGATGTTCTTGCATTTTCAGATTCCAATAGGTTCTAAGCTCGATAGCAAATTTTCATCTTTTTTTTTTAATTTTTGGGTGGGGGTGGGGTTATAGTACCTGTATTTGTAGGAAATTAATAAGCATGTGTTGTGAACGGTATCCATTCCTCAATAGTAAATATCGAAAAGCGATCACTGAGGGCATTTTAGGCTTCCAAAGTTACGTCCGTTTTTTCATCCTTTTCCCTATAAATATATTCGTGTGCAATGTTTAAGTCTAGAGTTGTATAAAGTATCTATTTCTCCTCAGAAATGTCTCTTTGTTCCACTGCCTGACTGATAGAACAACAATGGATTTTGTTCTGGGCATAGCCTTCTCTTAAGAAAGTATTTTTGATCCACCGAGTGGTGGGTGCTCCGCAAGCAGATCCTATGGAGAGCTTGCAACATGATTTGAGCTGGTTGATGGCTAAGAGATTGATCGAATTCTTCCATTTCTCTTGGGGTAGGCATCAACCGTCTACAAACCTTTTCTTGCAGGAGTCTGTCAAAAATTCAGGTTAAGCGTAAGACTTTACATCCCAACAACGACCATTTTGATCCGGTTGCTAGGATGAATGGAAAAATACTCATACCTGTACTAATATCTTCTTTATGATTAATTGCTTTAGTCTTATCCATTTAAGAGCTGTCTTACTAGTATCTATCCTTGCTTCAAACAAGTAAAATAAGGTGGACTAGTACAAGTATATGGACTCTTAGGTTGTTGGAAATCAAGCATTTTTGTCAATTAGTTGATGGTGTACTTCTTTCTTTAACAATCTCTTCAACAACAAAAATAAAAATAATACACTTTTTATCATTCAATGAAGGAATCTTTCATTTTATCTTTTATGTTTGGTAAGAAGAATAGAAATGAAGAAAAATTATTTTTTTTGTTTTCATGTATACATAATATGAGATTAATATATAGACAAATAATATATATTTTAACAAATTTAATTAACTTTTCATCTATTTTTACTTTCAATTTTAAAAGAATTGATTTTAATAAATTAAAAATAAAAATTAATCCATTCACTTCTCAAACATTAATATTTTCTTTCTTTACCAAATATAATATTTTATTTATCTTTTAAACTTTTCATCATTTCATTTTTTTATTGTACCAAACGAAATGTTAGGACATAACTCTGACAGGTTAGGAGTTCAACCAGAGGTATAGTCAGTAGACGAAGAGAGAAAGGGCTGAGAACTCGAGGGATCCAATAACGGGATGATTTGGTTAGAACCAACCTGAGAGTAACAGCTCGAGATTTACTCAACTCTTAATAGATGAATCACCTCTTCAGCCTAAAATACAGAGAGATCGATTACATATACCTTTCTCATTGGTATTAGAAGAACGGAGACAAGTCCGGCCCAATAGATGAATGGGTATTTTCAAGTCTTATTTCTGTAATAAAATTTAATAAATAATCGTGTCAGTTCAGAAACTGAATTGCTCCAAGGACATCAAAGGGAAAGCCAATCTGAAAATCAATGCAATCAAAAATTTACAACTGATGGAAAAGAAAAAGGGAACAGGAAGGGTGGGGGCTTCCAGATCACTTTTAGCTACGCTATACCTGGACAAACAACAATTAGAAGTCCATGAACGAAAAGCCAAGATCATGGTTGTAACATGAAGAAAAGATTTACAAATTTAACTTTAGCTTATAACTAGAGTCCCCAATGTGATTCAAGTACTCGAGTAAAAGAGCAGATGCGGAAGAAGAAGATAAGCAAGCTTCAAATCCTTGGGTTCAACGATTATTCAGAACTAGAATTATTATGTGGAATAATGAAGCAACCATCGTAGTTTCACATGAAAATTATAGTACTTTCAAGGAACAGTGATTGTGAGTCTGCTTTTAATTTTAACGCTTATGAATGATGGAGACGCTAATAAATTAGCACAACACAGGTTTAATTTGTCTAAATAGCAACAGTACATATTTGACCATACAAACCCACAAAATAACGAGAAGAGCAAGAAAGGAGCCACCTCATCTTTGCTTGTTTGTGCTCGTTATGGCACGGGGTCAGCATTGTGCCACCCAGTGGCGCAAGGTGATATGTCCATGAACTCATCAAATTCCTTTACATGAACGTCACAACATTTCCACTGCAAAAACAAAATTATCAGCAACATTTTGTGCTAGGAACCAACATATACACACATCAGTAAGGGAATATGGTTGAACAAAGAACATGTATGTACGTAACTCACCCCTCTCATCCGGTCGTGGAAGACAGCTGGCCCGGGATGGTAATTGCATGCAGCGTCATGATTATCCTTCTCCTTAAATGTTTTACCACATCCCTTATTTTTACAAGTTTGAGGCTGGTTTATATCAGCTATCTTCTTTGATGGAGCAGAAAAACCTTCCTGTGAATCAGTATTGCCTTCAGCAGAAGTAACTTGTACTGCATCTGTTGGTTTTGGATTCATTTCTCTAGCCTGTGAACCTAGAAGAAGAAAATACAATGTAGAGCGTTTAGCATACAAACCAATAAAGACTTCCTATATGGTGGGAAGCGGAAATCAAGCCAGTTTGAAAGTGAATCCATCTCTTTTGTATCCCTTTGTGCAACTCTGACACCAATTTGAAGGTTGAATTAACTTTTCCAAATTCTATTGTATTCAACTTACATGTCAATTTCACGCAGCTACAGCTTAACATGGTGGCAATATAAGAAAAAATAATTCACTGTTGCTTGCTACATCCTTAACACCAAAAGAGTGCAAAGCAGAAGAATACCGTGGTCTGAGCAAAAAAATCCCTGGCGGCACCTAGAGCAAGCTTCCTTTGTAGATATATCAGTTGCAGGAGCTGGTGCAGAAATTGGTTTCTTTGCTCTAGCAGCTGCTGGTGGCTCAATTGGTTTTTCAGTTGTGTGTTTGCCTGTCTTACATCTTCCGAGATAAAATTTTAACAATGAAATGGTCAGCTGATAGCGACGAAACTGTAGACAAATTAAATGACACAACTCTCACCATAAAAAGTGTCTATTTATGCAAGAGGAATGACAGCCTCCATCAACAGTTTCCATGTTTTATACGATAGGCATATTTTAAACAGGTTTAGCAAATTTGGGACCAAGGTTCAATTATTTTCTTTTTCCAATGTTAAATTAATATTCAAAAGGACATCATAAGATAAATTAGGAATGCACATCAAGAATAACAGTGTGTTTAGGAGTAGATACAATGTAATCTAACATTAAATACATAACATTTTCCAATGAAATCCCAATATTACTATAAACAATTTCAAGAGCCCCTCCTGTTGAACTTGTGTCTGGCGAATCATTATTACCAAGTCAGTCCCCTTAGAAATGCATTTTTTAAAAAGCTACGTGTTATAACTCGAGCAACCATTGCCATTCTTCCTTGGAGTTGCAAGGTTGGAAGGGAGAGCGCAAAATTTAAGTATGTGGGTAAACCAATGGATAGCAGTGTAGTTGAGTTTTAAACGTCTAACACTGACAAAGTGACGATTTGAGCATATTAGATGGATGGGGCTAAGAGACAAAATGAGAGTGCTTCTAGTCAGACTCTCTCATTTATCTGATCCCCAGTATAACGCAGGAACACGGATGCAAATATGGCAATTTCCTTGAAAGATCAAGGGGCCCATCATCTAGAATTAATGTACGGTTGACAGAAATACTCTGAGAAACTGTACTGTTCATGCAGCTCAACTTATCATGTACATCTAATTTCAATTCTATTAAATCTCCTGAGGTAATCATATAAATGTATGACGCATGTTCAGAGTTTAATATTGAAAGGATTCTTAAATGACTATCATGTCTTAATAGATACTTACAAAATTCACCCTAGCGGTCCTAGTTGCTGTAGGCTTATATTGATCTTCAAGAACAAGATCAAATGATCATTAGGTTTGGGAGTTTCTCACATCTATTTAGAACCAAACCAGTCCAAAATCTTTCAGGTAGTCCATGAACTAACTCAAACGAAAAACAGAGAGACTCATTCAAATGCTTTTATAATCTATTGAAATATTTCAATCCACTCTAATACATTGTACTACATGTCAAGTATAATATACTGGCCCATGATCTGAATCTATGATATCAAAAGAAAAATTCCTACATTAGGCACCAGGCTTTTTGTTTTTAGTGTTTTTTTTTTTTTTTTGGTTTTGTTTTTTGTGGGGAGGGGTGTTAATAGCTTACGAAGAAAACATCACATACCCAGGAATTTCTAGGAATAAGCTGAAATCATGACTTCGTTTCTTGCAACAACTCCATTCTTTCATTCCATCATGGAATACAGGCTGCAAATTTCAGTGTTTAAGATTAGAATGTAGGAACACGTAGAAGGCAAGGTTCTACAATGTCATCTAAAAAAAAAACTTCTAATGAACTGCACATAAATTTGAAGATTTGGCTTACTCCCTGATGGAATGAACCAACCCAGCCGGTGAAACCAAGCCCATGCATAGAAAACAAAAACTCAATCACTCAAATGCGGAAGAAAATACTTAATATTTTAAAAGAGGAAAACTAAAGAATCGAAAACAGGAAGAAAAATTTCCAACAAGCTAAGCAATGCCAAGTTCATAAAGGACTCCATGAAAAACAACAGGCATAGCTGGCTTACACTAGGCTCCAGAACATAAGGATGCTATAAAGTTAAGGAAATAGGGTCTTGCACTCTTGCTGACATCTACGACACTGTGAACATGATAAATGGATGAAAATACTCTGATTGGGGGCTTGTCTGACTATAACTAAGTTAATTAGCATCTAAGGTAGTATAAAATGATACATACAAAAAAAATCACCAATTTCATAGCATGCCAGTTAGAAGTTATCATTATCTTATGTCATTAGGTCTTTGCTGCAAAAAATTTAAAGGAAAATGTAGTAAAAAGAAAATTGCACAAGGTTGGACTTAAAGGCGGAGTGAATTAGTTTACCTAGGANCCTCTAGTACTGCGAATCAGGTTTCTTATCAAGATGACACCTTTGTTGCGGCTTCTATACCTCGGTCAGGTCCACTAGACACTAGGTCGGTTACTATTACACGAGAAGATTATGCTCAGTTTTTGTCCCAACAACAGGCTGTTCCATCTCCCTCCACTGCTACTTTTGCCTAGTCAGGTACTGCTTCCACATGTTTGTTGTCCTCCACTCGTAGTCCTTGGACCATAGACTCTGGTGCTTCTGATCACATGACTGGTGCGTCTGATATCTTTTCTACTTATCAATCTACTACTTCCACACGTAGTGTTACTCTTGCTAATGGTTCTTGTTCTAAAATTTCAGGTTTTGGGACTACTAACTTGAGTCCTGATATGTCTCCATCTTCCGTGTTATTTGTTTCTCAGTTTCCTTTTAGTTTACTTTCCATTAGCAAGATTACCTGTTCTCTCAATTGTTCTGTAACTTTTTATTCCTCTTATTGTGTCTTTCAGGATCTCAAGACGACGAGGAAGATTGGTACAGGGCATGAAGCTGGTGGCCTATATTACCTCGATTTTGATTCACCTGCCCGGGCTCTATAGACCTCGTTATCTCCTTTTCAATGGCATTGTCGTCTTGGACATCCCTCTCTCTAGAATTTGAAGCGTCAAGTTCCCAGTCTTAGTTATGTGTCGTCTTTGTCCTGTCAAGTTTGTCAACTTAGTAAGCATCACCGTGTGTCATTTCAATCTAGAGTCAATAATCGTGTGTCTAGTCCATTTGAATTAGTTCATTCTGATATATGGGGTCCAATAAAGAATGTTTAATCTAATAAATATTTTTATTTTGTGTCATTTGTGGATGACTATTCTCGTGNCATTCTGATATACGGGGTCCAATAAAGAATGTTTAATCTAATAAATATTTTTATTTTGTGTCATTTGTGGATGACTATTCTCGTGTGACTTATTTGTTTTTGATGAAATCTCGGTTTGAATTATTCTCTATATTTGAGACTTTTTGTAATGAAATAAAAACCCAGCTTGGTTGTTGTATACGTACTTTACGTTCTGATAATGCTCGGGAATATGAATCTGATCCTTTTTCAGCTTATCTTAGTAAAACTGACATTATTCATCAGACTTCTTGTACTTACGCCTCTCCACAAAATGGTGTTGCTAAATGCAAGAACCGTTATTTGTTGGAAGTTACCCGTACTTTGTTATTCCAAATGAATATTCCTCGATATTTTTGGAGTGATGCTGTTCTTACTGCTTGTCATCTTATTAATCGTATGTCATCCTCGATGTTAAATGGGCAAAGTCCATATTCTGTTCTTTTTTCTGATAAGCCCTTATTTTTCCTGACTCCTAAGGTTTTTGGATGTGTCTGTTATGTTCACAATTTGGATCCTAGGTTTGACAAACTTGACCCTCGAGCTACCAAATGTGTATTTCTTGGTTACTCNGGTCTCGCACCTGACCCTGACCGGGAGCCCTCGAAGAATTGGCAGAACTGTTTCCTGCCGGAGTACCGCCGGTCGTCCCTCGGCCTCTCCCGGCTGCGAGGGATTGCCTCTGCCTGNTTGGATCCTAGGTTTGACAAACTTGACCCTCGAGCTACCAAATGTGTATTTCTTGGTTACTCCCGCACACAGAAGGGATATCGTTACTACAGTCCTTCTGTGCACCGATACTTTACTAGTACCGATGTCACATTTATTGAATCTGTTTCATACTTTCTAACACCTTCTCAGCCTTTGGATCTAGACTTTGAATCATCTCTTGTACCGCCATCTCTTTCCTCATCTTCAGATATTTCGCTGCCCACTGTGTTATCATCTACTTTGCCTCTCCGTGTCTACTCTTGCCGTCCTCGCCCATTCACTGAGGTGCCTGTACCATCTTCCTTGCCGCCTTTTGATCCGGTATATCAGGTAATTTAGATTCTTTACCTATTGCCTTCGCAAAGGTACTCGTTCGTGTATTACTAATCNGAATTATTATGTGGAATAATGAAGCAACCATCGTAGTTTCACATGAAAATTATAGTACTTTCAAGGAACAGTAATTGTGAGTCTGCTTTTAATTTTAACGCTTATGAATGATGGAGACGCTAATAAATTAGCACAACACAGGTTTAATTTGTCTAAATAGCAACAGTACATATTTGACCATACAAACCCACAAAATAACGAGAAGAGCAAGAAAGGAGCCACCTCATCTTTGCTTGTTTGTGCTCGTTATGGCACGGGGTCAGCATTGTGCCACCCAGTGGCGCAAGGTGATATGTCCATGAACTCATCAAATTCCTTTACATGAACGTCACAACATTTCCACTGCAAAAACAAAATTATCAGCAACATTTTGTGCTAGGAACCAACATATACACACATCAGTAAGGGAATATGATTGAACAAAGAACATGTATGTACGTAACTCACCCCTCTCATCCGGTCGTGGAAGACAGCTGGCCCGGGATGGTAATTGCATGCAGCGTCATGATTATCCTTCTCCTTAAATGTTTTACCACATCCCTTATTTTTACAAGTTTGAGGCTGGTTTATATCAGCTATCTTCTTTGATGGAGCAGAAAAACCTTCCTGTGAATCAGTATTGCCTTCAGCAGAAGTAACTTGTACTGCATCTGTTGGTTTTGGATTCATTTCTCTAGCCTGTGAACCTAGAAGAAGAAAATACAATGTAGAGCGTTTAGCATACAAACCAATAAAGACTTCCTATATGGTGGGAAGCGGAAATCAAGCCAGTTTGAAAGTGAATCCATCTCTTTTGTATCCCTTTGTGCAACTCTGACACCAATTTGAAGGTTGAATTAACTTTTCCAAACTCTATTGTATTCAACTTACATGTCAATTTCACGCAGCTACAGCTTAACATGGTGGCAATATAAGAAAAAATAATTCACTGTTGCTTGCTACATCCTTAACACCAAAAGAGTGCAAAGCAGAAGAATACCGTGGTCTGAGCAAAAAAATCCCTGGCGGCACCTAGAGCAAGCTTCCTTTGTAGATATATCAGTTGCAGGAGCTGGTGCAGAAATTGGTTTCTTTGCTCTAGCAGCTGCTGGTGGCTCAATTGGTTTTTCAGTTGTGTGTTTGCCTGTCTTACATCTTCCGAGATAAAATTTTAACAATGAAATGGTCAGCTGATAGCGACGAAACTGTAGACAAATTAAATGACACAACTCTCACCATAAAAAGTGTCTATTTATGCAAGAGGAATGACAGCCTCCATCAACAGTTTCCATGTTTTATATGATAGGCATATTTTAAACAGGTTTAGCAAATTTGGGACCAAGGTTCAATTATTTTCTTTTTCCAATGTTAAATTAATATTCAAAAGGACATCATAAGATAAATTAGGAATGTACATCAAGAATAACAGTGTGTTTAGGAGTAGATACAATGTAATCTAACATTAAATACATAACATTTTCCAATGAAATCCCAATATTACTATAAACAATTTCAAGAGCCCCTCCTGTTGAACTTGTGTCTGGCGAATCATTATTACCAAGTCAGTCCCCTTAGAAATGCATTTTTTAAAAAGCTACGTGTTATAACTCGAGCAACCATTGCCATTCTTCCTTGGAGTTGCAAGGTTGGAAGGGAGAGCGCAAAATTTAAGTATGTGGGTAAACCAATGGATAGCAGTGTAGTTGAGTTTTAAACGTCTAACACTGACAAAGTGACGATTTGAGCATATTAGATGGATGGGGCTAAGAGACAAAATGAGAGTGCTTCTAGTCAGACTCTCTCATTTATCTGATCCCCAGTATAACGCAGGAACACGGATGCAAATATGGCAATTTCCTTGAAAGATCAAGGGGCCCATCATCTAGAATTAATGTACGGTTGACAGAAATACTCTGAGAAACTGTACTGTTCATGCAGCTCAACTTATCATGTACATCTAATTTCAATTCTATTAAATCTCCTGAGGTAATCATATAAATGTATGACGCATGTTCAGAGTTTAATATTGAAAGGATTCTTAAATGACTATCATGTCTTAATAGATACTTACAAAATTCACCCTAGCGGTCCTAGTTGCTGTAGGCTTATATTGATCTTCAAGAACAAGATCAAATGATCATTAGGTTTGGGAGTTTCTCACATCTATTTAGAACCAAACCAGTCCAAAATCTTTCAGGTAGTCCATGAACTAACTCAAACGAAAAACAGAGAGACTCATTCAAATGCTTTTACAATCTATTGAAATATTTCAATCCACTCTAATACATTGTACTACATGTCAAGTATAATATACTGGCCCATGATCTGAATCTATGATATCAAAAGAAAAATTCCTACATTAGGCACCAGGCTTTTTGTTTTTAGTGTTTTTTTTTTTTTTTTGGTTTTGTTTTTTGTGGGGAGGGGTGTTAATAGCTTACGAAGAAAACATCACATACCCAGGAATTTCTAGGAATAAGCTGAAATCATGACTTCGTTTCTTGCAACAACTCCATTCTTTCATTCCATCATGGAATACAGGCTGCAAATTTCAGTGTTTAAGATTAGAATGTAGGAACACGTAGAAGGCAAGGTTCTACAATGTCATCTAAAAAAAAAACTTCTAATGAACTGCACATAAATTTGAAGATTTGGCTTACTCCCTGATGGAATGAACCAACCCAGCCGGTGAAACCAAGCCCATGCATAGAAAACAAAAACTCAATCACTCAAATGCGGAAGAAAATACTTAATATTTTAAAAGAGGAAAACTAAAGAATCGAAAACAGGAAGAAAAATTTCCAACAAGCTAAGCAATGCCAAGTTCATAAAGGACTCCATGAAAAACAACAGGCATAGCTGGCTTACACTAGGCTCCAGAACATAAGGATGCTATAAAGTTAAGGAAATAGGGTCTTGCACTCTTGCTGACATCTACGACACTGTGAACATGATAAATGGATGAAAATACTCTGATTGGGGGCTTGTCTGACTATAACTAAGTTAATTAGCATCTAAGGTAGTATAAAATGATACATAAAAAAAAAATCAGCAATTTCATAGCATGCCAGTTAGAAGTTATCATTATCTTATGTCATTAGGTCTTTGCTGCAAGAAATTTAAAGGAAAATGTAGTTAAAAGAAAATTGCACAAGGTTGGACTTAAAGGCGGAGTGAATTAGTTTACCTAGGAGGTAAATTAGTACTTCAATATCACAGGCAACTAACCCTATTAAATTTCAGCCAACTAAAATCTTTCTTGGAATAGCACAACAGAGCTTAATTGAAACTTTTAACACAAAAATCTCTTTATGCCCTTAGATCACAAAAACAACTATTTCCTTTCAATTAGCTTCCAGTTGAAGCATCACAGACATATCTAAACCATGAGCTAAAATCTTTGCAATGTTAATGAATTATTTGCCCTCACAGTGAATGAAAGCCATTAATATGAATATTTAGATCCACGAATGATGAAGATATAGAAATCTAGAGCAACATAAATAAAAAAATCTCCAAAAAAATTCACAATAATCTTTATAGAAAGACAGAGAAATTAAAGAAGGGACTAACCGAATCGTGATATGTGCAGGAACCGTCTGGATTATCATCTTCCGTGAACATGGCGGAGCACCCGATTCTCTGGCACCGAAGCTTCTCCATTCTCTCTCTCTATCTCTCTCTCTTTCTGCTCGGTGTGGGGATGCAAAGTATAAATTGATTAGTACTCGTGTAAAGACTACTACATGGGCAGAAGTCAAAAGCCAGCTTATAGAGGGCCTTCTGGGCCTGGCTGCTTGTTGCTGGACGGCCCATGGGTTTTAGTAGATTGTCCAACTCCATCATTGCAGACCTAGTGGGCCGATTTTCTTTATTCTTGTACATTCAAAAACTTGCATTTTCTTGCATTTGCATTGCCCAATGGACCTACCTGTACTAACTCACGGGACATCGAGCTGGATCTTTGGGCCTATTTTTCCAGAAAATATGGCCATTTCTTACGCATCATCCTCGCAGACCAGACCACGAGCCCTGGACTTTTTGCCAATTTTAAAAGTAAAAATTAGAAGTGAGTTCCGTACTTATTTGAANAGATCGAGCCCGCACAGGATACATATTCCTTGTATTGCATGCATGGGTTCATCGCTAACATATATTTATATTATGTTTTATTTTTCTNCGATCTTTGGGCCTATTTTTCCAGAAAATATGGCCATTTCTTACGCATCATCCTCGCAGACCAGCCCACGAGCCATGGACTTTTTGCCAATTTTAAAAGTAAAAATTAGAAGTGAGTTCCGTACTTATTTGAAGATAAGTCCTGCAAAAAAATTTATAAGAGATTAAGTTTATGTTTAAAATTATATGTAATGACTTAAGTTTACTTTTTTTTTTCAATCTCAAAAATACCCTTCTTTGAAAGGAAGTAAATATTTTCTTTCATATCTATCTATATCCATATATAGGTTAAGAGTTTAACTAACATTAAAATTTGTTCTTATATATATATATATATATATATATATATATTTGNTTTATGTTTAAAATTATATGTAATGACTTAAGTTTACTTTTTTTTTTTCAATCTCAAAAATATCCTTCTTTGAAAGGAAGTAAATATTTTCTTTCATATCTATCTATATCCATATATAGGTTAAGAGTTTAACTAACATTAAAATTTGTCCTCTTATATATATATATATATATTAGCATTAAAAAAATATTAATATTCAAATACAAAAAAAAATTCCTATGAATTTAAATAGTAAAATTCAAATTCATGTTATTATTTTTTTTATGATGTTACTGTTCATGTTACTGCTTTGTTGAGTATGTTATTGTTCATGTACTATTATTTTTTTAGTATATTATCGTTTTTGTTGAGCATGTTATTACTATTATTTTCTTAAATATTAATATTTAATGTTATTATTTTTTTTTGAATATTACTATTTTTTGTATTTGAATGATACTATTTTTTATATCTGAATTTGAGAAAATTAATTATTGTTAAGTATGTTACAATTTTTGTTAAATATGCTACTATTTTTGTTGAATATGTTATTGTTGTTATTTTTTAAAAATATTAATATTGAATGTTTCAATTTTTTTTATATTTAAATGTTACTATTTTTTGTGTGTCCAAATAATAATTTTTTTTGTATATTTGGATGTTACTATTTTTTATTTTTAATGTTACTATATATATATATATATATATATATATAAGAGAAAATTTTAATGTTAGTCAAACCCTTAACCTGTATATGAATATAGATAGATATGAGAGAAAAAAAAATTTAATGTTAGTCAAACTCTTAAAATTTAAGAGTTTCTAATTTTTAGTTTTATTTCACTTTTAAAGGGAATAGATAGTACAATAAAATTGATAAAAAATGGACTTCATAACAAATAAATTTTTTTAACGGACTTAAGTCCAAACAAGTCCATATAGGGGAACCGACCTCCAAATTTTTTATTTTAAAATTATACCCAAATAACTCCTCATTTATACTCTTTTACAAATTATTTCCTATCACCCCATGTCTTTATAATTATTTATCTATTTTCTTTACTCCTTAATCGGTGGGGTAGGAGAGAGAGAAATAGAGTGAATGGGATAACAAAAGACGATGGGATATGATGGGACTCTTCTGAAAAGCCTATGATGAAGACACGTGTCCTCGGGGGGGGGGGGGNGGTAGGAGAGAGAGAAATAGAGTGAATGGGATAACAAAAGACGATGGGATACATATTCCGTGTATTGCATGCATGGGTTCATCGCTAACATATATTTATATTATGTTTTATTTTTCTCTAAGTTTTAAAAATTATAAAAGACAAGTTTTTATGCTAGCATGAAATGGGAAAAGTATTTTTGAACGGCTTAAGTTATTTTTAGACTCATTTTAACATCAATTTAATTTAAAATAAATATAACATACATTTATATCTATATAATAAAGTACAAAATAATTCAAATTTCAAAAAATAAATAAAATGACTTTTGTTATTTGCAGATGAGATTATTTTAAATTTTATTTTAAAGTTAATATGATGGCTAATATTAAAATCTCAAATTTAATAAGAAAAATAGACTTTTAAAGGTGTGTTTGGAATAACTTTTTAAAAGTATTTCTAGAAATTATTTATCATAAATATATTTTTTTTTAAATAATATTTGGAACCGTTCCACCACCACTGTCGCCGTCGCCGCCACTACCACTATTATCACCACCCTATCACACCTATAGCTCCACCACCACCACCATCATTACCACTACCATCGCCCCACCACCACATCACCACTACCACCATCGCCCCACCACCATCACTACCACTACCACCACAGCCCCACCATCACCCCCACGACCATCACAACTACCACCACCATCGCCACCCCCACCTCACCCCTCACTTCTCCACTGCCACCACCATCACATTTGTCACCCACTGCTGATTGCTACCATCGTTGTCCACTGTCATCATCCATCACTATCATCTCACTATTATCGTTGCCTATTGTCAGCACTCATCACTACCATTGTTATCCACCATCACCCACTACCACAACCCACTACCACCCGTCGTCGCCCACCATCATTACCAGCCACTGTCACCCATCCTTACCACACTTACCACCGCCACCCGTCATCCACCACCACTAGTCATCGCCCACCACTACAATCACTCATTGTCACCTATCCCCATCACACTTACCACAACTGTCATTCGCCACCACCCATCATACTATCGCCTAGAAGCATCTATTGTCGCCCTACCACCACCATCGTCACTGCCCACCACCATCACCATTGTCACCGCCCATCATCACCGTCATCCACCACCACCCACACCCACCACCACCGTCATCCATGGCTGGCACTATTATCATCGTCACCTAAAACCCACCACTATCATCACCGCTGTCACTCGCAGCTGCCACCCACCATAACAATCACTGTTTCTCACCACCACCACTGTTGTCACCCTCACTAACACTGCTCACCTTTATTATAATCAGTACTTAAATTCTTTATCTCTCATTTATGTTTGTGATTTAATTTTGAGTATGAATACAAATTTCATCTTTCATTTATTGTTGAACATTTTTTTTTATTACTCTATGCCTTTAGGCACGAGAAATAACTCGTATATATAATAATGTACAATACAATTCAAATCTCAAAAGATAAACAAAATAACTTTTGCTTTTCGCAGTTGAGATCTCTTTAAATTTTACTTTAAATTTAATTCGACGGCTAATATTGACACCCCAAATTTAATAAAAAAATAGATTTTTAAGGATGTGTTTGATCTAACTTTTTAAAAATGCTTTAAGGACTTATAACTTCTTCTACCTACTTTAAACAAAAAAAGAAATGTTTGGAACCGTCCCACTCTCACCCCCACCGCCCCACCACCACCACATTCCCTACTACTACCATCGTTGTCGTCTCATCGCCACCCTCACTGCACCACAATCATCACTGTCGTCGCTACCACTACTACCACCCATTGTCACCCACCCCCACCACACCCACCACCACTGTCATTCGCCACTACCCATCATAATATCGCCTAGAAGTATCCGTCGTCGCCCCACCACCATGACTGACAACAATCATCACTGTCGTCTACCACCACCCACACTCACACCCACCGCCACCATCGTTATTACTCATGGTTGTCACTATCACTATCACCGTTGCCACCCACGGCTATCAACACCACTGTCACCCATCACCTCTCACCCCTACTACAACTGATGCTTAAATTTTTTTCTCCTTATGTTTGTGATTTGATTTTGAATGTGAATACAAATATATTTATTGTTGACCATTTTTTTATTATTCTATACCTTCAAATACAAACAATAACTAGTTAATCGATAAATCACATGTTTGAGAAAACCTTGTCAAATTAGGGATAAAATTGTAGTACTTATCTCTCCTAGGCGATTATGGGGCAAAGTCTTCTGCTCTGAATATTCTATAAAGCCGCTTAAGATATTATTAACCCATAAACCTTAAGTTGCAGTAGTTTATCCGTCAAAATTATACAATGCTTAAGCACTGGAATAGCTTTGGCATTGAAGGGTTCTTCACTGCCTTTGGTTTTTTTTNCCCCTCACTTCTCCACTGCCACCACCATCACATTTGTCACCCACTGCTGATTGCTACCATCGTTGTCCACTGTCATCATCCATCACTATCATCTCACTATTATCGTTGCCTATTGTCAGCACTCATCACNCTCACTTTGTTCTCTCAAAAATTAAATTTTTCATATTACACCTTTAATGTATCAAAAGCCAACCCATTGACATACAAAAAAAAACTAACAAAAAACTAACAAAAATGTCATATTATAACACTTTTGATATAGTATGAGTGCAATATAAAAAATTTAACATTTAAGAGTACAAAGAGAGAATTTTAAAATCCTTTGAGGATACAATGTGCAATTCACCCAAAAAATTGTGGTGCAACCCATGAATCAAAAAGACAGTCAGATTNCCACTGTCATCATCCATCACTATCATCTCACTATTATCGTTGCCTATTGTCAGCACTCATCACTACCATTGTTATCCACCATCACCCACTACCACAACCCACTACCACCCGTCGTCGCCCACCATCATTACCAGCCACTGTCACCCATCCTTACCACACTTACCACCGCCACCCGTCATCCACCACCACTAGTCATCGCCCACCACTACAATCACTCATTGTCACCTATCCCCATCACACTTACCACAACTGTCATTCGCCACCACCCATCATACTATCGCCTAGAAGCATCTATTGTCGCCCTACCACCACCATCGTCACTGCCCACCACCATCACCATTGTCACCGCCCATNACATATATATATATATAAAGTAGTACATAAATGATTGAAATATGAGAATAAATAGGTTAATTTTTTTTTTCACTGTTTACATTGTTATAAAATCGAAAAGGAAAATAGTTAGACAAATCATGTAATTAGAGCGGCTAGACAACTAAGANTGGCTGGCACTATTATCATCGTCACCTAAAACCCACCACTATCATCACCGCTGTCACTCGCAGCTGCCACCCACCATAACAATCACTGTTTCTCACCACCACCACTGTTGTCACCCTCACTAACACTGCTCACCTTTATTATAATCAGTACTTAAATTCTTTATCTCTCATTTATGTTTGTGATTTAATTTTGAGTATGAATACAAATTTCATCTTTCATTTATTGTTGAACATTTTTTTTTATTACTCTATGCCTTTAGGCACGAGAAATAACTCGTATATATAATAATGTACAATACAATTCAAATCTCAAAAGATAAACAAAATAACTTTTGCTTTTCGCAGTTGAGATCTCTTTAAATTTTACTTTAAATTTAATTCGACGGCTAATATTGACACCCCAAATTTAATAAAAAAATAGATTTTTAAGGATGTGTTTGATCTAACTTTTTAAAAATGCTTTAAGGACTTATAACTTCTTCTACCTACTTTAAACAAAAAAAGAAATGTTTGGAACCGTCCCACTCTCACCCCCACCGCCCCACCACCACCACATTCCCTACTACTACCATCGTTGTCGTCTCATCGCCACCCTCACTGCACCACAATCATCACTGTCGTCGCTACCACTACTACCACCCATTGTCACCCACCCCCACCACACCCACCACCACTGTCATTCGCCACTACCCATCATAATATCGCCTAGAAGTATCCGTCGTCGCCCCACCACCATGACTGACAACAATCATCACTGTCGTCTACCACCACCCACACTCACACCCACCGCCACCATCGTTATTACTCATGGTTGTCACTATCACTATCACCGTTGCCACCCACGACTATCAACACCACTATCACCCATCACCTCTCACCCCTACTACAACTGATGCTTAAATTTTTTTCTCCTCTATGTTTGTGATTTGATTTTGAATATGAATACAAATATATTTATTGTTGACCATTTTTTTATTATTCTATACCTTCAAATACAAACAATAACTAGTTAATCGATAAATCACATGTTTGAGAAAACCTTTTCAAATTAGGGATAAAATTGTAGTACTTATCTCTCCTAGGCGATTATGGGGCAAAGTCTTCTGCTCTGAATATTCTATAAAGCCGCTTAAGATATTATTAACCCATAAACCTTAAGTTGCAGTAGTTTATCCGTCAAAATTATACAATGCTTAAGCACTGGAATAGCTTTGGCATTGAAGGGTTCTTCACTGCCTTTGGTTTTTTTTGGTCATTATTTGAGAGATGATCCAAAATAAGAAAGGATTTTTTGCATTTTGTACCTTAAAAAATTTTAAAATTGTCACTTTGTTCTCTCAAAAATTAAATTTTTTATATTACACCTTTAATGTATCAAAAGCCAACCCATTGACATACAAAAAAAAAAACTAACAAAAATGTCATATTATAACACTTTTGATATAGTAAGAGTGCAATATAAAAAATTTAACATTTAAGAGTACAAAGTGAGAATTTTAAAATCCTTTGAGGATACAAAGTGCAATTCACCCAAAAAATTGTGGTGCAACCCATGAATCAAAAAGACAGTCAGATTCAAGCAATGAGATTGAGAAATCTTTTGCATTGAAGAAAATAATTGACAGTTGTTTGGGGAAGTACCAGGATACGCACAGCCAAATTTTGAGCAATATGCATATATATATATAAAGTAGTACAGAAATATGAGAATAAATAGGTTAATTTTTTTTTTCACTGTTTACATTGTTATAACATCGAAAAGGAAAATAGTTAGACAAATCATGTAATTAGAGCGGCTAGACAACTAAGAAAGGACCTGAAGAGTAAGATATACGCAATCTTATATGTAGTAGCTTGAACTACTGAGTCCCAAGCAATCTTATTTTACAGAACAAAAATAATAATAATAATGTAACTCACGAAATAAAGATTAAGATGCCTTTAGAATCCCTTTTCCAACTCAATCTAAAGGTTAAAGTGCCAAATACATGGGAATGCTCTCTGTATGATTTGTATGGATCTCGAATTACATGTCCATGTCCAAAAAATGAGTATATATTACAAACTTCCAAAGAATATGAGGTAATAGAATATGTATATATGTACACTTTACTCCAAGCTATCGTGACGTATAATTTGAAGCTTCCATGATGAAGTTGTCGGTATTTCCAAAATACCCCGGCATCTAACTAGAGTCTTCGTTACTATAGAACACAATCACAATCAGCTCTAAGGTCACAACTGTCTGTTATATGAGTCAATCATGGCAACTTTCTCCTGCAAATGGCGGAGCAAACGGAAACGGAATTAAGAAAGAAAAAAAACAGGCGACAGGAAGTAATTTCTTCGTATCTGCTGTAGCAAAGTAATTTGTGCAAGCATATCTAGCTATCAACAGAGAATAAAAGGTGAGAAGGGAAATGTTACAACCATACAACCAATATGAGGTGCTTCTAAAATATTAGGTATGTCACCCCTGTCGAGCGACCGCACCAGTTATCGATACCTTAGCTCCAACTTACAGCCATCAATGTCCGCCATCTCGTACATTTACTCTTAGATTTTTAGTGAAAATTTAGCAAGTTTCGCTTAGTTTTGTACACCCACTCAGAATGGTTGCTGGACAAAGTTAGTCTTTTGCTGATAAAGAAATCGGGTTGCTCACCTGGGCATGGTAAAAAGCAAGTCGGGTGAAGGAGGTGGCTCCATACTGGAAAATTAGGGATTGTTAAGAGGCCATGAAAAGTGTGGTTTTAGAAAAAAGTTGTTACGATTTGAATTATTTTGATGGGACAACTTGGGGTTAAGCAAGGTAAAGGTCATCCCTTATTCCCTTTCTCCGGAATGGCTGGATGCCTGAGTTATTTTCAGTGGCTATTGGGCAATGCTCCAGTTCACTTAACATAAGATGGAAGAACTTGTTGATCTCGTTTGACAACAAAATGAGCAATTATAATCGTCATGATGGTGTCTGGACTGTTAAGGATGTGTGATTGTGATAGATTTCAGAACATAGCTCTTCAAATTGTCAACAAACCAAATTTCAATTCACCACTCTCTCTTTCCCGGAAGTCTACATCCTAAAAGAAGCAGCCGCAGATATTTTGTACAATGAAGAAGAGTTGATTAATCATTTCGTAACATAATTGTTATGACTCAATACAAATTGCAGATCACTATTCTTACTTTAGCAAGCCTAAGCTTCACAAGCAATTGACTACACAGACCAAGTGCTATTCTATTTCTATCTTCTACTGTTCCTAGTAATCCTCAAAAAGTTCTGTATCTTAATTTGTTAGAGAATTGACGTTCTCTCTTGGGGGTTGTGGGGGTTTGTCCAGGCTGCAGGGGTGGGATTTGGGAGAGATGGAGGGGTGGGGACTGATGCCCCTACTCCCTTCCTTTTTTCGTTTTAATTTGACTAATTTTGGCTTTTTTTGCCTAATTTTGACCAAGACAAAGACGGAAATATTGTAAAATGACAAAATGTTAGTTGGTAACAGGATTTGGGATTTAGTGTAATTCCTGAGAGCATAGGAGGTGACATGTATTTCTACAAAATTTCGATGGGTAATGTAACCTATTGTAAATTTCAAATACACTCACTATTTTGCCCCCAATGAAATTTATCGCTTTCCACTATCCAAAACTTCATGGTAGGTGTAGGAATGTTGTTCTAAATGCTATGCTCCTGCTTTCTCTCAAAGGTTTTATCTGTGCCTTTATAAAGTTTTAGGCCAGTTATTTCTTTAAGAGGATATATCATGAGACGAGTTACTAACAAGAAGATGGCCTTCGGTAATATATTTTGTGCTCTCAGTAATTTCCAAAGTATTTTTGTGCTGCAAGGATTCCTGCTAATTTATTATCATACGTCAGTTTGTACTTTGTATTCGCCATTAACAATGGGAGATAGGTATCACCTCATTCTGCACGCCACTCTCTGAAGGAAACCAGTGCATGAGGACTCCCAAGTGCATAACTGCAGGTATCAATTTGAACAAGACAGGAGTTGTCACCTGTACATCATTCACCACACAAACATTAAATAAGGGACGGGGGAATAGGAAGCGAAAAACGGAAAAAGAGAAGAGACAGGGAAAAAAAAAAAAGAAGGGATGTTACAAGTAATAAATTTACCAGACTGAAAGCCGTTGTCCCAAGAAGAAGAAGATACATCTTGCCCTAATAAATTAAACAGAATCTTAGTTAGCAAACAACAAAAGACAAAAGTTTCAATGACAAAGTAAAAGAAGGCCGACGATATCAATTAATAGAACACATAACAAGGAAAGAGAACTAATTAGATTAAGGAGACTCATTTTTTTTGTTGAGGGCCGAGGAGGTAGCAACAAACATCAATTTCTGAATAACTTTTAAGTGTAACAGAATGAAAAAAAATTCAATAACATTGAATATATCTATTATGAGTATGTCAAACACAATATATAATAAAATATATAGTCATAGGAAGCGATCAAGTGCTGTAGATATCAACAGGTGTCTGCATAAGCACGTATTTACAGAGTAAGAAATTACCTCAACAAGGTGTAGATTTGAGGCACGACTTAAGAGGACGAAAGCAAATTCTCCAATTTGAGCAAGAAGTACTCCAACCTGTGAAAAATACNCGTATTTACAGAGTAAGAAATTACCTCAACAAGGTGTAGATTTGAGGCACGACTTAATAGGACGAAAGCAAATTCTCCAATTTGAGCAAGAAGTACTCCAACCTGTGAAAAATACTAAAACTAAGTCCCAAAGAGGCAAATTTTACTTGGCCAATGGAAGTCAGATTTAGCAAGCCAACTTACCACAAATGATGTCCTAATGCTATATCCAAAGGCTTTTGTGATCATAGCAGTAACAGTAGTCTTTACCACTATGACCAGGATAACAGAAGCAAGCAATATGTCCACATGGGTCCACAGGAACTGTACATGTATAAGCATTCCAATGCTAGAAAGGAACAGTGCAGCAAAAAGGTTGCGAATTGGTTCTACCTACATCATGAAAAACATTGTATTTGAAACTTTTTTCTAATCACAAAAGTCCGTACAGCATATGTAATTATATAAATAAAGCCACATAGCCAGAAATCTCAAATTATGTTTGACCAGAGATGTCAGCAGTAAAATGTTTTTTATAGATCTCATTTACAAAATATTATAGTTTCAGTGCTTTTACAAATGGAAAATGAGAAAACTTGGCAATCAGAACCACTCTCAAGTTTTGCAATGGTGAAAGTATGCGGTTGTCTTAATCAAAAGAGATATTCAATCTCAATTACTTTCAGGTGAATTTCAATGATATCATTACGGTTAACAATAAGATAGTCCATGCATTGGCAAGCAGGTAAAACAACTCTCCACATAAAAATTCAACTTTAGACAGTACGTCAATAATGTACATCAAAATGTATGGAAACCATTTAAGTACACTTCATATTTGTTTACCTTTGCCCATCCTAGGGTTTCATCTACAGGTGCAAAGGCCATAACTGAACGTTGGTCAAAGCAACCCAGCTGATGGGAGGAATGGAGAGCATTAACATGATATTGGCTATATTCACATGAATGGTTGCCATGACACTCAAACATGCATTTTCACACTTCATAGCCCAAGCTTTAACAATTGCACCTAACAATGGTGCAATGCTGTAAAAAGAAGAGGTCATACAATGTTTCCTCATTTTCTGTGATGGCTTGATTCCAAAAAAAAAAAATTTGATAAAGGAAAAAGTGGGATGGCCCAATCGCCCTGGGACCATCCCAACTGTGGTAGGTCACAGGTTCAAGTGACCTACTCTCCTCTCCCATATGGGTGCAACACCAAACAATACATCCAGTTTCCTAGTGCAAAGCTTAAATAAAAAAAATGAAGTTTCAGACTTTGAGCTTCCAAGCAAAAAATGCAGAAAGCTAAACATTCCTCTAAAGGGATGGTCACATAAGCTACAAGCACATAAACCATAAAACTGTGAAGTACAGAGCACAATATTTTAATGAAGTGGCATGCCCAATGGTCCAAAAGATAAGTCAACAACATGGACTTTCTACAGGGGCTTTCATTCTATACTTCTTTGCACATCATGCCACACACACACACACACACACACATATATATCAACATGGATAATAAAAGTTAAAGCACAAGTTGAAGGGAAGGGCACCTGGTCCAAAGTATGCTGTGCAAAGTCAGTAGTTGATATCATCACCCCAGCCACAAACGACCCCAATTCAAGACTAAGGCCCAACTTATCGCTGCACTGCAAAGTTGAAGGGCATATTAGAACTAGAATATTGAAATGTTAACAGAAGGAACTTTAGAAAAGTATTTGATCAAGAAATCTCTTTCTTCTCTCCCTCATTCCCATATTTTGCATGGTCCTCATGGGAATCTCTACTGGCAGTGGCAGGAATTGCATTTTCAGGGGATTGCAAAGCTCAATAACAACTATTTTTGTAAAAATGATAAAGAATATCCTTTTTCCGAAAAAGAAAACACCACTGCCAAACCTGAATCACTGAATAAAATGATACAATAAAACCAATTACTAGCCACTAGGTATCTCATTCTTGATAATGAAATTTTAATCCTAATCTCTAAGGGCCTAAACTCCATTGTTATCAGGAAGATATTGATAGAGACCAAAGAGGTAATCGCCAATTAGGGTTACACCTCGTGGATGAAGTTTAATAGACGGAGGCATTGTGTGATGGCAATGGAGGGAAACGCAAAGGCCTCGAGGCATCCCAGAATGTGTATGTGTGCATGTCGGTTGAGAGAGAGAGAGAGAGTGAGTGGGTGAGGGAGTGAGTGAGACTGAGAGCATGGGGTACCACGTAGATCAGCAATCTTGGCTCCATCAGAAAAAAATTGCGATTCGAACAATCATTGTACATATCACAATAAGGATGCTGGGGGACTTGAGTAAATACTCTGAGCAAAATTCAGGTCAACAACTCTTGCTCAGACTTNAGTTAAAGCACAAATTGAAGGGAAGGGTACCTGGTCCAAAGTATGCTGTGCAAAGTCAGTAGTTGATATCATCACCCCAGCCACAAACGACCCCAATTCAAGACTAAGGCCCAACTTATCGCTGCACTGCAAAGTTGAAGGGCATATTAGAACTAGAATATTGAAATGTTAACAGAAGGAACTTTAGAAAAGTATTTGATCAAGAAATCTCTTTCTTCTCTCCCTCATTCCCATATTTTGCATGGTCCTCATGGGAATCTCTACTGGCAGTGGCAGGAATTGCATTTTCAGGGGATTGCAAAGCTCAATAACAACTATTTTTGTAAAAATGATAAAGAATATCCTTTTTCCGAAAAAGAAAACACCACTGCCAAACCTGAATCACTGAATAAAATGATACAATAAAACCAATTACTAGCCACTAGGTATCTCATTCTTGATAATGAAATTTTAATCCTAATCTCTAAGGGCCTAAACTCCATTGTTATCAGGAAGATATTGATAGAGACCAAAGAGGTAATCGCCAATTAGGGTTACACCTCGTGGATGAAGTTTAATAGACGGAGGCATTGTGTGATGGCAATGGAGGGAAACGCAAAGGCCTCGAGGCATCCCAGAATGTGTATGTGTGCATGTCGGATGAGAGAGAGAGAGAGAGTGAGTGGGTGAGGGAGTGAGTGAGACTGAGAGCATGGGGTACCACGTAGATCAGCAATCTTGGCTCCATCAGAAAAAAATTGCGATTCGAACAATCATTGTACATATCACAATAAGGATGCTGGGGGACTTGAGTAAATACTCTGAGCAAAATTCAGGTCAACAACTCTTGCTCAGACTTTGGTACAGTATGAAGAGGCAAACAGTATTTATGGTGATTATTGAGTGAAGGACAACTGAGTCTCGCACGGCATGAATAGCATCTCAAGGAGGTGTACAACCACATGATAGTTTGCGTGAGGTGAAAAAGAAAATATTCGACAATTGAGATCACATTAGGGCTGGCTGAATTTTTATGTCAGGAATGTAGAACCTTTCCATTTCACGACTGGGGCAACGCACAATACCAACAAGGGGTAAAAACCTTAGCAAGTATTAATCCTAGCCATCAACCTTATATCTCTAACGTTCCAATGATGTGTTGTATAGACATCTAATAAGCATTCTTGTGCCTTCTGGGGTTCTTGTGGGGACAAGCCGCCCTTCACAGTGGGATGCTTATGTGGAGCAATAGCAATGGAAGAAACTTAGTACACTCCCTCAGAAGGGATCTGTCCAAGAGGCCTTGTTCTTGTAACAGAAGGGCACCAATACATGCATGAGCTTGGTGTGTTGGTATAAAGGAATCCTTATTTGGAAATCCCATTTGCACCTGCAATGGATGCCTTTGCAGTACAATTGTTGGGATAAACTTTTGAGAAACCTTACCCTCTCTATGACCAGCTTGCCAATTTACCATCATGTATGCTAAAACTACCCTTCTGCAAGTTTAACCCTAGAGGTTACTGACAAACATGTCCATTATCCTCTACTAAAGCCCACCAGATGCAGAGAACACTTTAATTAATTACCACCATAACTCCCTAAGCAGTGTCCGAGTGTGAGAGCAAATCCTACACATCAGCCACTCCACTCTCCCACTCTATAACCTATTGTGAACTAAACTTGCATAAACCAATTTCATAACGCATTCCAATCCTAGTCAATTGTACCACAGATAACTGGAGATAACATATTCTTATGGCAGAATTACACACTCACAACATAAACTGATGACCAAGGAAGAACCTAATTAAGCAAGATACAAATTTTTAACCACTATAAACAAAAATTCATGAGAAAGAGTATGTGATATATTGTTCTTACCCAAGCAGATAATAAGCAAAAAGCCACTGCAGCCAGCTGGTAAAGTTCATTAGTCTGACGATCACAGATGAATGCAAATTTAGGAATAAAACATCAGTCAAAACAAAAAAGTAAACAAAGCCACACAAAGCAAAATACAAAGTTTAACCGGAAATGGACAAATAGTTACCATCAGATCCAAGCAGCAAATAANATAGACATCTAATAAGCATTCTTGTGCCTTCTGGGGTTCTTGTGGGGACAAGCCGCCCTTCACAGTGGGATGCTTATGTGGAGCAATAGCAATGGAAGAAACTTAGTACACTCCCTCAGAAGGGATCTGTCCAAGAGGCCTTGTTCTTGTAACAGAAGGGCACCAATACATGCATGAGCTTGGTGTGTTGGTATAAAGGAATCCTTATTTGGAAATCCCATTTGCACCTGCAATGGATGCCTTTGCAGTACAATTGTTGGGATAAACTTTTGAGAAACCTTACCTTCTCTATGACCAGCTTGCCAATTTACCATCATGTATGCTAAAACTACCCTTCTGCAAGTTTAACCCTAGAGGTTACTGACAAACACGTCCATTATCCTCTACTAAAGCCCACCAGATGCAGAGAACACTTTAATTAATTACCACCATAACTCCATAAGCAGTGTCCGAGTGTGAGAGCAAATCCTACACATCAGCCACTCCACTCTCCCACTCTATAACCTATTGTGAACTAAACTTGCATAAACCAATTTCATAACGCATTCCAATCCTAGTCAATTGTACCACAGATAACTGGAGATAACATATTCTTATGGCAGAATTACACACTCACAACATAAACTGATGACCAAGGAAGAACCTAATTAAGCAAGATACAAATTTTTAACCACTATAAACAAAAATTCATGAGAAAGAGTATGTGATATATTGTTCTTACCCAAGCAGATAATAAGCAAAAAGCCACTGCAGCCAGCTGGTAAAGTTCATTAGTCTGACGATCACAGATGAATGCAAATTTAGGAATAAAACATCAGTCAAAACAAAAAAGTAAACAAAGCCACACAAAGCAAAATACAAAGTTTAACCGGAAATGGACAAATAGTTACCATCAGATCCAAGCAGCAAATAAGGAAAGCAGGCAAGTTGGGTTAATCCAATCAGACCAGAAGTCCGAACCAGTAAATTCTATTCACAATTTTATGTCAGAAGTGGATACTCCTTAACTAAAGTCGATGGTACCCTCCAACATTTTACTCTTCATCACCATAATATCTCACCACAGATTATGTCCCGTAGTAGCTCCAGCGAATAAACTAGAACTACAGCTGATTTGGTTTTGGCTGAATCTATCTGTGTGTGAATTTAATCCCAAAAGGAAGATACTGTGTCTAAATCCAAAATTCATTCAGATACTACTCAAATACGAATAAGGTACTCGTCAAATGTTAGATTGGTTGATAATTTGCCTTGGAGTTGAATAACCCAAACTTCAAGTATACATTTACAAGTGGGTATAAAAGTGCATATGAATGCCTTTCAGGATATTTAAACTTGTGTATACCAATCACTTGATTAAAACTGGATCTTCACATCTAAATTGCCATCATAGAAACTAACAGATTGGACGGCAATATACAAAGAACATGATGCAACTAAATGAAACAAAATAAGGTGTCATTCCAAATGTCTTTGTTAATATCTGAGATAGGCAAACATTTCAAAACTGTGACTTTGAAACCTTTAAGGCACCACCCCATTGGGATAGGTGATTTCATTTCAGAATGAAGAGGGGTCAATAAGCTTCCGAATTGTCAAAAATCCTGCAATAGTTCGTCACTCGTCTTGTATGACTTGATTAATTTTCCTTTTAATTAACTGCCCACTATTGCATAGCTAAAGATCAAATTTGGGAAAACATATTATATGCACAAATCCCTCTAACTGTGCCAACAAGATTAAATGACTCATATTTTAGGATCACTTATATTCATGTAATCATAACTTGAGGAAAACAAAAAGAGAAGTGAATTACATCACAAGAATGGTTACTGGGACATCAAATTTTCATTCATGGCAAAACAGAGGTAATAACTTACTTGAGATGATAGATGTGTCATTAACTTCAAAAATCGAGGAACAAATGACCAAGTCAAAACAGATGCAGTAGTGAGATATAAGGACAAAACCAGCAGCCTAAATCGCAAAAAAAAAAAAGAAAAAGTTAAAACTCATATGACCGTATTCACACTTGAAAGTATGCTTGAATGTGTGCACTCACAACGTAGGAACTTAAGCCAAAAAAAAAAAGTGGATAGAGTGTGCTGATAAAAAATTTACAATAGTTGAGGCCTCAGCTTATAGTAACAGCTTATGATGATAAGGAGAATAAGAGTGTGCTGATATTGTAACTACTACAGTTGAGGTCTCANAGTGGATAGAGTGTGCTGATAAAAAATTTACAATAGTTGAGGCCTCAGCTTATAGTAACAGCATGTGATGATAAGGAGAATAAGAGTGTGCTGATATTGTAACTACTACAGTTGAGGTCTCAGCTTATAGCAACAGCACATGACGATAATAAGAATAAGAAAGCGCCTGCAATACATGAGATGAGAAGAATGGAGAGACAAAATCTAGAGCATAATATTGACTTACAGCTTCCCCATTGAGGCCATTCCTTGCAAAATGCCGCTGTTACCACCCAGAACTGGGAGCAAAGCAAACAGTAAACCAACAGCACAATCCTGGAAAAAACCAATTGTGAAGGAACAAATTAATATATAACTAAAAAAAAAAATGAAAAACAAGCATATCGGCTCAAGTGTCATCTAGTTACTAATGGCCTTACCACATAAGATGAAGTTGTTTCAGAATTACCTGAAAAATAAGGATTCCAATAGTCACTTGACCATGAAGAATGTTATTACTATTCTTCTCAACCAAAAACTTCACCACCTATAAAAATAAAGTGAGCAAAACAGCATCCATGGTCAGAATGTAGCAGCCACAAAAGAAAAGATGGACAGTATCAGTAAGTGATCAGAAAATTTACCACTGCTGTTGAAGACATTGAGAGGAAGCAACCGACAAATACACCATCGGACAACTTTGCTCCGCACAACTGCGTCAGTCAGTAGATTGTGAAACTCAGCACCAATTTCAAATCAAGAAGTTCAATTGATAGACTTGTACAAGNTAAAATAAAGTGAGCAAAACAGCATCCATGGTCAGAATGTAGCAGCTACAAAAGAAAAGATGGACAGTATCAGTAAGTGATCAGAAAATTTACCACTGCTGTTGAAGACATTGAGAGGAAGCAACCGACAAATACACCATCGGACAACTTTGCTCCGCACAACTGCGTCAGTTAGTAGATTGTGAAACTCAGCACCAATTTCAAATCAAGAAGTTCAATTGATAGACTTGTACAAGTATAAAAGCAAGTTCTCAGAAACATACCATAGCAGTTATGCCACACAAGAACATAAGAATGACTATTTGTAGCAGTCCTCCAAGAACAGCAACGGGACCAACCACTTTTAGCTGCATCAGTGACAAGTTAGGGAAGATTCCAGAGAAGTTAGTGAAGAAAAAAAACCCTCAAGTGATTGGTCAATGACAAATCATAAGCACACGTTGGCAAACCTTTGTCAAAGAAAACTCCAGTCCTAAAGCAAATAGCAGGAAAACAACACCAAACTGAGCAAAAGTCTCAACCTGGAATGACATACAAATTCAACCTCCAAAATTACCATATATATTTGCTTACAAAAATATAGTCTGATAACAGCAGTCAAAAATAATAGTCCGGCATCTCTATGGGCTGTAGTTACCAATGAGTTTCGAGATATTTCTCTATCAGCTCTCCAACACAATTGGAAAGCTGCTTGTATTCCTTAATTTTGTTTTGATTTATTTGCTTTAATTTTTACTCTTTTAGGAGGGTTTCTTGAAATGAAAGTGTTGTTCCTAATCCAAAAAAAAAGATGCACCAATAAATAATGGTTCATTCAGATTAAAGTACTGCATAGTTCAGTTGAATTGGATTCTTCATTCTTCTCCAAAAGTAAAATACAAAGATTCAAGTTATCATCTTGTTTTTTCTTTCTTCCTAAAACTCCTCAACATGGTTATTAGTATCGTACGATACTCGATATGTATCGTACAATACATCACGATACACCTGAAAAACGATGTGTATTATGTCTCTGTATCATTTTTGTACCGTATCGTACGATACACGATACGTACGATACAATATGTCTGATACGTGATGATTTTGGTTTTTGTTTTTTTTTTTTGAGCTAAAATGACATCATTTTACCTTAAAACTTATTTTTAAAACACTAGTTAGTGAAACAACATCGTTTTAATAGTTGTAGTTTAAAAAAATAAAATAAAGTATATTGTTAATGTTATTCAATTGAGTTCAAAATTCCTAATTAATATTAAAGTTATTCAAGCAAGTTGATGTTAGAAATTTGAATTAGAGGTCTTTGCATTTTAATATTACTGAACAATGTTGGGAGTTTGAANACTAGTTAGTGAAACAACATCGTTTTAATAGTTGTGGTTTAAAAAAATAAAATAAAGTATATTGTTAATGTTATTCAATTGAGTTCAAAATTCCTAATTAATATTAAAGTTATTCAAGCAAGTTGATGTTAGAAATTTGAATTAGAGGTCTTTGCATTTTAATATTACTGAACAATGTTGGGAGTTTGAATAGTTTGTGGAATATTTAATGAAATGCTATATTATTATAAATCTATGTTTTTTTTACAAAGGTATATATATATATAATTAATAATTATTTAAAAATTAAATTGTGCATATCTTACGATACACGACACGACGGTACACTATTTTTTANTATGTTGGGAGCTTGAATAGTTTGTGGAATATTTAATGAAATGCTATATTATTATGAATCTATGTTTTTTTTACAAAGGTATATATATATATATAATTAATAATTATTTAAAAATTAAATTGTGCATATCTTACGATACACGACACGATTCGATACGGTACACTATTTTTTAAAAACGAAACACCATCTAATACGCAATTTGACAACTATGCTCCTCAACATCTAAACAGAGGGAACAGGATCACCAAAATTGTCTCTAAATGGCCTCTAAACAATCATACCTTATTAATTGCCANTTCGATACGGTACACTATTTTTTAAAAACGAAACACCATCTAATACGCAATTTGACAACTATGCTCCTCAACATCTAAACAGAGGGAACGGGATCACCAAAATTGTCTCTAAATGGCCTCTAAACAATCATACCTTATTAATTGCCATCACTGAGGATGCAACTTTTAAATCAAAACAGAGCACGCAAATTACACATGAGAAAGTAAAACATAATAAATTCCTCGAAAAGCAATGATATTGAATTATTCATGAGAATATACCTGTACCATTTCACTGATGAAGTTCAAACCTCCAGGTCCAATAATCGAACCCGCAAGAAGATACCCAACAATAACCTACCATATTAAGCCATGGAAGGTGTAATTTATACAAATTTGTAGACAGACACTCACTGAATATATGTAAAGATAAAGCTCAAAACAACTGTCCAATAGAGAAGATGCCAAAACAATGCAGCCACCAGATATAGGTACAAACCGGTTGTCCCAGACAGGAAAAGAAGATTCCACCAATGGCAGCAGAAACTATAACAACCACCAAGTCTGAAATTAGCCTACAGAATTTCAAATGATAATTCCACACATCAGAAAAACAACAAAAGATTTAGTGTCCTTGTATCACCAGCTTATCATTAATGATAACCCTGTGAGTAGTATTACTTATTTGTAGAACTCAGGTTGAAATACAAAATGAGATTGACCTTAAATCTACTTGAAGTATTGGATACTTTGATTTCTTGTTTGACATTACAAACACGTTATCCTGCCATTAAGTGAATCAAGTCAGCATGTGCTAAATGTAGAAGAAAGAACAGATGTTTCAATGCTTGTGCCCCAGGTGTGATACAGAGTATCCTTTCCTAAGTTTCAAGTCACCTTTTTGTCTATCAAGGTAGTCATATCATCAGAGCCTTCATTTTCCAGGGAAAAGACATCTTGAAACTGGAATGATCTAGTACCACTGCCGAAAAAAATAATGGATGTATAACTTAGATGCATTTGATGCAAGGCAGAACAAAATGTGATAATGTGACAGCTAAAAGACATTCCCTTCTAATTGTTGTACATATGTATACAAGTTATGCAATACTTCTGAAATTCCCAACAAAATTATATATGTTCCCTTACTTTGCCTCATTGGTTTCATTCTTCTTAATCTTCTCATGGGTGATTTTAGCAACAGTCTCCAATACAGCCTGTGAAAAATGATAATGAAAAGTCATCTATGACTGAAAAATGGCCAAACGAAATTGTGAAACAACTGAAACTAGAAGAAGTGAATTACAGCAAAATTTTACATTCCGTTGATATTGACTAATTGAATTGCACATCATGTCCCTGAACGTCCCATTAAGAACAGATTCTAGACATGCAACATGTATGCAATATCAAATTCAACCAGCTCAGTTTCAATAAAGCTTTTCTGTCCTGCATGACGGAAATGAATCAAGTAAACAAAGCCCACAAATTGTATTCTGTTTATTTATATTATGTATTCCCCACAACTTTGTGGTAGCTGCAATATTGCCAAAGGTTCCTGAGATTTCATGCAAGCTAGTAGACCATAGACAAACTCACAACAGAAATACCTACTAATCAGCCTAATAGTCAGTGAAACTGACCCANTGTGGTAGCTGCAATATTGCCAAAGGTTCCTGAGATTTCATGCAAGCTAGTAGACCATATACAAACTCACAACAGAAATACCTACTAATCAGCCTAATAGTCAGTGAAACTGACCCAAATCCAAAAGGTTCAAAAGGAAAATGAAACCTACTTGTTGATCAGCTACGCTGTTGTTGAAGCTGCTTCCATCGGAACCTAGTAAAAGGAAAGTAAGAGATATGTATCAACTTGACAGCACTATAGAAATTCCAGAACATCTAAAATTGAACTTAAATTTAACATATACACAAATATACATTTATGTGCGCGTGTTTTGCCAATATTTTTGAAAAAAAAGTCACAAATATCTACTTTTCAAAACCTAATTTGAAATGAAGTCCGTCTGTGCGTGTGTGTACTGAAAATATTCTAGGAGAACAAGTGTTTCCATTCGAAAAAACCAATTTTAAACTGAAGAGTAAAAACCCTAACCTTCAGGCTGATCATTTTCGGAGAATTCTTTTTCCAGAACGCGATCAAACATCTGCGCAATGCTACCGTCGCCGTTGTCCGGAGCCGAAGAATTGAGCAGATTACCATAAAACCTTTCCCTAATTTCCTTTTCAGATCTCGCAGAAACAGTTGTCCTGGCACAAAACGTCATCAACACGATTGCAATCAAGAGTCCACATGTCTCTCTCTTCGCGAAAATCCTCGCCATTGGAGAGAGAGAGAGAGAGTTATTCAGAGAATCGCCACTCGTAATGAAGAATGTGAGAGAGAAAAGAGCTGTGTGTCGTAGATTGAAGGCAAAGGCGTCGTCGGTTGGGTTGTTACTTGTTAGTTTTGTGATCAAGTTGTTGGAGTCTTATATTCAATTAAATCGCGCCACGTTAGTAATAGAGGCACATCAATCTTCTTTTTTTCTTTTTTATATGCCGCTGTCTGGGCATTAAGCACAATCCCCACACGTTGCAAAGTAAGCACATGACCCCATGGACTAAATTGTACCCTCGCACTAGTAAACCATCGGAGGGCAATAGTGAGAGATTCAATAAGAAATTTCAATAAGAATAGCCAATTGGAAAATTTCAATTGCAGTTGCCAACAATTACACCAACAAGAGGAGAGAGAAAGTGAGTGGAATGGAAAAATCGCAAGATACTGTATCATTGATTTTTAAAAATAAAATTCGATCGATACCCATTGAATAAACCTTAATATCTCTTTTCTATGTCCATTTTCCTGAAAAAACTGTCTTTCTTTTCCAATAAACCTTTCTCCCTCATTAATTTTCTCCGACATGCTCACTGTCACTGTACACATAGGCATAATCAAGCCACACCATTTTTCTACCACCCCTGTCATTGTCACACAAAAATCTAATTTTGCATACCAATCTCCTTGCTCCAACCATGCCATCATCGGTGACCTTCACCACATACAACTCACCCATTACACCATCAACCCTCCCAGCAATCCAGTCATAGTAATTTCATTGTCACGACTCAATGTCATACCCACTACATAAGACCAATCATGAAATAAAAACACACAAGCACCACACCCAAGCTTAATTCCAATTTTCTTCGTCGGAAAATCCAACATGAAAAACCAAGGGAGAACCATAATAAAAAATTGAAATGAAAGTGTGAATTAAAGTCTAAATGGAAAAATCGAAAGCCATAAAATTTGATTTGTATCACATGCAGAAAAAATAACAAATCAACTTCTTCTAATTCATGAATCTTGAAAATGACTAGCTTGGGAGTGGGTATAGTAGTGGTGGAATCCATGTTTGTGGGGAGGTGGATTATGATTTTGGTATGCGTGCTCAGCAATTGGAATAGTATAACAGTGACTGATTCTAGATATGCAGAGCAACAGAGACATCGATAATGGAGGTGGTCGTTTGTTAGCGACGGTGGAGCTAAGAGAGAAATGAGAGATATTCACCGTAAGAGAGAGAATAAGGTAGTCAGTGTGTAGATGTGGTTGACGACTTTGAATGAGCGGAAGTAGTTGGCGGGAAAGAAGATAGTTGTTTGTCACAAGGAGAGTCGAAGAGAGAGAATAGCAGTGAGATAGATGTGCCGAGCTCTACAGACCACACAATAGCAGAAATCTCAAGATAACGGCAAATCAATTGCAAACTTTGAGGGTCTAATACATAATTTCCTTTTTATTTAATGGTAAATTGCAACAAAACGAGCAAAGCTAAAGTTATAGCATCCACCCGATTCACATTTCAATCGCAAGGGGGTGTGCTCTCCACAAGTTCATCACGTACTCTCTCCTGTCGGGTTTTCACCAATATCTCTCTCTCTCTCTCTCTCATCCCCGAATCTCCAGAGAGAATTTAGAAAACTCAATGGCCTCAATTGGAAGTACGGTGGTTGTTGGGTTTTCTTACGGTATATCCTCGCCGGAGTCTCTCAATAGGAGAACCGGAGATAGAGTTGGGACACAGTTGACTCGCTTTTCCTATGCGTCGGGACCGAGGCGGCGGCTGGTGGTGGTTAGGGCGGAGGGTAATACTATAAACCCTGAGGTTCGGAAGACCGAAGATAAAGTTGTTGACTCTGTGATCGTTAGCGAACTCTCGAAGNAGTTATTCAGAGAATCGCCACTCGTAATGAAGAATTTGAGAGAGAAAAGAGCTGTGTGTCGTAGATTGAAGGCAAAGGCGTCGTCGGTTGGGTTGTTACTTGGTAGTTTTGTGATCAAGTTGTTGGAGTCTTATATTCAATTAAATCGCGCCACGTTAGTAATAGAGGCACATCAAACTTCTTTTTTTCTTTTTTATATGCCGCTGTCTGGGCATTAAGCACAATCCCCACACGTAGCAAAGTAAGCACATGACCCCATGGACTAAATTGTACCCTCGCACTAGTAAACCATCGGAGGGCAATAGCGAGAGATTCAATAAGAAATTTCAATCAGAATAGCCAATTGGAAAATTTCAATTGCAGTTGCCAACAATTTACACCAACAAGAGGAGAGAGAAAGTGAGTGGAATGGGAAAATCGCAGGATACTGTATCATTGATTTTTAAAAATAAAATTCGATCCATACCCATTGAATAAACCTTAATATCTCTTTTCTATGTCCATTTTCCTGAAAAAACTGTCTTTCTTTTCCAATAAACCTTTCTCCCTCATTAATTTTCTCCGACATGCTCACTGTCACTGTACACATAGGCATAATCAAGCCACACCATTTTTCTACCACCCCTGTCATTGTCACACAAAAATCTAATTTTGCATACCAATCTCCTTGCTCCAACCATGCCATCATCGGTGACCTTCACCACATACAACTCACCCATTACACCATCAACCCTCCCAGCAATCCAGTCATAGTAATTTCATTGTCACGACTCAATGTCATACCCACTACATAAGACCAATCATGAAATAAAAACACACAAGCACCACACCCAAGCTTAATTCCAATTTTCTTCGTCGGAAAATCCAACATGAAAAACCAAGGGAGAACCATAATAAAAAATTGAAATGAAAGTGTGAATTAAAGTCTAAATGGAAAAATCGAAAGCCATAAAATTTGATTTGTATCACATGCAGAAAAAATAACAAATCAACTTCTTCTAATTCATGAATCTTGAAAATGACTAGCTTGGGAGTGGGTATAGTAGTGGTGGAATCCATGTTTGTGGGGAGGTGGATTATGATTTTGGTATGCGTGCTCAGCAATTGGAATAGTATAACAGTGACTGATTCTAGATATGCAGAGCAACAGAGACATCGATAATGGAGGTGGTCGTTTGTTAGCGACGGTGGAGCTAAGAGAGAAATGAGAGATATTCACCGTAAGAGAGAGAATAAGGTAGTCAGTGTGTAGATGTGGTTGACGACTTTGAATGAGCGGAAGTAGTTGGCGGGAAAGAAGATAGTTGTTTGTCACAAGGAGAGTCGAAGAGAGAGAATAGCAGTGAGATAGATGTGCCGAGCTCTACAGACCACACAATAGCAGAAATCTCAAGATAACGGCAAATCAATTGCAAACTTTGAGGGTCTAATACATAATTTCCTTTTTATTTAATGGTAAATTGCAACAAAACGAGCAAAGCTAAAGTTATAGCATCCACCCGATTCACATTTCAATCGCAAGGGGGTGTGCTCTCCACAAGTTCATCACGTACTCTCTCCTGTCGGGTTTTCACCAATATCTCTCTCTCTCTCTCTCTCATCCCCGAATCTCCAGAGAGAATTTAGAAAACTCAATGGCCTCAATTGGAAGTACGGTGGTTGTTGGGTTTTCTTACGGTATATCCTCGCCGGAGTCTCTCAATAGGAGAACCGGAGATAGAGTTGGGACACAGTTGACTCGCTTTTCCTATGCGTCGGGACCGAGGCGGCGGCTGGTGGTGGTTAGGGCGGAGGGTAATACTATAAACCCTGAGGTTCGGAAGACCGAAGATAAAGTTGTTGACTCTGTGATCGTTAGCGAACTCTCGAAGCCCCTTACCGCTTACTGCAGGTAATCGATCTGGTCTCAGATTCTAATGAGAATTAACCTAGTTTTATTGTTTTAGCCCGATTATGTGAAATTTTGATGCTTCTTAGTCTTAGATGAAGGAAACCCTAGATATTGGTTTTAATCTTCAGGGCTATGAAATAGAGATATAATATCTGTCTTTTGGTTGGATTGAATATCGATGAAGATACGTTATCTGGATTGCTTTTTTATCTTGTTCAGATTGCTAGAACATGAGGAACTATAACCTTAGAAGTTAGAACTATTGAGTACAACTTGGTGTCTGTGTAAATCCTATTTTTTAAATATGGTGAAAGACCATTTCCCTGCAGCGCCATTGTCACACCTGTTTGATCTGCATTTCTCACCCGTTTTCAAATTGCTAGAGACAAGACTAACCCCCCCCCCCCGGGTGGTCGTTGTTTGGTGGTGCGGGTGTGGGGGAGGTGGTGGTTGATTAGATGCTGAATTGTGCTTTGCAAAATGTTTGTGATCATCCTGTGTTTCATTGCTTCATAATTATTTGATTTCTGTAATTAGTCCTTTCTGATGGACTTTCGGTGCAGGTGTTGGAGGTCTGGGACTTTCCCGCTATGTGATGGAAGCCATGTGAAGCACAACAAAGCCACTGGGGATAATGTTGGACCTTTGCTCGTGAAGAAGCAGTAAATGTTATGGTATATTTGTTGTCTTGCTTAGTTTTGAGAACTGGCGGTTTAAATGTTCTTCTTGCGAATGATGTCTACCTAGCAATGTACTCAATGTTTGCTTTGGATTTCTTTGAGCTCTGTAGTTTCCCAATGCTATAACTAAGTTGTTGTTATCGCCTGAACACATAGAGGTGTAATGGAATCTTTAAAGGGTTATTGGAACCAATCTAATTCACCCCAATACTAGCTTTGATTATCTTTTCTTTCTGGGTGGCCTTTCTCGAGGACGAGGAACTGTACAAAGAATTCTTAAAAGATGATGTGGAGAATGAGGAAGATTGTCTCTTTTATGTGAGTGAAATTTGAATGATCTCAATTTTTGCGACAAACGAAAGGAGGCCCAGTTGGAGAAAGCTTTTCTTATGTTCAATGTGAATCTGTTTGACTGTTTCCCTCACAAAGCAAAGATTTAACATTTATACTTTGTTTACCGGAATGTACCTTTTGCCTAAGCAGAGTTGTGGAGTTGTCTTGAATATAACCTGATTTGCATTTTGGTTTATCCAATGTTTCTCGAGGTAATTCTCTCTTCGGGGGTGATTTTGGGGGTATAGAACCAGGACTTTCTCTATGTTATAGCTTGATTCTTTTACTAGAAAAGCCATAGGGTGTATACAGATGGTGTATATTTCCCTCTACTTGGGACTAGGGATGTCTTCACAACTGGAGAGTGGTGCTCTTTGTGAATTCCAATATATTTCTTTCATATTGCAGAAGAGGGTGACCACTGTAGAGATGGCGTTAAGGATGAACATTGCTTGAGATACTTGTGTGCGCTCTCAAAGCACCGCACTTCTTGTTTGATCATGCACTCCTGTTTTAACAGACACTATCTCGATCCAAATTTATTGTTCATCAGTGGATCAGCAGCATCGAGGTTATTGATTAGTCTAATAGTCACCGTTTTGCTATTTGATCTTAAGATCGCATATTCAAATCTTGTCGTTTTTTCAAAATAGTAGCATAACACCATTTTGAGTTTGCCTACTTTGGTATACAAATCAACATTGAGGCTCTGATCAGACCCAAGGCATTCGTTATGTAGAGGATTTAGATACTTTCTAACTCACTTTTATTCAAGTGAGAAGACTTTGACTCTTGAGTAATCTTTTTTTTTTATACATAATTTTAATTTGTTTAACTAAAATTCATAGTTTTATCGACTAATATTTTTCTAAGTGGTCCAAATAATCTCCCACGCCCAACTACTGTTTATTTTAAAAAAAAAATAATTACCTTATTAACTTTCTATAATTTTTTTAACTTCTCCCCGAATAGAAAGAAAATATAAAAAAATAAAATTCTGTGTGAAATTTTATCAAAAATCACTACAAAAAAAAAAAAAAAAGATAACTCATAAATTACTTGTCTGGTATTTTCTCGCGCCAAAAATATTGCATCATAACTCATAAGTCCTTGACCTTTTCAGAAATATAATATAACTTTGGATAATTTACACTATGACCTCTTAAAGTGTAGATCCCCGATATTTGACATATTACACTTAATCTCTTGTGGATTACGATCAATCAACATATGCAACAGAACAAATTAAAACACTTACCCCTAGATATTTTCTAAAATTCTTTACAACAACTAAACTATCCATCTAATTGAGTATAGAAGGTTTCTCGCCTTAGTTGCTTCCTAGAGTGTATGTCGCACCTTTAGACCTTATTGAGTTTGTTCTCCACATGAAGAACACTTTGGGGCATTTAAAGACCCTTCGCATCTGACGATCCTTAATGTTTGCAGTTTCTTAAATGTGACCACAGAGTCAAAGTTGGTCAACTGAGACTATGTTTCAAATGTTTGGTTCAAGAAGGGCAGTTTGATAAATTATTTGTATATGTTATAATTAGAGGTGCAACTCGGGCGGCTTGGACAGTTAATCCTAGTCTAATTTTAGGTATATAATTTTCAATTCTAACTCTAACCCTAATCCTACCTCGGGTTGAGAAACTCAATCCTAGCACTGCCCGGGTTTAATTCGGGCGAGCTCGGATTGAATTAGGATTAGGGTTGAATTTGGGTTAATGATTTCGGGTTATTTTACGGATTCAATTTGGGTTGAGTTTGGGTAGAGTCCAAAATAGATTTGTTGTTCTAAACTTAATACATATATTACATAATATTCACTTAAATTAATAATCAATAACTTCAATCAATTTTTTAACGGTGCTAATGATAGAACAAAAATAAAAATGAACGAGAAAGACAAAAAACGATAGAACAAAAATAAAAAACTAATGCTAATGCTTATATATATAATTTTTTTTTAATTTGTCGGGTTCGGGTTGAACCCAGTGAACCCGAGGCCTTAACCCGAGTCCAATTCAAATTGAATTCAAGTTGAGATTTTTTGACCCAAGCCCAATCCAAACATTAAAATTTTTTATCCAAACCCTAATTTTTTCGGATTGTCCAACCCAAGTTGCACTCCCAATTATCATAACATAATGAATTTTTAACGGGTACTTTAACGGAAATCGGTGATAGGAGATATGTGTTAGACGAGTGCACAAAATTTAGGGAATTTAAATATAATATATTAAATGTTAGGAGGTATAAATAATTAATTGACAAATTTTAAAGGATGTGAGTGTAATTTATCCAACAACTTTTCTTCTCAAGTGTTTGGAAGTTTTTCAATCTAACGGTGGTCACCCCGTTGGCATAGGTTTTCGTCATCCAACGGCCCACAAATGCTCCACCGTCCCAGCGTATAAGACCACAAACCCTAAGCCTCCTTCCCCCTCTCTCTCGTTCTCCTGCTTCTGCAATTCACTGCCACACCCTTCCAAGCAGGAGAACTCTTCCAACTCTATTATCTCTCTCTCTCTCACACACACACACACGTACGGATCTCCCCAAATATAGTTATGCCTTCTCTTGCCGGGTACGAACATCTCTCCGAAAGCCCCAAAGANACACACACACACACGTACGGATCTCCCCAAATATAGTTATGCCTTCTCTTGCCGGGTACGAACATCTCTCCGAAAGCCCCAAAGACAAGAAGGAGAAGAAGAAGAAGATGAAGAGCGTCGAGACCCTGTTGCTCGACTCTTCAGTTGATAGGAAGACCAAGAAAGAGAAAAAATCAAAGGAGCCGAAAGCCAATTCGAAAGACTCGGAGTCTGATTCTGAAAATTCGGAACAGATTTGGTTGGAGAAGAAGAGTACTAAGAAGAAAGAGACGAAGCGCAAGGCGTTTGAAATTGATGATGACGAGGAAGGGAAGAGTGACACAAGCTCAGAGTTGGTTGAACCGATGAATCTGAAGGTCGAGGAGGAGAAGACGAAGACGAAGAAAAAGATGAAGTTGACCGAGGACGATGATGATGTTGAGGAAGAGGAGAATCCGAACGCCCTGTCGAAATTCAGGATTTCGAAGCCGTTAAAAGAGGCGTTGAAGTCTAAAGGGATTGAGGCTTTGTTTCCTATTCAAGCTATGACCTTTGATACCATTTTGGATGGTTCAGATTTGGTTGGTCGGGCACGTACCGGTCAGGTATGAGAAAATTTTCCATTTTTGTGTCTTTGTTTCAGCTTGTTAGCCTATCACTTGAATGGTTTGAAGTTCGTTAAGTTAGACTGGGTTTTTATTTCGCTTCTTAAACTCAGTGCTGTGCAAATACTTCATGATGCTAGAATGACAATTCTGAGTACTGAGAATGATATTGTGCAGTTTCTGGCCGATTATAGCAATTGTAAACTAGATGGGGTAGATTCTATTTTGCATGTGTTAGATAGTAAGATGATTTTTGAGCTTGGGTCTTTAAACTTTCGCTGGCCTATCAGTCATCCTCCTTAATTGAATACTGGCTATGCCCAAACGTGGGTGACATTCTGTTGTGTTGTTGTTATTGCTTTGGTGGGTTGGTTAAGATCAGGGCCAATTGGACTGGAGTAAAATAACTGCTCTGCATATTCTGAGTTTCTGATCCTCAAGTGCATGAGATAAGCTTATCCAGGATGAAGAAGTTGCTATAGGCTGCAATGATTTTTTTGGCATTCTAAAGTTGTGTATTAAAAGGTTATAAGATGGGCCAGCCTTAGAATGTACATGTAATTCAATAGGTCATGTAGCATTTGATATTTGCCAATTCCTCCAGATTTTTGTTGCTCTTCCTTTTAATGATAGTGTACTCAATACTAATTCCTTTTGGCATGCTTGCAATCATACAGGGGAAAACGTTGGCCTTTGTGTTACCCATATTGGAATCTTTGACAAATGGGCCTACGAAAGCATCACGAAAGACTGGGTATGGGAGAGCACCGAGTGTTCTTGTACTCTTACCAACTAGGGAATTGGCTACTCAGGTATTGGCCAAACCTTAGTGCTGGGAACTTTTATCTTTTAACAATATATTTTCCATGATATAAATGGCTTATTATTTGTGTTTTTTTCTTGATCTTTATTATAGGTGTTTGCTGACTTTGAAGTCTATGGTAGGGAACTGGGTCTGAGTTCATGTTGTTTATACGGGGGTGCTCCTTACCAATCTCAACAAATTCAATTGAAAAGGGGGGTTGATGTAGTAGTAGGAACACCTGGCCGGATTAAGGTAACCTTTTCTTTAATTAAATTTGAATCCTATTAGTTTTAAGAAGTGATTTTATAACATTTTCTGTGATATCACTTTTATGTATTGTTAAAGTGATGCCAACTTCCATGAAAATCTTGGTGTAGGATCACATCGAGAGAGGAAACATTGACTTCAGCTCATTAAAGTTCCGTGTCCTTGATGAAGCTGATGAAATGCTGAGGATGGGGTTCGTTGAAGATGTTGAACTTATTCTAGGTATGCAATTTATTTTAAACCGTGCCCTGGGTTGATTTTAATGGAGCTATTGGACCATATTACAGAGTTCTAATGGTGAAGGTGTATATATTTATCTGACACCATAGAACTGGTGTGATCTTGGATTTTTCTTTATGTAATGGAAAATGGTGTTACTAACTCTCCATTTTTGGCTTTTTGAAGGCAAGGTAAAGGATGCAAGCAAAGTTCAAACACTCCTCTTTAGTGCCACGTTGCCAGATTGGGTGAAACATGTTCGTTTCCTTACCGTTATGGCTATTTTTTTTTTTTTGATAAGAAATGAAACTTTTATTAATAAAAAAATTAGGTGTTACAAAACCAAATAAAAGTTTGAAGCCCTCTCTCTGTTTTGCATGGTCAGATTGCATCTAAGTTCCTCAAACCAGACAAGAAGACTGCAGACCTTGTNAAAAACAAATAAAAGTTTGAAGCCCTCTCTCTGTTTTGCATGGTCAGATTGCATCTAAGTTCCTCAAACCAGACAAGAAGACTGCAGACCTTGTTGGTAATGAGAAAATGAAGGCTAGTATTAATGTGAGGCATATTGTTCTTCCCTGCTCGGCTTCAGCCAGATCCCAGCTTATTCCTGATATCATTCGCTGTTATAGCAGGTTGGTGGATGATAATGATGTTTCCCTACTTATCTCGTGATAACATCACTTTTTGATTTCGATTTTTAGATATTGTTTACAAAGATGTTTATCTTCCATCGATGATTTTGATTCAGTGGAGGCCGCACTATTATTTTCACCGAGACAAAGGATTCTGCTTCTCAACTTGCTGGCTTATTGCCTGGGGCACGTGCCTTACATGGCGACATACAACAGTCTCAACGTGAGGTAAAAGGCAGATTCTACTGCTTTTTTCTTCATATGTTGCCTGTGAACTAGAAGGCCTGTAAAATATTTCTTAAATTAGTTTGTTTCTTGCAGGATTTTCTTTTTGTCTTTTGGTGTGCTGTATCAAAAGAAATAGACACTTTAAACTCATGTTTAAGTATAACCAAGCTGTTTTGGGCATTTATCTATAGCTGTTATAGGGGTTAACATTGTTTTGCAATTAAATTGCTTCTTTTGAAAAATGCATTTATCTATTCTTTGGAAGATTTGGAAAAATACATTTATCACTAAATATGTCTCGTCATGTCTTCTGCTTGCCCCAACATCATGAACGATCTTCAGTAGTAAGAGGTTGCAAATGGGTTATTCTTCGAGTACAAATTTCTGTTTCGAGGTTTTTGTAATGTTGAATGCATGCAGGAGTATGTTGTTCATACTTCACTAAAGTTCCCTTTTGTAGCCAACCTTGCTTCTTATTGCCTATTGAACGGATTTTTNCGCAAATGAGTTATTCTTCGAGTACAAATTTCTGTTTCGAGGTTTTTGTAATGTTGAATGCATGCAGGAGTATGTTGTTCACACTTCACTAAAGTTCCCTTTTGTAGCCAACCTTGCTTCTTATTGCCTATTGAACGGATTTTTCACTCTCTCCTGTGAATATCAAACTTGATATCTCATATGACCTTTTTAATTGATGGATCAAAATGTGTTGCAACTCTTCTAGGTCACACTTTCTGGGTTCAGATCAGGGAAGTTCCTGACATTAGTGGCCACAAATGTAGCTGCACGGGGATTGGACATTAACGACGTCCAGTTGATAATCCAGGTCTGTCTTTTATATCATATTTAGATTATGACTATTTGGTTTCGAGTTGTATGAATCTAAGCTAAATATATCTGCATTGGTGTTTATGCTTTAGTGTGAACCACCACGGGACGTCGAAGCATATATTCATCGATCAGGGCGGACTGGGAGAGCAGGTAAATTTCTGATATTAGGTTTTTCATTGATCCTGATGTTTGAATGTTTGGGGTATTGGAGTTGAAGTGTATTATTTTTCCTCCAGGGAATACGGGTGTTGCTGTAATGCTTTATGATCCAAGGAAATCAAATTTTTCTAAGATAGAAAGAGAATCTGGCGTGAAATTTGAGCATATATCTGCTCCTCAGCCGGCCGATATTGCTAAAGCAGCTGGTGCAGAGGCAGCAGAAACAATCACCCAAATCTCTGATAGGTAACTTCCTATTTGTGTACTTTTCCGAACAAAATTCTTGCTATTTGTGTTATTTGAATAAATGCTTTAGCTTTTGTCAATCCATATATTCTTATAAATATTATAAATTTTGTAGTGTTATTCCGTCCTTTAAAGCTGTTGCTGAGGAGCTACTGAATACCTCCGGTCTATCACCAGTGGAACTGCTTGCAAAGGCACTTGCCAAGGCTGCTGTGAGTTCTTCTGTTTCCTTTTCCCATTTAAATCTTGAAGTTTAATTAATAGTTGCTGACAAATATTGGGCCTACTATTTGTTTGTGCAGGGATATACCGAGATCAACAGTAGGTCACTCCTCACTTCCATGGAGAACTATGTCACAGTACTTCTTGAGGCTGGAAGACCCATCTACACACCATCGTGAGCACCTGAAACCTATTCGTTCACTTTTTATACATGTGTACTACACGTGTTATAATATATCATTGGGGAACACTAGTCATGCGGCATTTTGTTGAACATGGTTTAGTAAAGAGTTCACTGCTTTTAGTTTTCTAGTGCTGATAATCTTTGTCAGTGGATCCATCCGTTGGTGCTTCCAGCATAAGAGAGGTAAAGAGTTGTTGCCTCATTTATTAGGCTCAAAAGCAAGTTGTTGAGTGATATTTAGTTGCTCGGTCCAATTGTGAATGTCTCATGCCGTGTATTGGGATGTGCAACATTTAGTACTGGCTACCACCATTGCTGGTCTGGACTTTGCATATAAAACTACTATTGGTGGGTGATATTGATAATCTGCACACTGTTTTCTTCCTTGATAAATCAAGAGGAAGTTGGTTTAGCACTCTTGATCATCTTATGACTTATTCAAATAAAAAAGATGAGATTCTGATGGTTAATGCTATGGGCCCTGAATTGTTCTGTGTCTGACACTTTTTTTTCTCTTGACGTCATGATATTTCAGCTTTGCTTATGGTGTCTTGAGGAGGTTTTTACCTGAAGAGAAAGTCGAGTCAATTAAGGGCCTTGCTCTGACTGCTGACGGAAAGGGGGCCGTGTTTGATGTGTCTGATGAGGATTTGGACACATTCCTTGCTGGTATGTTCTTTATTGTTTTCCTGCATAACTAAGTTTTTGAATGGGGGCATGCCTTGCTGTAGAGAGGATCATTGTAGCCGGCAAGCATGTCTCCAGTTTAGCATTACCGTCATCTGATATATTTGCCCGCAAAATTTCATGCTCTGAATAGTTCCGAACAATGTTTAACAACCAGGAGTTGTATTGCTGCCATTGTTTTAAGTTAGTTAGCGAGAAATACTGCTTTATCTCATTGGCATATAGCTCTAATAAGATTTTGTTTCGATTTCCCATCTTCTGGGGTTGCAGGCCAGGAAAATGCTGCTGGTGTGAGCTTAGAGGTGGTGAAATCATTGCCACGCTTGCAAGAGAGAGACCAGTCAAGAGGGGGAAGATTTGGAGGTGGTGGTCGTGGTGGTTTTTCTGATAGGAGAGGTGGCAGTGGTGGTAGGTTCTCTGGAGGAAGAGGTGGGAGAGGAGGTTTTTCTGACCGACGAAGTGATAGATTTTCCAAAGGTCCTACTGGAGGGAGAGGACGTGGCAACAACCACAACAAATGGTGAAGAGCTCTGAAACTGTTACGTAATGTACAGTAATCAACGGAGCTTTGAGAGGCCTAACAATTTTGTGGTAACGAAGAACATGTTTGGTTTTACTTAGAAAACTATAAGGTTAGGTTTGCCAATTATAGGTGATTTTTCCTTCTTCTGTTCTATTGAATTGTTTTATCTTTTTGTCTGATTGTATGGGGGGTTTTTCTATGCACCATATATTGGTTTTTCAGATCGCTGAGGAAAACTAAACAAAGAGGGTAATTGTAGTATGAGTTCTTCATTAGCAGCTTACTTGTGCTCTCACTCCTTTGTTTGTGTTCATCTTTTTTGAATTTTTTGGGCCAGTCACATGTCATTTGGATTGGTNCTGATATTTAGTTGCTCGGTCCAATTGTGAATGTCTCATGCCGTGTATTGGGATGTGCAACATTTAGCACTGGCTACCACCATTGCTGGTCTGGACTTTGCATATAAAACTACTATTGGTGGGTGATATTGATAATCTGCACACTGTATTCTTCCTTGATAAAGCAAGAGGCCGTTGGTTTAGCACTCCTGATCATCTTATGACTTATTCAAATAAAAAAGATGAGATTCTGATGGTTAATGCTATGGGCCCTGAATTGTTCTGTGTCTGACACTTTTTTTTCTCTTGACGTCATGATATTTCAGCTTTGCTTATGGTGTCTTGAGGAGGTTTTTACCTGAAGAGAAAGTCGAGTCAATTAAGGGCCTTGCTCTGACTGCTGACGGAAAGGGGGCCGTGTTTGATNAAGACATTGAGTTAATAATTTCTGAATTTTTTTCATCCCAATTATGCTGCTGTGATGCAAATTGTTCTCTGGTAGCTGTTACTCCTTGACACCAGCAGTAGCTGCCATGCCAGGCCACTAGTACTAGACGCTGATGTTGAAGGTGAAATCTANGTGATATTTAGTTGCTCGGTCCAATTGTGAATGTCTCATGCCGTGTATTGGGATGTGCAACATTTAGTACTGGCTACCACCATTGCTGGTCTGGACTTTGCATATAAAACTACTATTGGTGGGTGATATTGATAATCTGCACACTGTTTTCTTCCTTGATAAATCAAGAGGAAGTTGGTTTAGCACTCTTGATCATCTTATGACTTATTCAAATAAAAAAGATGAGATTCTGATGGTTAATGCTATNGGTGAATCGATTGCAAAACTAAATGCACATGTTGGACTAATGACTATCCTTCTCTAATTGGATTTGAGAGTTCGAGAGAAAAGCAGTGAAAGGTATTTTGTATTTTGAAAAATTTTAAGATTTTTATTTTGCATATTTAAAGATTAAATTTTTTATATTGCACTCTCAATGCATTAAAAGTGTTATAATGCGACTTTTGTTTTCGGTTAGTTGTGTTGGTTTTTGACTGAAAAAAATAATGGAAGCTAACAGAAGAGTCAAATTGTAACACTTTTGATATATTGAGAGTGAAATGTAAGAAATTTAATCTTTGAGAATATAAAGTGATAATTTTGAAGTACTTAAAGCTAGGGGTGTAGTGGTATTACGTGAGACGAACTACTTGGATTTGGTTCGGATAGAACTTGATTTGAGTTTGATTCGTGCTCTAAATGAACTGAATTTGAATAATTCTTTTTAGAAGGTTTGACTTATTTTTTAAATAAATTGAGTTTAAACAATTTTTGAGATTTATTTAAAAAGATGGGCTTCGTTGGCCAGATTTAAACACGTAAAACTCGGCCCAATTACGGCCCAACTTAAAGCCCAAAAAAAAAAACTGATTATGTACGTACGCCACAAGCTATGCACCACTCTGCATCCTGCAAGTTTACGAAACTTGTCAAACAAGATTTCCAGAAACGTCCGCAGGGATCACAGCGTTATCCTCTATTCACCAATCAAGCGGCCCACACAAAGTTCTCATTTCTTCCCCTCTTCCATATTCTCTCTCTTCCCTTGTTTATATCTGCCGAAAAAGTTGTCATTGGGGGGAAAACTAAATCTTTGAATGATTTTTTGTGATACCCATTTTGAGTTCTGAATGATTATTGAATATTGCACAACATTATGGGATGGTATAGAAGATCGAAGTTTGCTTTCGATGTGCTTCGAAATTTCACTTCGAAGATTGGACCCAGAAATCCGAATGTGCCCACAAATCCAATTCGAGAGTCTGTTCAAGAAGCCAACCGGTACTTTTCTACGATACCCTATTTGAATCAATCTAGGGTTTCTGGGTTTTCTTCTTATTCTTCACCGATTTCTAGGAACTTGGGTTTTCAATTAGGACTCAAGCAGAATCAATATACCCCTTTTCTTCATGGTGCAAAGAGATATTACTACGTAGATCGAAACCAGGTTCGCCATTTTCGGCCACGAGGGCCTCGAAGATGGTTCAAGAATCCAAAGGTTGTGTTGATTGTGACTTTGGTGGGTTCAGGGATTTTGATCACTGTATACTTTGGGCATTTGGAGGCTGTCCCATATTCTAAACGAAAGCATTTCGTGATTCTGTCCCCAAGTCTAGAATTACAGCTGGGAGAGAGACAATTTGATCAAATGAAAGGGACATTCAAAGGAAAAATACTTCCGGCGATTCACCCAGACAGTGTGAGGGTTAGATTGATATCAAAAGATATAATTGAATCTTTACAAAGAGGGTTGAGGAAAGAGCAGGTGGGGAATAATCATGTGTATGCATTGGAGAGCGTTGATCCTCATGAGACCAGTGGGGAAGAGACTTTGATGGCTTTGAGTGAGAATTCTGAGGGGAAGTGGCATAAAGAAGATGAGATTCTTGATGATAAGTGGGTTCAACAGAGTAGGAAAAAGGGTATGGAGGAGGGGTCACGGCCTGTGACGAGGCATTTGGAGGGGTTGAATTGGGAGGTCTTGGTGGTGAATGAGCCTGTTGTTAATGCTTTTTGCTTACCGGGTGGGAAAATTGTTGTGTTTACTGGGTTGCTTAAACATTTCAAGTCTGATGCAGAGATTGCGACCATAATTGGGCATGAAGTATGTTTCGTCTCTTCTCATTTTATAGGATTGGTGCTTAAAGTTTGATCACTTACTAATCTGAATTTTGTGTGGTTGGCACCTTTGTTTATTTTATTTTGATTAATAGGTTGGGCATGCTGTGGCTCGACACGCAGCTGAAGGGATTACAAAGAACCTGTGGTTTGCTATCATTCAAATTATCTTATATCAGTTTGTTATGCCTGATATTGCCAACACAATGTCAACCCTATTCCTAAGGCTTCCTTTCTCGCGGAGGTATGCTGTCCACTATGGTTTTTTGCTTTATCTATTTGCCATGTATTTTTCGATCTAGCAATAGTGGACAGTTGGTGAATGCTAGTGCTAATTGTTTCTACTTGACTATGAAGTCTCCAGTGTTCTTGAGTTTCATTTTTTGTCACGTCTTCATGTGATTCTTTACTTATTGTTTGATGCCATCTTGGTCTAAGTTTGTCTTTGATTCATGCCTGGCGAATTGATGCATCCTCTATGTTTATGTTTGTGACCTAGTTACACATTGAAGGAACTGATGATTAGCTTAAGTAATGTTTCGCAGTGATTTGTCCATTAACAAATAAAGCATGTCGAGTATGTGTCCAGGAGGATTAGNGTGACCTAGTTACACATTGAAGGAACTGATGATTAGCTTAAGTAATGTTTTGCAGTGATTTGTCCATTAACAAATAAAGCATGTCGAGTATGTGTCCAGGAGGATTAGCCAGTTCCTTTGAGTGATTGGTTTACCTGCTAGTTAGAAAAAAAGAAAAAGAAAAAGAAAGAAAAGATCAGGTTTAGTAATCCAAATAACATATTTTTTGTAGATTGTTTGATGTAAAAGCAAGCAGGATCTCCCTAAGAGCATTCAAGTGGCCTAGATTCATCAAACGTCTTTCTAAGAGGATCTGCACTTATAACTAGTTTGATTGCCTGCTCGAAATGAACCTNTAATCCAAATAACATATTTTTTGTAGATTGTTTGATGTAAAAGCAAGCAGGATCTCCATAAGAGCATTCAAGTGGCCTAGATTCATCAAACTTCTTTCTAAGAGGATCTGCACTTATAACTAGTTTGATTGCCTGCTCGAAATGAACCTAGTTGATGAGGACGCATACTCTTGTATTGCTTAATTTGTTAACTTGAATATGAGGTGTCTGGCTAGCTGACCCCAAATAATTGGGATTATACTATGTTGAGTGATTGAAAATATTTACTTGAGCACATAATGGACTGCTGCAGGGGTGCCAGCGTCTATGAGGATGTTTACCTGTGCAATTATTGCTAAATGAGGGATATTTTTGTCACACATATAGGAGGGATACAGAGGGCACTAGTGTCATTAGAGCCGACAGAATAGGCATAATAGGAGTTGTTCCTGTTATATAGTTGCACCTATCATTTAGGGTCGCTAAAAAAACCTTTTTGTCTGCACACAAATGTGGGGCATTGGACTCCGAAAACACCAGGATCAGGGGCATGCAGAGATGGCTGCTACACAAATTCATATGTGGTTTTTGTTTGCTTGCTCTGGATATCCTGCCATACTGGTTTAATACACATATTTTTTTTGGGGAAGGGAGGGGATGAGTGGGTAGGAGTGGGGAGAAGGGGTGAGCGTCAGCCACATTAAGGCATAGTAAGAAAACCATCTTTAGAGGTTATAATCCCAGATTTTTGGATGTATGAGTTATAGAGCTCTCCAAGTGTATTCTTTGATACAGTTGCTGCTGCTGTTATTGTTATTGTCCTAGCTTTCTCCATTTCCTTCAGCCTCAGACATCATTGCTACTTGACACCTAGTATACCTGTGCCGTCAAAGATGTGTCAGAGACTGATGCCACGGAGTTTACATATCACTTGTTGATAAAACCTATTTTGGTAGACAATGAGATTCTTAGGCACTCATTTCTTATTACTTTAAATATCTTATAATTATTTTTGTCCTCATGTATCATTTAGTCTAGTGATTTCATTTACCTCTCTCGAGTACAAATGCTCTGGCGTTTTTGCGGCACCATGTTTCCACTCTCCCCTGTTGCCTTGAGGGTTTTTCCCCGGAAGTGTAGGCATGTGTAAATGCAGTTGAAACATACCCATTGATAAATGGGCAGAAAGTTTCCATCAATTTTATGGTTGTTGCAGATAAGGTTTTAAATTGTTTTTATGCTCCTATCATGGTTGACAGGGTTGTGAGTCTGATGGTCGCCTTTAGAGGCAAATGGGAGTGCACACCTTGGAATGTGTCTATGATTTGGCAAATATCAATGCGGGCTATTAACTAAATTTGGAACACAACATTCCTATATGTCTTCACTTAGGTAGTAACTCCTAATCAAACCGACCAATGTTTGCCAGTTTCATCATTGACATCTTTTGAGTACAAATTCTATGGTGTCTTTGCACCACAATATTTCTATCCTCCTTTGTATCCCTATGCGGCATCATCAATAATGTCAGCCTGCAGAAATGCAGGAGGTTAAATTCTGATGAGAATAACATTATGGTAAGGGGTTAAACACAGGATGCTTTTGAATGATGCCATGTGAAACTCTTGACGTCGAAGAACCAGCGGATGAGTTGTGGTTTCTAAACGTGTTTTCAGATATCAGTGGAGCCAATCTAAATCTGGGCATTGAAGTTGTCTTTATGACTGAATGACAGCTATAGGTGCNAATGATGCCATGTGAAACTCTTGACGTCGAAGAGCCAGCGGATGAGTTGTGGTTTCTAAACGTGTTTTCAGATATCAGTGGATCCAATCTAAATCTGGGCATTGAAGTTGTCTTTATGACTGAATGACAGCTATAGGTGCAACAAGTGTCTGGGTCTATAACTTCTAAAGTGTAAAAGTAGAATAATTGGGTTAAATGGTAGCTGAATTTTTTTTGCAGGGCTATGAAGTACACAATTGTTTGAGAAGCATAGTTGGGGGTCCTGAAGATCAAAAGCTCGAACTAATAAATGAAGTTTAACCACATGGTGAATCTATTAGTTCCTTGAGGAGCAGGATGTTATTTTGAAATTGTGATGCAGTAGCCTTCCACAATGCTGTGGGTTTGCCAGTTTGGGTTTTCTTAAGTTTTGATAGAAAGTAGTTTTGTCTACTCAAGATAAAGTGGTGACACAGTTTTGTCGTTTTCTTGATTTTTGTTGCCTTGATTAATCTGATCATAGCCAGTTTGCCAGCCATGTTAATGGAAGTGGGAAACACGTATCGCGTATGTGTATTTGTTGCCTTCCAAGTGCTCATCTTCTGAAACTCTTTTTTCCCATTAGGATGGAGATGGAGGCAGACTACATTGGCCTGCTGTTGATGGCTTCTGCAGGATATGACCCTCGAGTGGCACCTAAGGTTTATGAAAAGCTGGGGAAAATCACAGGTGAAACGGCTTTGAGAGATTATCTTTCTACCCATCCCTCGGGGAAGAAGAGAGCTCAATTGCTGGCTCGGGCACAAGTCATGGAAGAAGCACTCGCCATATATAGGGAGACGAGAGCAGGCAGAGGAGTTGAGGGTTTTCTATAGGCAAACGCATATGCTATCGAGTAGGAATCAGATTTTTGGATTGTCGCTGGCCTAATGATTGTTTCTTCCCCCTTTAATGTGTTGCTGTGGGATTATTTGTTTATTTGCATTTTCCACTATATGTGATGAAAGAGGAGTCATGGGTGACTTTTTTTTTTTTTTTGGTTCAATAGTAAAAGGTGTTCAGACCAGTTTACATATACCTTGATTAATTTTCACCTCAATTTGATCAAAAACAAGTCATTCACGCAACGATTGGGATCACTTGACCCAAGAAATTGTCGAGGTTTGGAAAAATCAATCATATCTTATTTATTATTCAACAAAAGTATTTTATTTTAGCTCGTGGNTAGGTTCAATAGTAAAAGGCGTTCAGTTTACATATACCTTGATTAATTTTCACCTCAATTTGATCAAAAATAAGTCATTCATGCAACGATTGGGATCACTTGACCCAAGAAATTGTCGAGGTTTGAAAAAATCAATCATATCTTATTTATTATTCAACAAAAGTATTTTATTTTAGCTCGTGGGATACAACAGTTATGTTGATAATGAAGTTAAAACTTTTATAATCAACATGATTGCACCAATATCAGCAAGCTAACTGTCATTAGTGATGGTGGTTGTTGACATCTAGTCCTCCTTGTATGTGATGTGATAACAAATTTGTGATGTGTATGTTTAGTTGTTAAGCCATTTTGACATATTTAATGTCAAACTCGATTTAAGAACTTCTATATAAATATTTGATGAATTTTATTTTTATAATTAAAATGACATCGTGTTTTTGGTATTTGATAAAAACAATGCGCTGTTTTGATTAAGACCACCTCCATTACCGTAGACAAGGTTGGCTGNTTTTGGTATTTGATAAAACAATGCGCTGTTTTGATTAAGACCACCTCCATTACCGTAGACAAGGTTGGCTGGTTTTCCGATTAATCGTGAAATCTTCGGCCGGTGGACGGAGAGGGCAACCACCCTTAGAAACTCCCCGACTCTGTGTGTGTGCTTGCCTCTTTCTTAAATTAATGATACTTTTACTTCAAAATTTCATTTCAATATATCTCTTGCCTTCTCTTAATAACTTCCAATGGAATGAAAAATGATTGAAACACAACGACTGTATGTCAGAAACACGATCTTACGCTTACTACAAAACTGCAAGAACATGAGAGAGCTCAAACAAATTCATTCCCAAATCATAACATCCCCAGGCATATCCAAACCTGACCACTATTTCCTAATCTCCCGTTTCATTTTTTTCTGCACAGTTTCTGAGTCGGGATGTGTCAGCTACGCGACCCAACTTTTTCGACTCATAGAAAACCCAAATCTCTTTGTATACAACGCTATGATCAGAGCTTACGCAACTAAAACCAATGAGAAAAGTGGACCCAGTTCGTGTCGGTCTTTAATTCTGTACAAGCAAATGTTATTTGATCATGTATTTCCTGATTGCATTACATTCCCATTTCTTTTGAAGGAATGTGTGAGGAGGGGTGATGGTTTTGCAGGTCGAAGCATTCATGCCCATGTTTTAAAATTGGGGTTTCATAGTGATGTTTTTGTGCAAAATTCATTGGTTAGTTTGTATTCAGAATGTGGGTTTTTGAATATTGCGCTGAGGGTATTTGATGAGATGTCTAATAGGGACGTTGTTTCTTGGAATTCGATAATTATCGGCTGTTTGAGAAGCGGTGAGCTTGACTTGGCTTTGGATTTATTTAGGAGGATGAAGGGGAGGAGGAATATTATTACTTGGAATTCGATTATAACGGGGTTTGTTCAAGGAGGGCGGCCAAGGGAGGCCATAGAACTTTTCCATGAAATGCAGATTTGGGGTGAGGACATGGTTAGTCCGGATAGGATTACTGTTGCTAGTGTTCTTTCAGCTTGTGCTGCTGTGGGTGCGATTAATTATGGGAAATGGATGCATAGTTACTTGAACAGAAGTGGATTGGAGTGCGATATGGTTATTGGGACAGCATTGGTGGACATGTATGGGAAATGTGGATGCGTGGAGAGAGCACTGGAGGTTTTCAGAGGGATGCCTAAGAAGGATGTATTGGCCTGGACAGCTATGATTTCAGTGTTTGCTCTTCATGGGTATGGCAACGAGACTTTTGATCTATTTGCAGAGATGGAAGCAGCTGGGTTGAGGCCTAACCCTGTGACTTTTGTTGGGCTGTTGTCAGCCTGTGCTCATGCTGGCCTAGTAGAAAAAGGTCGCTGGTGCTTTGACATGATGAAAAGTGTTTACTTAATTGAGCCGCAAGTCCAACATTATGCCTGCATGATTGTTGTTCTAAGTCGAGCTGGACACTTTCATGAGGCAGAAGGGCTTATTAGAAGTATGCCTATGGAGCCTGATGTGTTTGTTTGGGGTGCCCTGCTTGGAGGCTGTCAAATGCATGGTAATGTAGACTTAGGAGAGAAGGTTGCTTGGCATCTGATTGATTTGGAACCTTCAACTCATGCTTTCTATGTCAATTTGTGTGATATATATGCCAAAGTTGGTAAGTTTGATGATATGAAGAAAGTTAGAGCTTTTATGAATGAGAAGGGGATCAAGAAGGCAGTTCCAGGCTGCGGGATGATTGAAGTTGATGGAATTGTCCACGAATTCTCGGTGAGAGGATCAGCTGAAGTTGAAATGGAGGGAATACATTGCGTATTAAATTGGTTAAGTAATGAGATGAAGATGGAAGGGGGTATGATTGATTCTATTGAAGAATTAGTGGAGACAGAGATCTGATGATGACATAGAGGTACGTACCCGGGTTCTAAGCAATATTATTGTGGTTTCCTACTACAACTTATGCCCCTTAACCCTGCCAATGCATCAGGTTGGTTCGGCATTATATGTATGCCCATAGGTAATTGTATTGATACTGTGTTCACATACAAACGGAAGTTTGTGAAAGATGTTGGGCCAAGCATCTTTTACTTGTAAATAATATTGTATGAAGCCATACATTGATTTAATTTGTTTCTCATTCTTTTTCCTATTGGTTTGCCTGTTCCGGCAGTGGGGTTGATGCATCTGATAGGGACTTGCACCTATTAATTGCAAAGCACTAACATCTGGTACGTTAGTCCAGGAGAATGTGCAAAACAAATCATATGCCGGATCAATTTCTCTTAGAATCCAGAACATGACAGATAAGCTTTTAAATTCATCAAAATATAGAAAAGGTCACTTTGGCATACAAAGTCTTCCCAGGTGAACCCATAAAAAAATGTATCCATCCACTATTAGTTTTCTATACTTTCCTTTGTGTTCACACATCACTTTTTAAATTCCAGAAAATCTAATCAAATCAACTAAGTTTTAAAAAACATCTGTTGAAGCTAACATCAACGCCGCCACGCTGAATTTTTTTTTACAGATAATCTCAACAGAAAAATCTCAAAAGAAGATACGATCCTTTTGTATAAAAGCAAATATAAACGAAGGTTATCGAACATGTCAATGTTACAACCATATCAGTGAAGTTACTATTTATATGATTGATAATACCTCGGATAGTTTTCAGTTGTATCCTCCAATCTGATCCTCCCAACAATATTGACCATGATGAGCACTAGCTTTTTCCTCGTTTTCACCTTTTTCTTCCTTCTCATGGGGTTTTTCCTTAAACCGTATTTTGTTTTGGCACTGGTTGGTGTCTTTTTTTCCTCCCTGATAGGATTGGTAGCTATAATATTAGTCACTTACATCAAAGAATTTATCTTGGAGGATCGTCGGCCACCAGTGGCAGGGCCTAGACTGAATCAACTGATTCACTTCAACCGACTTTTTGATTACCTAACATCCCTTGCTCAGAAGCACAGTACTTTCCGGTTGATCTCACCTTTACACAATGATGTCTATACTGCTGACCCAGTTAATGTTGAATATATGCTTAAAACAAATTTCTCCAATTATGGCAAGGTAACATAACTTCCATGGCTGTTTCCGAATTTTGGTTTTCCGATTATTTGACTGTGGTCTATCCTTCAGGGGGAGTATCATTGTGGGATAATGAGAGATCTTTTTGGTGACGGGATTTTCTCTGTGGATGGGGATAAATGGCGCCACCAAAGGAAGCTTGCAAGCTTTGAGTTCTCGACAAAGGTTTTGAGAGATTTCAGTACTGCTGTGTTTCGAACTAATGCTGCTAAATTGGCTTCAAAGGTTTCTGTAGCCGCATTGGCTAAGCAAACTTTGAATTTGCAGGTAATCTGGTTAAAATAATATCTTTGGTTATCAATATTTACCTAAGTCTTTCACCCACTTATTTCAAAACTTCAAGCCGTGGAAAAACAGGCAAAACCCAACAACATATCATCATAGAAGTTGAACTTGCATATCTGTTTGTAGCTGCAACTCTGAGCTCTGTTCTTGCCCTCATTCTTTCCCCTAAGCAAGAAAATAATGAAATTGGCCTTCAAAAGATCTCTCTATTGAGAAGAATGAAGTAATTTTTATTTTCATTTGATTCACAGCCACCGTAGCATCTACTACTTCTTGAGTTAACATGGAGACCCTTTAATTTTTGGGCAGGATTTATTGATGAAATCAACTTTAGATTCCATTTTCAAGGTTGGTTTTGGGGTTGAACTTAATACCCTATCTGGTTCAGATGAATGGAGCAATCAATTCATGAAAGCCTTCGATGATTCCAATGGTATCATATTTCGGCGCTATGTCGATCAATTCTGGAGAATAAAAAGAGTCCTCAATATTGGCTTGGAAGCGACTCTGAAGAAGAACATCAAAGTCATTGACCGTTTTGTTTATGATTTGATCCAGCGAAAGAGGGAGCAGATGAAAAGGGGAAGGCTTGATGTAAGCAATGTTTATTTTGATCACAACTGATTGTTTCCTTGTCTTGGTCTGTACTAATTGGTTTTTTCTTTTCCCTTGCAAGTAGGGAGGTAAGGAAGATATATTGTCAAGGTTCCTTGTGGAGAGTGAGAAAGATTCAGAAAACATGAATGCTAAATATTTGAGAGATATAACTCTCAGTTTCATCATTGCTGGCAAGGACACATCTGCGAATACCCTCACTTGGTTCTTCTACATGCTGTGTAGACATCCTTTGGTTCAAGAAAAGGTTGCACAAGAAGTGAGAGAAGCAACTGAAGCTGAGGATAACTTGTCTACTGATATTTTTGCTAATAGGCTAACTGAAGCTGCCCTGGACAAAATGCAATATCTTCATGCAGCTCTAACTGAAACTCTCAGACTCTATCCTGCTGTTCCAGCGGTAATGTTTTTTTCACATCATCACTGTTTGTGTTTTACCGCCACTAGTTCTTCGTCCAACCTCCCATGCAACCCCTCCCCCTTTCTTTCTATAGCTCTAAAGTTGATCACCCAAAAACTTGCCTCTCCCCTCTCCATAGCTCTTAAGTTCCCAAAAACTTTAGAGTGGTAAATCCATTGAAAATCCTCATGGTTTCTCTTACTTGTAAATGTACTCACTAAGATTTACATTTTCATTTAGCTCATTATTTTCTTTTGTTCATGGAAGAAGCTACTAAAAATGGTAAACTGTTCTAAGGTTTTGTATCCTGTTGTATGCTTTTATTTTTAAATTTTATATAGAACAAGTATGACTCAGAAGTAGAATTGTCTTGGGTGTTCTAACTGTAAACATAGGATGGAAAGAGTTCCGAACAAGATGATGTTCTTCCTGATGGTTTCAAAATAAAGAAAGGTGACGGCGTGATCTACATGGCCTATGCTATGGGAAGGATGACATTCATCTGGGGTGAGGATGCTGAGGAATTCCGCCCTGAAAGATGGCTTGATAAAGGTGTTTTCCGACCTGAAAGTCCTTATAAATTCACAGCATTTCAGGTCAGTAACTGTTCTTCCCCAAGATCTCTCATCCTTTTGGCAACAACATTACAATTTTTCTTGGTTTAAGTTATTTCTTTTTCTTGCCAGGGGGGGCCTCGGATATGCTTAGGAAAGGAGTTTGCCTATAGGCAAATGAAGATTTTAGCTGCTGTTCTCATTTTCTTCTTCAAATTCAAACTTGTGGATGAGGATTATGAAGCTACTTATCGAACCATGTTCACACTCCACATGGATAAAGGGCTTCCTCTGTATGCATTTCCAAGAATGTAATTAGAAAAAGTCCCAAGTGTTTGTCAATAATTGTTTCATTTCTTTGAAGCTACTTATTGAACCATCTTCACCCTTCATATGGATAAGGGGTTGGCTTATATATGCATTTCCTCACTTGTAATTAAAAACTTCACTAGTGTGTGTTAATAGTTGCTTCATTGAGGTTCATTGTATGTATGTAAATCGTATCGGGCGTGACAAGTTTGTATAAAAAAAATATTTTACTCATATTCAATTTGTTTATTATTTAGTGTCATAATGGGTTCTGTTGTATATAATTGGTATATACACGAATCGTGTCATGTATTTTTTTAATTTCACTCATACATGATTTATTTATTAATCGTGTCGTGTCGTGTCGGATTCACTTGTTTATGAAACAATTGACTTAAGAAAGATTTAGACCCTCTAATTTTATATCGTGTTAACAAGTTGTATCATATTTTAATACCCCTAATTTTCTGTCGGTCCAGGTTAAAAGCAGGACAAAATTAAAGTAACGGCACAGCTCGGTTCAACAAATGTATCCGACCAACTTAGACGTCGGGTCCTCTTGTGCACCAAAAAATAGAGGACACCACCCCGGCATGTGAAACTCAACATTCGCCTGCACACAAGAGTAAGGAAAACGCCCAAGGGGTGCTCCAATGGCCCAGCAGCCCACTGGGCAAATTGGCAGGCCGGGCTGTCATGAATGGGCCTTAAGTAGCCCGTTAGCCCAACAGGCAATGGCTTGGGATTCAAATTTTGGGGCTAGTGGCCCAAATGACGGCCCAATGATTGGCCCGACAGTGTGAAAGTTCTGTGTGTTTTGTTTTTTTAATAAATGAAAATTGTACCTCTATATATTTCAAAGATTTTTTTTTTGAAAAAGCCCATTATGTTCCATTTAGAGGACATAAAGCGGGCCCTGAATTTTGGTCTGCTATACACCCATCGGAAATATTTTACTCTTACCTTTGGTTAAATTACCAAAATACTCAGTGTTTCCATGTATGTAACAGGTAGAATCTTGCTTTGCATGGGTAGTATTGGAATCAAAATTTTGAGTGTGGATTCAACTCCTCCTTAATATTAGCATAAACAGAAGGATATCTGAAGTCAAAGTCTATGGATAAGATTACATTATTCTCAACACACCCACTAAGGCCTTCCATGGATGCTCTCTATAATCCCATCATATCTACAGTAACAGTAGCTGTGATCATAGTAATATGTTCAGTCAAGATTATAACCAGAAGATCACCGGAAAAGAGGAGATACCCTCCGGTAGCCGGGACGGTCTTCAATCAACTACTCAACTTCCACAGGCTGCTCCACTACATGACTGAATTGGCATGCAAACACAAGACTTACAGATTGCTTACTCTGTTCTGGACAGAGGTCTATACCGCTGACCCTGCCAATGTTGAATATGTTCTTAAGACAAATTTTGCAAACTATGGCAAGGTAATAGTAATACTACACCTTTCTCTTTCTTACTAATAGAGTTAATTACTAAATCATGCCTAGGGAAAAAAAAATGCAAGAACTTAATGTTTTTTGGCTGTCCAGAAATAGAAGAACAAGATCTAAATTCAGAAATCAAGATAAGAAACTGTAAGAGTACATACAATGGTCAGAAATTCAGTAACAAATCAAGTCTTAGGCCTATTTGAGCTCTTGTGCATAACTTCTGATGCCTCAACAGAAGCTTAAAAGAAACAAAAAATTGATGATATATGGTGTTTTACTTTTAAGTTTAACCTGTATTTGGTTGGAAGAAAACAAAATACATAGATTCATATATTTTCCAACCTCAACATATACTGATATGCACCCCTCTTACTGTAAATCACAATAGGAAGCTGTGATCTCACCGTATGGTTGAGCCTCAAGCTTTACTCTTCTGAATTCCCACCATGATATCTTGCAGGGTCGGTTNAAGTTTAACCTGTATTTGGTTGAAAGAAAACAAAATACATAGATTCATATATTTTCCAACCTCAACATATACTGATATGCACCCCTCTTACTGTAAATCGCAATAGGCTGTGATCTCACCGTATGTTTGAGCCTCAAGCTTTACTCTTCTGAATTCCCACCATGATATCTTGCAGGGTCGGTTCCACCACAACGTCCTGATGGATCTTCTAGGGGACGGTATCTTCACTGTTGATGGCAAAAACTGGCAACAGCAGAGGAAGACATTAAGTTACGAATTCTCCACCAGAATGCTGAGAGACTTCAGTAGTACAATCTTTAGAACAAAGGCAGCAAAACTTGCACAGATAGTATCTGAATCTGCAAGCTCAAATCAGATCATAGAAATCCAAGTCTGTTTTTGTCCACCAGCCCCCCTCCCCCCTTTCCCTCTTCTTTCTTTTAAATAGGCTGGAAATGCAATTAAGATTCAACATAACAAGAAAAAGTATAAGTAAACCCATTGCCTTTCACATTCAATTGCAGGATTTATTTATGAAATCAACTTTGGACTCAGTAATCAAGGTTGTACTTGGAATTGAAATAGATAGTATGTGCGGGACAAATGAAGAAGGCACCCTATTCTCCAATGCATTTGATGAAGCAAGTGTAATGGTCATGTATCGGTATTTTGATATATTTTGGAAGATCAAGCGATTTCTAAACATTGGATCGGAAGCAAAATTGAGGGATTGTATCAGAGTGATCGATGGATTTGTGTATAAACTTATCAGAATCAAGACAGAACAAGTTCACAATAAGTTACAAGACGATTCAGCAGTGAGTTTATTATCTTCTTGACCTTTTCTTCTTAATTGTAAGTAGAGGAAAATTAACACATATTTTGGACCCAAATTGTGGCAGTTGAAGCAAGGAGACATTTTATCCAAGTTTCTGGAATCAAATGACACAGATCCACAGTACTTAAGAGACATAATCCTTTGTTTAATGATGGCTGGGAAGGACACAACAACTAGCACTCTTTCTTGGTTCTTTTACATGATGTGCAAGCACCCTTTCACACAGGAAACAATAGCACAGGAAGTGAGGGAAGCAACAGAAGTTAAAGAGACTCCAAACCTTGATGAAATTGCAACCAGCATCACCGAGGAAGCCCTTGATAAAATGCAGTATCTCCACGCAGCCCTGACCGAGACACTCAGACTTTATCCTGCAGTTCCAGTGGTAATACGTACAAATATACATATATACATTCATACACCTTGATGCGCAAATACTAATGATAACATAAACTTTCACATGGTACATTTCAATGCCATTTGTTTTGATAAAATTGCGAAAATTAGTTCAAACTTCTTGATTACATCTCCTCTTTAGTTCAATACTCAATCTTACAACATAATCATCTAGTCAATACAAACTTGTTAAATTGTAAATTAGTAATGTGTCCTTCCTTAAACCAGGAGGGGAAGGTTTGTTTTGCAGACGACACATTTCCAGATGGATTCAGCATCAGGAAAGGGGATCTGCTGTCATACCAGCCCTGGGTTATGGGCAGGATGAAATCAATATGGGGGGAGGATGCGGAAGAATACAAACCGGAGAGATGGCTTGATGAAAATGGGGTTTTCCAGCAACAAAGCCCGTTTAAGTTCACAGCCTTTCAGGTGAGAAACAATATTATAATTACCCAGTAGTAAGTACTACCCCCTTTGAAAAAATTCATCAGAAACTCTTACGGGANTGTTTTCCAGCAACAAAGCCCGTTTAAGTTCACAGCCTTTCAGGTGAGAAACAATATTATAGTTACCCAGTAGTAAGTACTACCCCCTTTGAAAAAATTCATCAGAAACTCTTACGGGAGAAACAAAGCTTATTTTTTTTGAAAGGTAAAAATTTTTTATTTTGAAAAACGATAAGATATACATTGTAGCTCAATACACGCTCTAAGGCCACTTGAAACAAACTCTCAACAAGAGCAATTTTACATTTGCCTCCTAATCTAAGAAACACCCAAAAGATTAGGATAAACACTTGCCCATCTTCCAAAAGTTTATTTTTCAAACGGATTCAAATATCAAACAAATTTACCTTCCTACAAATTTAAAGCCAAAAACATTGACTACTTAAAAACTTTGGAGGAGAAGAATGTTGACTCAAATTATCCCTGCATTTACGCAGGCGGGCCCAAGAATCTGTCTGGGAAAAGAGTTTGCATACAGGCAAATGAAGATTTTCTCAGCTGTCTTGCTGGGCAGCTATGTATTTAAGCTTAGTGATGAACAGAAAGCTGTAAACTACAAGACCATGCTTACACTGAACATCGATGGGGGCCTCCATCTTCTAGCTTCCCACAGATATTGAGGCAAACAAGTCCTTAGCCACATATCAATTATTGCAAAATACTACTTTTCCTGTATGAGTGAGAAAACACAAACAACAATCTAATTGTCACCTAATGGTCATGGGTTCGAGTCACGCAAACAATGTCTCTGCTTACAGAATTAAGACTATGTANCCAACAATCTAATTGTCACCCAAAGGTCATGGGTTCGAGTCACGCAAACAATGTCTCTGCTTACAGAATTAAGACTATGTACATGCAATCCTTCCCAAACCATGCAATGTCGTGCACTTGGGTATGCCCATCTATGTGATTATACTGTGCTTTTTTTTTTTTTTTTTGCTGAAGTGTGGTTGTAATGTTGATAAGATATATTATTGAAGAAATTACAATTACTGAAATGAATGAAGGTATGTCAAACCTATTATTAATTGAGAAGTAGTACCTCCTCATGAAGTATCTGTACTGGTACTGCAACTTCTCACAAATTAGGGCTTACCAATAACTTCAGAAAATCTGATCTTTCCTAGCACCGCAATGAAGAAACAGTTGGTTAATCAGAACATTTGATTTCAGAATTGGAGAGAGAGAGAGGAGAAAGAGAGACCTTGGGTTATTCACAGGCGCGATGAGACTTTTCTTTCCCGCGTTTGAACGGCGATCCGGGGATTGAACGACTTGTCTATTTAAATTTAAAATTAAAAATTTTCACATGTTACTTATTTATTATTATATTAAAGCAAATCGAAGAAAATGAGTAATCACATGTTACTCATTTATTATTATATTAATGCAAATTGAAGAAAATGAATAACAGAGAGTATCCGAATCCTCAACAATCCTTCTCTCAAACAAGACTTATAATTGATGGTTACCGCTCTTCTCTCATTCTACAAAAAGAGTCTAAATCCACACGATAACTTACGCCATAGCTCTAAAACATTTTGTTAGGCGGGTCTTTTACCACTTGTTGAGGTGCGCCTTTTTGGGCTTTAAACACATGCCCAACAATTGGTATTACAGTAATGCCCCAAGACACTGTGTAGACTNTACATGCAATCCTTCCCAAACCATGCAATGTCGTGCACTTGGGTATGCCCATCTATGTGATTATACTGTGCTTTTTTTTTTTTTTTTTGCTGAAGTGTGGTTGTAATGTTGATAAGATATATTATTGAAGAAATTACAATTACTGAAATGAATGAAGGTATGTCAAACCTATTATTAATTGAGAAGTAGTACCTCCTCATGAAGTATCTGTACTGGTACTGCAACTTCTCACAAATTAGGGCTTACCAATAACTTCAGAAAATCTGATCTTTCCTAGCACCGCAATGAAGAAACAGTTGGTTAATCAGAACATTTGATTTCAGAATTGGAGAGAGAGAGAGGAGAAAGAGAGACCTTGGGTTATTCACAGGCGCGATGAGACTTTTCTTTCCCGCGTTTGAACGGCGATCCGGGGATTGAACGACTTGTCTATTTAAATTTAAAATTTTTCACATGTTACTCATTTATTATTATATTAAAGCAAATCGAAGAAAATGAGTAATCACATGTTACTCATTTATTATTATATTAATGCAAATTGAAGAAAATGAATAACAGAGAGTATCCGAATCCTCAACAATCCTTCTCTCAAACAAGACTTATAATTGATGGTTACCGCTCTTCTCTCATTCTACAAAAAGAGTCTAAATCCACACGATAACTTACGCCATAGCTCTAAAACATTTTGTTAGGCGGGTCTTTTACCACTTGTTGAGGTGCGCCTTTTTGGGCTTTAAACACATGCCCAACAATTGGTATTACAGTAATGCCCCAAGACACTGTGTAGACTCGACTCTTTGTGTTGGATGAGAGAACACTGATGATCATTTATTATAAGTTTTGTTCGAGAGGAGGATAGTTAAGGTGTTGAATGAGTCTCACATCAATTGGTGATAATAGAGTCTTAGGCCAAATAAAGGAACGAGTCACTTCACCAGCTAGGTGCACATTTTTTTACTCGAAATCCATGCCCAATAGGTTCTATATTCCCATTTTTATTTTGAAGTTATTAATATTCAGCACAATTGTGATGTTATGATATCAATGACAAGCAGTATTATCACTCGATTATAAACACATCAATAGGATTGATCGATCACACCGACACCATTCGAATATGATCATTATTGGATATGTTTAGTTTTTGGAATAGGGAGATTCATTAGTTTATATTGTTTGTTGATTATTGATCTAAAAGGATGGGGATCTGAATTGCAATTTGTCAACTGTGGGTATGTTCGTTTGGACAACATGTGTGGAGGGAAAATAGCCTAAGCCGGGCATGCAAGATGGATCCAGGAAGGGTTGGCTGGCTCGTGGTAACCCACAGGGTTTGAAAATTTTCNTTTCACATGTTACTCATTTATTATTATATTAAAGCAAATCGAAGAAAATGAGTAATCACATGTTACTCATTTATTATTATATTAATGCAAATTGAAATTAATGCAAATTGAAGAAAATGAATAGCAGAGAGTATCCGAATCCTCAACAATCCTTCTCTCGAACAAGACTTGCAATTGATGGTTACCGCTCTTCTCTCATTCTACAAAAAGAGTCAAGTTCACACGATAACTTACGCCATAGCTCTAAAACATTTTGTTAGCGGGTCTTTTACCACTTGTTGAGGTGCGCCTTTTTGGGTTTTAAACACATGCCCAACAATTGGTATTACAGTAATGCCCCAAGACACTGTGTAGACTCGACTCTTTGTGTTGGATGAGAGAACACTGATGATCATTTATTATAAGTTTTGTTCGAGAGGAGGATAGTTAAAGTGTTGAATGAGTCCCGCATCAATTGGTGATAATGGAGTCTTAGGCCAAATAAAGGAACGAGTCACTTCACCAGCTAGGTGCACATTTTTTTACTCGAAATCCATGCCCAATAGGTTCTATACTCCCATTTTTATTTTGAAGTTATTAATATTCAGCACAATTGTGATGTTATGATATCAATGACAAGCAGTATTATCACTCGATTATAAACACATCAATAGGATTGATCGATCACACCGACACCATTCGAATATGATCATTATTGGATATGTTTAGTTTTTGGAATAGGGAGATTCATTAGTTTATATTGTTTGTTGATTATTGATCTAGAAGGATGGGGATCTGAATTGCAATTTGTCAACTGTGGGTATGTTCGTTTGGACAACATGTGTGGAGGGAAAATAGCCTAAGCCGGGCATGCAAGATGGATCCAGGAAGGGTTGGCTGGCTCGTGGTAACCCACAGGGTTTGAAAATTTTCTTTTGTTTTGCTAACATTAACTATGAATACACTCTCAAACAAGATTGATAATGGATTATATCAAATTCATATCGTGTTTAGGATGTACCATATCAGAAGTTATTCAATCTATGTCCAACTCATTATAATTGTTTGTAATTAAATGGGTAAATTATACATTATTCTCTTAAATTATTATTCGTATTTTACTTTGCACTCTAAAGTATTAATTTTATTTCATATCATTTCGATTGATAATAAATGTCAATTTTTTTACAATACACATGTAAGTGATTTGTACTACCAATAAGTAACTATTTATTGCACATATGCATGTCAAAAATTAAGAAAAATACCCATCAATGACTTTGTTCTTCCTAAACTCCAAAATTTCTTTCTCGGGCCGACCTTCTTTTTTCTTCTCAACAACCATTTGGTTGTAAAAGAGATAAAGTAAAGTGGTACTAGACACTTGGTTGGAAGCTCGTTGAGGTTTCTCTCCCTCATATGAAAGATTTTTAAATTTGTTGTTTTTTATTAGAGTGATATATATGAAACAAAAATAATATTTTAGCATGTAATGTGAGAAATTTTATAGTTAAGAGTACAAAGTAAAATAAGTGTAATAATTTAGAGGGTAAAATATACTTCTTCATTCTTAAATATCTATAGTTTAAGGTTTTTTCACAGGGATTAAGGAAGTTATTAAATAGCTCTAATATGAGTAAAAAATAATTACACAAGACTAAAATACTCTTATTCAATACGTATTGGGAAGGAAAGGAATATGAAAGACACTTAACCTACACTTAATCTATTAAGCACTTATTGAAAAATTGAGATAAGGGTAAATTCTTCAAAAAAATATTTATTATATTTTGGTTTCATAAAACGACAGATATTATGGAACAAAAAAAATTGTATAAAACGATAGATATTTAGAAACAAAAGAAGTAATTTACTCTAATTAAATCCGTATCGTACATAAAAATTATTATTGGTCGAATATACTCGATCTTTCATTATTTATGATTGAATTTGTATCGATTGATATATTAAATGGATTTGATAGATCTGCTCAATTATGATCTAAAACCATAAAAATTAAATTTATACCCAATAACTTCGTCTAAATAAATGGATCATGTAACAACCTTGATTTGGCCCTTATAATTTTCTCAAACATTTAAGAGGACAGCCCTTTGTATACCCTTTTTTTTTTGGGGGTAAGTGTCTTTTATATATTTTCGTTCCTTCTATATTAAATTCTTTTATTATATTCGTCCAACCTAATCGTGCAAGGACTATTCGTGATGGGCTTGTATCCCCCATAGATGCAACGATAGATTGCTATTAGAGTGTTGCATTTTCATTCAATGAAAGCAAAAGACATGATATTAAAAATATTTTTTTAGTATTATAATCGAAACCTAAAGCCGAACCCAGGTGGTGCTTTTCTTTTTTTGGTACACTAAATAGATGCATAAATAGATTATTTCATAGATTCACCAGATAGTATTGTCTTTCAACACCGAATAATAATTTGTAAGAGATTACATCACACTTATGTCGGGCCGGAAGGTAAGGTCTCATACTGTATTCTAAACTTTGAAGAGTAGGTTTTGATGATGCATAAATTGAATTTGTACATCACTTGTCAGATGAGCAATAATAAATGCAGAAATTAAAAAGTAAGAGATAAAGGCAAAACTAAGACAAAGTTTATATTGGTT